AAACTGAGCTAATCATACTCTGTCCGTGTCTGATCTGTGTAAACATCTTGACCCAACCCCCTGATCTACCACAGCGCGTTTACTGTGAACACTGAGGCTGTACCCGATTTAAGTTACAGTTTTAACAGTGGCCATGTAGACTACTGCGGCTATTTGATCATAATGTAGGCCTACCAGAGTGGCCTACCATAAAAAACAATGGCGAAAATGCATCCCATAACATTTTAACATGGAAATAGCTGTTCTATCATTCAGCCTACAATAGCAGCCAATGTGTGGTGTTCAATGTAGGCCTACATTCCATGAGGAAAAAAAAACATGCAGGGCTTGACATTAACCTGTTTATCCACTTGTCTTTCAGACAAGGAGGTGACTGAAAAATATGTTGTTTAATGCAAGAAACCACTTTACAAAATAAAATGCATTATTATTCGCATACTATTATTACAATCAGACAAATTATGCTACCCTCTGCTTATTGGCTACATAGCTTATTCAAGCCTGTCTCAAAATACAACACTTCCCCTTTAAGACAAAAAAAAAAAGCTCTTTAACTGACTCGCTTTTCAAATATGTCTAGAAATGTATACGTTTTGTGCTCTTGTAGGAAGCAATCACTCCCCTATTGCTGACTACAAATGATCTATAACTGGGCCTAATAACTCACTAACTAGCAAAGAATATGAACAAATGTGCACACGTGGCTACATGCAGCTCTCGCTTTGATCTCAAAACAAGCGCATCTACTCACGACTGCTCATGCTGTAAACACAGTTCAAAGTAAATGGCACAGATCCATATATGGCAATTGTCTGTGTATAGTATGGGCTGAGTAGTGCGTGTCAATGCAATATAATCCTACTCCGATGCGTTCTGCCTACAACAAAATCTCTTGCATAGTACGTTTTGTTTCGGTATTGCATTGATTCGATCACAATTGCCACAGTAAAGGAAACGTTGATAGTTTTAAAAGGGAAAACTCTAGAACAGTGATCACCAACCTTTTCTGAGTGAAGATCACTGAGTCAAAATGCAAGCCGAGATCTAACCACTCAGATTTTTTTTTACATGACTTAAAAAAACGTAAGTCTATGTGTCACGGTCGTTGAGAGACAGGTCAGACCAAGGTGCAGCGTGGTATGCGTACATGTTTATTAGAACAAATAAACACTCGACAAACGCAACGTAACCGTGAAGGTCCTAAGGGCTAACACCACAAGCCTAACCGGAACACAAACAAGATCCCACAACTAAGGTAGGCAACATGGCTGCCTAAGTATGATCTCCAATCAGAGACAACGAGCGACAGCTGCCTCTGATTGGGAATCACACCCGGCCAAACATAGAAATACAAAACTAGACTTAAACATAGATATACAATACATAGATCTCAACTGAAACTCACACCCTGACCCAACCAACAAGAGTTCTCTAGCTCAGGGCGTGACACTATGCAACATTAACCAATTAAAAACAGTACTGTAGCAATGAGGTTTGTGCAGTAAGCTATAGGCCCAATACATTATCACCGCATATTGGCTTTGCTTGAATTGTCCTGCCAATGCATCGTTGTTCGGGCCTTTAAAAAATATATATATTTCCGAATTTGAGGTGGGCTATATGATCACACCGGTAATAGATCCGTTGTTGTATTATTTGTGAAGCACAGCTGAGTGAGCATACATTTAAATAATTAGCTTTCTATTTTTATTTTACTGGGCTGATGGTGATGGTCAGTCTCAGCGGAGGGAGAGAGCAGCAGACTGAGGGACCGCCTCTCAACATCCCTCTGCTCTCCCTTTCCTCCACTGACACTGACCAAAAAGGGACACCGTCTTCCAGATGATGGTGAAACTCGAGTCGCACAGCGTTATTTCTGCCTCATGCACAAATTCATGTTGTTACATGAAGTTAAATATTCCTTTGCTGTAGCTTTCTTTTATGCCTGCTACGTTACTGCAGACATGGCCATCTAAGCCATCCGATTGGCCAGCGATAGGCCTATAGTGCACTTGATTTGCTCTCTGGGCTCGCCGAGAAGGCAGAGTTTGTACCTTCAGACACATTAAATGGTTCAAAATGGCAACAGTTTGCCTACCCGGCGGGCAGGGCAGCTGAAACGGGTGCACCTATCGCCAACAGCCAGAGACAAATAAAAAAAATAGGAACACAAGGCTAATCGTTGGGTTTTTTACAGAAATGTTTGGTGATCGACTAGGAATACCTTGTAGATCGACCATTCATTTTACATTTACATTTTCGTCATTTAGCAGACGCTCTTATCCAGAGCGACTTACAAATTGGTGCATTCACCTTATGATAGCCAGTGGGACAACCACTTTACAATTTATTTAAACATTTTTGGGGTGGGGTAAGGGGGGGTAGAAGGATTACTTTATCCTATCCCAGGTATTCCTTAAAGAGGTGGGGTTTCAAGTGTCTCCGGAAGGTGGTGAGTGACTCCGCTGTCCTGGCATCGTGAGGGAGCTTGTTCCACCATTGGGGTGCCAGAGCAGCGAACAGTTTTGACTGGGCTGAGCGGGAACTGTGCTTCCGCAGAGGTAGGGGGGCCAGCAGGCCAGAGGTGGATGAACGCAATGCCCTCGTTTGGGTGTAGGGACTGATCAGAGCCTGAAGGTACGGAGGTGCCGTTCCCCAGAAAAGAAAGAAGGGATACTGGTCTGTAGTTGTTGACATCGGAGGGATCGAGTGTAGGTTTTTTGAGAAGGGGTGCAACTCTCGCTCTCTTGAAGACGGAAGGTCTAGGATGAGTTGATGAGCGAGGTGAGGTAAGGGAGAAGGGAGAAGGTCTCCGGAAATGGTCTGGAGAAGAGAGGAGGGGATAGGGTCAAGCGGGCAGGTTGTTGGGCGGCCGGCCGTCACAAGTCACAAGATTTCATCTGGAGAGAGAGGGGAGAAAGAAGTCAAAGCATAGGGTAGGGCAGTGTGTGCAGGACCAGCGGTGTCATTTGACTTAACAAACGAGGATCGGATGTCGTCAACCTTCTTTTCAAAATGGTTGACGAAGTCATCCACAGAGAGGGAGGAGGGAGTGGGAGGGGGAGGAGGATTCAGCAGGGAGGAGAAGGTGGCAAAGAGCTTCCTAGGGTTTAGAGGCAGATGCTTGGAATTTAGAGTGGTAGAAAGTGACTTTAGCAGCAGAAACAGAGGAAGAAAATGTAGAGAGGAGGGAGTGAAAAGATGCCAGGTCCGCTCGGCTGCCCGGAGCCCTGTTCTGTGAGCTCGCAATGAGTCGTCAAGCCACGGAGCAGGAGGGGAGGACCGAGCCGGCCGGGAGGATAGGGGACATAGAGAGTCAAAGGATGCAGAAAAGGAGGAGAGGAGGGTTGAGGAGGCAGAATCAGGAGATTGGAGGGAGAAGGATTAAGCAGAGGGAAGAGATGATAGGATGGAAGAGGAGAGAGTAGCGGGAGAGAGAGAGCGAAGGTTGCGACAGCGCATTACCATCTGAGTAGGGGCAGAGTGAGTAGTGTTGGAGGAGAGCGAGAGAGAAAAGGATACAAAGTAGTGGTCTGAGACTTGGAGGGGAGTTGCAGTGAGATTAGTAGAAGAACAGCATCTAGTAAAGATGAGGTCAAGCGTATTGCCTGCCTTGTGAGTAGGGGGGGACGGTGAGAGGGTGAGGTCAAAAGAGGAGAGGAGTGGAAAGAAGGAGGCAGAGAGAAATTAGTCAAAGGTAGACGTAGGAAGGTTAAAGTCACCCAGAACTGTGAGGGATGAGCCATCCTCAGGAAAGGAACTTATCAAGGCGTCAAGCTCATTGATGAACTCTCCAAGGGAACCTGGAGGGCAATAAATGATAAGGATGTTAAGCTTGAATGGGCTAGTGACTGTGACAGTATGGAATTCAAATGAGGAGATAGACAGATGGGTCAGGGGAGAAAGAGACAATGTCCACTTGGGAGAGATGAGGATTCCTGTGCCACCACCCCGCTGACCAGATGCTCTCGGGGTATGCGAGAACACATGGTCAGACGAGGAGAGAGCAGTAGGAGTAGCAGTGTTTTCTGTTAGATCACGATCAACCGGTTGGTGACCACTGCTCTAGAAGGTTGAGTGAAGTTCAATCTCGTGCTTCTATCTGTGGGCTGATATTTCTGCACGGCAGTCCCAGGGAGCTATTTTAGTTTGTTTTGGAGTCAAAGATAATAGGTTCAGTATAGTTTTAGTTTTTCAAACATTTTTGTTTAGGGGTTCACAGCAAAGCTGTAGGGGTTCTTAGATTATACTTTTTTTCTTGACATGGTCAAATAACTCAAGCATATTGATAACTTTTTTCCTAATTTGGCTCACAGACACTAGAGGCCATGAATAACTTGGATAAGAAGAATGGCACCGATTGGTCTATAGGTTATAAGCAGTCTCACTTAAACACTCAAATCTGCCACCCCGTTTACATGATAGAGTGCTTGCTTCGTAATCTTGTGTCCTTTCTGTCATCCTGTGAACCCCGTTCATTGCTGCTCGTAGCAATATTTTTTATTTCAGTTTACTAAATAGTTTTTTCATGACTAGTTTTAGTTTGCTATAATAACCGTGGTTAAGGGGATGGGGTTACAGGCAGCGTCAGAGTCAGTCAGTACTACACGCTAAGCTTTCAACATGGTTGCTGCTATGATACTGTTTAGGACAGACACTGCTGCACACTGGCTTTTGATAAGATTTTATCTGTTGGATATCAGAGATGCTTGTCTGGCTATTAGGTCATCAAATGATGATCAGAATCACATGTAGACTCATATTGCAGTACTAATTTGACATCAAGACAATGCAAATGCCAGGTGCAGACGGCAAAAAATTTGAAATCTACTGATTGTTTTCACCATCAAGGTCTATCTCAGGAAGCATCACAGTGAAATCCACAACAAGAGCATATCTCTCAATAGCTCAATGTTCCTGTCTGGTCCAGTCTCATATTGTTCTATATTAGCCCTGTGTGTATCTGCCTGATTGTTGTCTTCCTGAGCCGTCCTCTCCAGACCGTTTGAGATCATCGTCCTGCTGACCATCTTTGCCAACTGTGTGGCCTTGGCTGTGTATCTACCCATGCCTGAAGACGACAACAACGCTACCAACACCAGCCTGGTGAGAACCTACTGACCTGATCTTCAGTGTGTGTGCGTGTTTGTGTGTGTAAAGCTGTTCTGATTGTAACATAATTATAACATACACTGAGTATACCAAACAGGTGACATCAATAATGGATCATAGCTTTCACCTGGATTCGCCTTGTCAGTTTATGTCATGGAAAGAGTAGGTGTTCTTAATGTTTTGTATACTCAGTGTACATTTGCTAGAGCATTTTAAAGCTGATTGATTTGGGGTAGTGTTGTTTTGGGAAGAGGCTAGATTTCGTTTTTTTTCCAGTGGAGTGACGTCACATCAACATGCAATAGTCAGAGGGTATTTTGTGGCTGATGGCAACTAAGGCATGTTGAACAAATGATGGTCATCAGTTGGACAACAACTGCTGTATCCTTCTATCCTTAGCTTATGACTAGTAGGCTAATACATGTCAAAACTGCTTGAAATCCAAGTAATCTCCTTTAAAATAAACAAAGTGTTTGGTCATAGTCAGTTGGGAATCTCTGTGCTTTCCCTTTTGAGTCATTGTAAGGTCAGACTGTCCTGTCCAGCAGCTAACTGCTCCAGCTATAGTACATCAGCCCCTTGAGTCCCATCCTCATCCTCAACATGCCTCCAGAGCTAAGTCAGTGCTATACTTAGGACATTGCCTTCTCACAAAATGTGTAAACATACTGAAAAGGAGGCAAGGGAATCAGTGAGAGGGTTTTAGTTTACATGCTGAAAGTTACATTGAGGTTTTATATGTTCAGAAAATGAGGTTGAGATTTTGGAGCCTTGGTTTTTGACAGTGCCACACCAGCATGCTAAATGAGACTGTGACATTCGTTTGGATATAGTCGCCCATGACAGACTGTTAGCTGGAAAGATTTGTTTCTGGGTTCCAAGATTAGCCTGGATGTGATTTCCATCCGCATACACTGGACAACAGCCACTCATCATCTTAACACTGCTACGGTATCAACTAGGCTGGGTGCCAGTCTGAACTGCTCTCTTGCCAGCTTAAATCCATAAGACAGGCACCCAGGCTAAGTACCAACAGCACCTAATAAAATATCTGTAGATCAGATATTTTGAATAAATTGATCCCACTCTACATAGCAGGTGACTCTTAATGTCTCCAACGTTTATCACACTCAGTGACTGTAAGGCAAGACAGGCATTAGGCAGGTGTTAGCACTCCCTAGCCTGGTCTGAGGAACTGAGGAGCGTCCTGAGGCTTTATATTTAGACCTGTTCTCAGAGGTGTGCGTTGATGTACTGTTGTGGGTGTGGGAGTACGGTGCAGGCCATAGTTCTGAGTTGGAGGGTTATACTTATATATAACCTCACAACCCAGGGGGGTTTTACATACACTCACCCCATAATTTAGGGGATTTCTAAAGGAATATTTGAAAGTGATAACTAGTCGATGATACTGGCGAGTGGCTATATCTGTAAGGATTGTCTTCAAAGATCAGAGACAGGCTTTCAGATCAAGCACAGAACATGCACTGTAAAATAAATCTAGTTGTTTCAACTCATTATTTTTAAGTAACTGGTTCCGTAGCCTTTTTTTCTGTTTACTCCACTTTCTGGTCCAAGTGTTACCTGAATAACCCCAAAAAATATTGGCCAAACTTGAGAAAACTATACTGTTCAGAAATATAAACGCAACATGCAACAATTTCAACAATTTTACTGAGTTACAGTTCATATAAGGAAATCAGTCAATTGAAATAAATTCATTAGGTCCTAATCTATGGATTTCACATGACTGGGAATACAGATATGCATCTGTTGGTCACAGATACCTTAAAAAAAGGTATGGGTGTGGATCAGAAAACCAGTCAGTATCTGGTGTGACCATCATTTGCCTCATGCAGCGTGACACTTCTCCTTCGCATAGAGTTGATCAGGCTGTTGATTGTGGCTTGTGGAATGTTATCCCACTCCTCTTCAATGGCTGTGTGAAGTTGCTGGATAAAGCGGCGGGAACTGTAACACGCTGTTGTAGATGTCGATCCAGGGCATCCCAAACATGCTCAATGGGTGACATGTCTGGGACATTTTCAGCTTCCCGGAATTGTGTACAGATCCTTGCGACATGGGGCCATGCATTATCATGCTGAAACATGAGGTGATGGTGGCGGATGAATACCACGACAATGGGCCTCAGGATCCTGTCATGGTCTCTCTGTGCATTCAAATTGCCATCGATAAAATGCAATTGTGTTCATTGACCATAGCTTATGCCTGCCCATACCATAACCCCACCGCCACCATGGGGTGCTCTGTTCACAACGTTGACATCAGCAAACAGCTCGCCCCAACACGACGCCATACACGTGGTCTGCGGTTGTGAGGCCGGTTGAAGTTACTGCCAAATTCTCTAAAACGACGTTGGAGGCGGCTTATGGTAGAGAATTTTTCTGGCAACAGCTCTGGTGGACATTCCTGCAGTCAGCATGCCAATTGCATGCTCCCTCGAAACTTGAGACATCTGTTTTAGAGTGGCCTGCACATTTTAGAGTGTCCATTTATTGTCCCCAGCACAATGTGCACCTGTGTAATTATCATGCTGTTTAATCAGCTTCTTGACATGCCACACCTGTCAAGTGGATGAATTATCTTGACAAAGGAGAAATTCTCACTAACAGGGATGTAAACAAATGTGTGCACAAAATTAGAGAGAAATAAGCTTTTGTGCATATTGAAAATTTCTAGGATCTTTTATTTCAGCTCATGTAACATGGGACCAACACTTTACATGTTGTGTTTATGTTTTTGTTCAGTGTAGTTATACACACAGACAGTGTTTTAACATACAACGTTTTCATCTTACATATTTGACACACGTTGGCATACATGATTACATTGTCCATGTTCATTTATACAGTTATTAATATTCAACATGTCCTCACCTGGGATTTGAACTTGCAAACTCTTGGTTCACGGTATTCCAATCTTACAGCTACGCCACCGTGTCTATGTCAATGACTGATTTCACCTGTATTACTACACTTTGCACTCCAAAGTAAATCTCAACTCTGTTAAAAGTACACTCAAGAAAAACTATTTTATTTATCATAGTGATTAAGGAGTTGCATTAAAACAGAATAATATGCCCCACCAACATTAGACAACTGTACAGAAAACACTCAAATGACTGAAATAAGTAAATTAAATCAATGAAGAGAGAATGGTCAGATTAACTGATAATTGACACCGGCATGGTGGCGTAGCAGGAAGATTGGAATGCCGTGAACCAAGAGTTTGCGAGTTCAAATCCCAGGTGAGGACAGGTTGAACAATGATTACTGTATAAACTAAATGTGTGTCAAATATAAACATTGTATGTTTAAAGCACTGTGTGTGTGTGTGTGTAACCAGTTGCACGGCCTTGTTTTAGTTGAGCAAACACATCATTTTAGTTTTTTGAAGTTGGAGCAAAGTTTAGGCCAACAATTGTTTTTGTTCAGGTAACACTTGGACCAAAAAGTTCAGTAAACAAAAAAAGGCTGTGGAACCAGTTACTAAATAATTATTAGTTGAAACGGTAACACTTTACTTGACACCCAGCGTCATAACACATTATGACACGGTCATAACCATGTCATAATGTGGTCATAACACTGTCATGACCCATACATTTACACCTGTTGTGGCATATATTGCGTTATTTTATGGCTGTCTATGGCAGTCTATGACCCTGATAGACAGTCCTGACCTTAGGCACAACTCCTACTGTATAGAATGTTTAGCTGGAACACCCAGTGCACCAACTGCTACTTAGCGCCACATAGCTAGCTAGCGCTCCCTTGTTCAGGAACCCTGTGCCTGGTTCTCCCTAGTTCTGCTTAATTCTGGTTCCTCGTGGTTCTGCAACAAGAAAACTAGCCATAGGTGCCTATGCCATGGTCCTGCTTGGCTCAGTTAGTAGAGCATGATGCTTGCAGCGCCAGGATTGTGTGTTCGACTTCCGCTGGGGTCACCCATACGGAAAGAATTATACAAGCACTACTGTAAATTGTTTGGATAAAAGCATCTGCTAAATGGAACTCTGTCATGATCCACGTTCCCTCTCCTTTCACCACAACAAAGTAAGACTACCATGGCCAACATAAAGTATACGGTTGATGTGTTGTCCATCCATAGGATACACAACCATCTCATCACCCTAGATTACAACCCCAGCATGATCCATCTAGCCATTCCTGTCATTAGATCTGATTTGGCATTAGATCTCCTAATGCTTCCATGATTAATCCTGTATGACTCGTCTCTCAGCTGGCCCTGCCTGGAGTCCCAGATGGATGAGCTTTACAGTTTTCTGACTGTTCCAATACTACTTGAACCCAGGTCTGAAGCCCACCCGCCCTGGTTGTTAGAAGAAGTGGGTCGACATGCATTCACAGTCAGCATCACCTCATGGACGCACAGCACTGTCATTGGAAACACTCAGTCAGATACTTATACATACTGTCCTACTGTGTAATTCACTTTAAAGTGTGTGTGTGTGTGTGTGTGTGTTGGTCCCACCTTTGCTGCTATAACAGCCTCCAATCTTCTAGGAAGGCTTTCCACTAGATGTTGGAACATTGTTTCGGGGACTTGCTTCCATTCAGTCACAAGAGCATTAGTGAGGTCAGGCACTGAAGTTTGGCGATTAGGCCTGGCTCGCAGTCGGCGTTCCAATTCATGCCAAAGGTGTTCGATGGGGTTGAGGTCAGGGCTCTGTGCAGGCCAGTCAAGTTCTTCCACACCGATCTCGACAAACCATTTCTGTATGGACCTCGCTTTGTGCACAGGGGCATTGTCATGCTGAAACAGGAAAGGGCCTTCCCCAAACTGTTGCCACAAAGTTGGAAGCACAGAATTGTCTAGAATGTCATTGTATGCTGTAGCGTTAAGATTTCCCTTCACTGGAACTAAGGGGCCTAGCCCGAACCATGAAAAACAGCCCCAGACCATTATTCCTCCATCAAACTTTACAGTTGGCACTATGCATTCGGGCAGGTAGCGTTCTCCTGGCATCTGCCAAACTCAGATTAGTCTGTCAGACTGCCAGAGAACGCGTTTCCACTGCTCCAGAGTCCAATGGCGGCGAGCTTTACACCACTCCAGCCGACACTTGGCAATGTGCATGGTGATCTTAGGCTTCTGTGCGGCTGCTCGGCCATGGAAACGCATTTCATGAAGCTCCCGACGAACAGTTCTTGTGCTGACGTTGCTTCCAGAGGCAGTTTGGAACTCGCTTCAGCACTCAGCAGTCCCGTTCTGTGAGCTTGTGTGGCCTACCACTTCGCGGCTGAGCCGTTGTTGCTCCTAGACGTTTCCACTTCACAATAACAGCACTTACAGTTGACCAGGCCAGCTCTAGCAGGGCAGGAATTTGACAAACTGACTTGTTGGAAAGACTGAGGAGCGTGTGTCTGTCCTAACGACCACGGTGGTGTTAGTTTCATTCTGTAGAAGGACATTGGTTATTGACGTCATTTGACCGATCAGATCAACAGTACATGCAAATAGTTAATCTGAGTATTGACTACTAATAAGTATAAGCAGTGAATAAGGATGATTAACTCTGAGCCAACTGCAATGCTGCTATTCGCAAGACAATTAACTTTCCAATAATTCCATTATTTATCCTTTATTTAACCAGGACATCCCATTTGAGGTCAGAAGACCTCTTTCTCAATGGAGACCTGGCCAAACTGTAACGCAAGCAGGGTTTAGTTCTGTGATTGTTCTTCACTACACATACATAGCAGTCATATGTACATACAGTGTGGAAAACATTTAGAATAGGTATTTTATCCATCCATTCGGTTTGTTTCAGTCAGGGGAACCAGGAAATAACTGAACTCCTTGGAAGTGATTTGTGAAGGAGGGAATTGGCAACACAGAGATGTAGGCCTAAATGTAGTCTACAAAAAATAGATGTCGTAAATGTAGTCTGTCATGGTGCAGTTGTGTGTTCCACAATTTCTCTGCCTGTCTGTTTTAACGACCACCACAGTGCGTGCGACCGGTTGGCTGAAAACAGTGTATAGAGACAGAGGGACACCATACATGGTGCTGTTCTGTGTGTGTTCGCCTGCTCTTCCTGACAATATCAATGCTAGAGCTAATACCACAGGGAATAAAATGTTTATTTGACTTATCGTCAGTAACATAATCAGCTCAAATGAATGATAAGTCAAATACATTTATCTGTGTCCTTACTAACCTTTGAGCAAAACATCATACTTTTCCTCTGCAAACTGTTTATGTGAGAGCTAGTATGTTAGTATATGAGCCAGTGTGTGTGTGTATCTGACAAAGCTCAGACATCTGAACTACAATGGCACCCAGTCTCACCATACATCCCGCTTACTGAGTCAGCGTCATCCCTTTAAACCCTGTCTAGGCCCTGTCTAATCAGAGCTGTCATGAGAGAACAAGCTGGCAAATGTAATACCATTAAAGCCTGTTTGATTCTACAGCAGCCCATGTGTCAAAGGTTTCAGTGACCCCAATCATTTTTCCTTAAAGGCCCACTCCTATATTCTTATATCATTAATGAAGAAGAAAAAAAACGCTCTAAATATCACAGAGTGGCCCTTGAAATGCTTTTTATCCTCTATTAAACTAACTGCCATCGATAGGCCTTTTCTGGCAGATGGGCTCTTTGCGTTTCTAAAATGAGAGATGTAAGACCATGGAGTTGGGTATCAAATCTGATCCCAACCTGTTGTGTGTGTACGTTGTGCGTGAGGTTTACAACTGTGACAGCAAATAGAACAAATTCCGTTGTCTCTTTATAATGGATAAATAAAGATAAAGAGTTTTGTGAAGAGTCTCATTGCCAAGGTTTTTGTGTATTTTTCTTTCAGGAGAGTCTGGAGTATATCTTCCTGGTGATCTTTACGTTAGAGTGCTTTCTGAAGATAATAGCGTACGGCTTTATATTCCACGAGGGAGCCTATCTACGGAACGCTTGGAACTTACTGGACTTTGTCATCGTCTTCATGGGGTAAGACGAGCCCTATGGAGGGTCCCCTATGGAGCCAATCAAGCTGGCACAGTATGGTCGGGTCTGCACAACAGTGTATAACTTTTTATGCCAGTAGATTATAAAGGGGGCATACAATGCATTATAACCACACCATAATGCATTATGCTTGGCTTTAGTTGGCTTCAGGTAAAGTATTACAGAGAAAGTCAATTGTTTAGTATCTCTGTGGTGTTCAGTTAGTTGTATGCCACTCTATAATGTCCTATGTAGCTGTTATAAAGGTTTTCTGAATGCATAGATAGTGAGCCTACAGTAAAGTAATACCAGTTACTAATTCTGTCTGTTGTTTTCCTCCCCCAGCCTCTTCACCATCGCCCTGGACACCATAAACTATCTAGCAGGCATTCAAATGGAGAAAGGAGGAGGGTTCGATATGAAGGCCCTCCGAGCGTTCAGGGTGCTCAGGCCCCTACGTCTCGTAACAGGAGTCCCCAGTAAGAACCAACACATCACTCATACACGCACGCACATACACACACACACACACACACACACACACACACACACACACACACACACACATTGTTTGACGCTTCAGTTGTTTGATTCTCCAGTGCAATGTTTCGACCAAAATATCTTCGTCAGGCACAAAGTAGCGGGTCACAATGTCATCTCATTCCATTATGTTTCAAAATATTGGTTTTAGCTTAGCGCACATTTCTGTTTCTTTAACACACCATTGGCTAATATTTATGTTTTTTTTATTGAAATAGTACTGAGGTAGTGAGCTCCTCCCTGCTGTTCCCCTCCAGGCCTGCAGGTGGTGATGAACTCTATCCTGAAGGCCATGCTTCCCCTGCTGCACATCGGCCTGCTGGTCTTCTTCATGGTCACCATCTACGCCATCGTAGGTCTGGAGCTCTTCAAGTGTAAGATGCACAAGACCTGCTACTGGACCGGCACAGGTAAGCAAAAAGTAGTAGTTAGTAAAGAGTATTTGAGGTAAATCACTGACATTGAGGACAAACAACTATGACAACCAGGTAATGTTTGGACAACCAGGTAGCTCTACTCTACTCTTCGGATGGAGGTCCGAGTTGTAAACAAGGCACCACTAGCCTGGTTGCTAATGTGTTAGTGCTGTATAGCCAACTCTTACAATGTATTGTCGGCCATAGGAGATTGCTATACAGCAGATACTGATCACGTCACCACACATCAAATTCTTTCACAATGAAAATGTTGTTGAGTCGCTCTCTGTCCTTTCCTCCAGAATTCTGGAATTGGAATTGGGTTTACTTTCTGAATTGATTGGAATTGAAATCGAATTGACCCCAACCCTGGTCACCACACATCAACGTCTTTCACAATGAAAAATGTTGTTGTCTCTCTCTCTCCTCCAGACATCATGGCTACATTAGAGAACGAGAGGCCCGCCCCCTGTGCCCAGGCCGGTAACGGGCGCCGCTGCCTCCTCAACGGGACAGAGTGTCGTTCAGGCTGGGCGGGGCCAAACTTCGGCATCACCCACTTTGACAACTTTGGTTTCGCCATGCTCACCGTCTTCCAGTCTATCACTATGGAGGGCTGGACCGATGTGCTCTACTGGGTCAGTCTCCCCTCACCATGAGAAGCATCTGACAGCAGACTCACAGCAGGGTCCTGTGGCGTGCCATTACCTGAGAGTTCCATACATCTAGGCACTTCACAGGACATGAGATGCAGTCAGGTGCCAGCACCCCACAGAATCCTTCTGCGATTCCGCAGACAGATTATTTTGCCTCCCATTGACCTAATTAAAGGCAGTGTATTAGAATAGATGACCAGTCCAGCTTCGTCTTGGTGTAGCAAACAACCTACTGTATTACTGTAGTGACACTGTAGTCGGTAGTAATGTTGTGTTGTCCTTCAGGTGAATGAGTGGCCCTGGCTCTACTTTGTGACTGTATGACTGTATGACAACTCAGTCCTGGGGAACCCAAGGGGTGCACATTTTGGTTTTTTGCCCTAGCACTACACAGCTGATTCAAATAATCAACCTGTCATAAATGTTTGATTATTTGAATCAGCTGTGTAGTGCTATGGCAAAAACCAAAATGTGCACCCCTTGGGGTCCCCAGGACCGAGTTTGGGAAACACTTGTGTATTATGTTGTAGTGACGTTGTAGTAATGCTGTAGTGATGTTCTCCTGCAGGTGAACGATGCCATAGGGAACGAGTGGCCCTGGCTCTACTTCGTGACTCTGATCCTAATTGGATCCTTCTTCGTACTCAATCTGGTCCTGGGTGTTCTCAGTGGGTATGATCATGTCCTCTACTCTACTCTACTCTACTCTACTCTACTCTACTCTACTCTACTCTACACTTTTAGAAAAAAAATGCTATCTAGAACCTAAAAGGGTTCTTCGGCTGTCCCCATAGGAGAACCCTTTGAAGAATCCTTCTTGGTTCCAGGTAGAACCATTTTGGGTTCAATGTAGAACCCTTTCTACAGAAGGTTCTACATGGAACCCAAAAGCGTTCTCCTATGTGGACAGCCGAAGAACCCTTTTGGAATCCTTTTTTCTAAGAGTGTACTGTTCTTCTAGTAACCTTATGGTGTATTTCGTCAGAAATTTTATTCTCTAATATTCTCTACAGTACCTTTTTGTCCTCTTCCCTACACCCAGAGAGTTCACAAAGGAGAGAGAGAAGGCTAAGTCCCGAGGGGAGTTCCAGAAGTTGAGGGAGACCCAGCAGCTGGATGAGGACCTGAAGGGCTACATGGAGTGGATCACTCAGGCTGAGGTCCTAGACAACGACCAGGAGGGGAAAGGTAGCTTCTGACACTGTCCAATTGTACATTGACTCTTGAGGGTGCCCGACATCTCTTGGAGGTGTCCAACGTCTAAATTGTTATAGGGTGTCTGATTTGTTCTGGGGGTTCCCAGGGGTTTGAGCAACATAACATTTAAATTTTAGTCATTTAGCAGACACTCTTATCTAGAGCGACTTACAAATGAGGGCATTCATCTTAAGATAGCTAGATGAGACAACCACATTTCACAGTCATAGTAAGTACATTTTCCCTCAATAAATTAGTTAACAGCAAAGTCAGTGCTAGTGGGAAAAGGCAAGTGGGGTGGGGTGTGCCGTGGGGTTTATTTAGATACACTTCAAAGAGGTAGGGTTTCAGAAATGTTCAGAAGATGGGCAGGGACTCCGCTGTCCTGATGTTAAGGGGAAGCTTGTTCCACTATTGGGGTGCCAGGACAAAGAAGAGCTTTGACTGGGCAGAGTGGGAGCTGACCCCCTGTAGGGGTTGGAGGGCCAAGAGACCAGAGGTGGCAGAACGGAGTGCTCGGGTTGGGCTGTAGGGTGTCTTAATGTTCCCCCTAATATTCTATTTATTCTTGGCAGGACTCCTGCCTTTGACGGAGGCAGACACAGACAGTCTGATAGGGCTGGAGAGCGAGAGCCAGGTGGTGTACTACTAGTGAGTACAGAGATAAAAACATAAGCAATACATCATTTAAATGTAGTATTTATTTTACAGATCATAGACACGGTGACTGACCTTAGACCATTCTCTCTACCTTCCTCACTCCACACTCCCTCTCCTTCTTCACTCTCCCTCATTCTCTCCTTCTCTCCTCTCTCTCTCTCTCTCTCCTCTCCTCTCCTCTCTCTCTCCTCTCCTCTCCCTCTCCCTCTCCTCCTCCTCTCCTCTCCTCTCCTCTCCTCTCCTCTCCTCTCCTCTCCTCTCCTCTCCTATCCTCTCTCTCCCTCCTTTCCCGCTCCCCCTCTCTCTCCTCTCCCTCTCTCCCCCTCTCATCTCTCATTTCTCCTCCCTCTTTCCTCTCTCTCTCTCATCCCTCTCTCCCCAGTCGTCTGGCTCGTCGCTGGAACCGGTTCTTCAGGATGAAGTGTCTCGTCTATGTAAAATCTAAGAAATTCTATTGGTCGGTGATTCTGGTGGTCTTCCTAAACACTGTTGCCATCGCTAGTGAACATCACCACCAGTCAGACATGCTTACTACTCTACAAGGTACACACACACACACACACACACACACACACACACATACACTCATGCATGCAGGCATGCACACACATACACACACACTCATACACACACTACTCTATAAGGTCTGTTTTACACTCTTACTGATGCTGCCATTGACTAGTAAATCTAGGAAGCATGTTCTGCATGGGCCCGATTCAGAGTAAAGATAAACTACCACAACTCAGGCTTTCGCTTAAATCATTAATTGATGTCAATAAGAGACTTTCGCAAAAATTTTGAGTTACACAGATCTCAGGTCAGAATATCGGCACATTAGCATACACTAGTGTACTGTATCTCATTTCTGTTATGTCTTTATCTCTTTATATATACTGTGACCTCTTTTACTTTTACTCACTGATATATGGTGACTTTTTTTAGTTTACTGATGTTACCCCCATAGACAGAACCTGAGCCTCTAGTACAGAAATAGCAGCTCTCAAACGTCTAAAATACTGCTGTCTCAGGGTCAGTTCTTAGCACCCTGTCTTGCCTATAATGAATGGAGGGGGTTTTACGCACATCCAAAATAATAACAGGAACTGGACAAAAAGAAGGTCCAATATATATATATATATATATATAGAATAATTGCCTGGCAACCGAGACTCCTTACTCTGGCCAAATGTTACATCAAGCCAACGGAACGTTAGTTTCTACTCCACAATGAGTCTGGATCTGAATAACTCCCCGACCCTTCACCGAATATGAACACATTCGGGCCCGTCTGATTGGTCCAGAAACCGATGGGTTGGGTCAGAGCCAAAACACACATGGGTAAAGCGGCGGTTTGAAAATGTGCCATTGGATTTGTTACTCTGATTGGTTAGAGACGATCCAATCGCTGATGACTTTGTTTTGTCTTTGGGTGCTTTGGGTGCTTGTTCCCAGCAGAAGTATTTTCCGACTTGTTTGAAAAAGATGACCATCACTCACAAATAAATATAACTTAGATCAGTGGTGGCTGGTGGGAGGAGCTATAGGAGGACAGGCTCATTGTAATGGCTCGAATGGAATTAATGGAACGGTATCAAACACATCACATATATGGAAACCACGTTTGACTCCGTTCCTTTGATTCCATTCCAGCCATTACAATGAGCCCGTCCTCCTATAGCTCCTCCCACCAGCCTCCACTGACTTAGCTGTATTATTCTCTCAGGTGTCAGATAGTGCCAACATGGATCAGTTCTTAGGGGCTTGTCTTGCCTATCCCTGATTTCTTATTGGTTACCTATTGCCTATCCCTTTGTCCTCATTGGTTCCTGTGTCCTTTCTCAGATAATGCCAACAAGGTGCTGCTGACCCTGTTTGCGTTGGAGATGTTTGTGAAGATGTACGCTCTGGGCCTGCTTCAATACTTCTTGTCGCTGTTCAACCGATTCGACTGCTTCGTGGTGAGTGTTGGCATCCTCGAGATCATCCTGGTCACTGCTGACGTTATGTCCCCTCTCGGCATCTCTGTCCTCCGCTGCATCCGCCTGCTGAGACTGCTCAAGGTCACCAAGTAAGTCACCTCACTGGAAGAGCATTTATTGACCAAACATTTGCTATTCTTGCAAGCCTTATCAAATCTTGAGCTAGCTAGCTAGGTATAACCTTCCCTCAGAGAGATATAACATTTGGTGACACAGCTGTTGGTATGATTTTGTGTTTGTTCCCTGGTGTCCTACAATCATTGAGCTTCGTCTCTGTGCTTTCTAAGTTTAATGAGTCAACAATAAAACAGCACTTGTCAAGCATTGCATTTGAAATGACGAGATCAACAATATGATATGATGTCAGTAATATAGTCATAATCAATGTAATCAAACATTTGATATAGGCTAGTATCGCTACAGTGGCCCTAAGGGGCAAAGTAGCTTTTTATTTTTGTGAGCACACTGTCAGTAAATATTGAAAGCTACTTTTCCCCTAAGTACCACTGTACAGTATATCTCTGATAACAGCCCACTACTCTCTCCTCTCTCAGGTATTGGACCTCCCTCAGTAACCTGGTTGCCTCCCTGCTAAACTCAGTCCGTTCCATCGCCTCTCTGCTCCTCCTCCTCTTCCTCTTCATCGTCATCTTCTCCCTGCTGGGCATGCAGGTGTTCGGGGGGAAGTTTAACTTCCCAGACCAGGAGATCAGACGCAGTAACTTTGACAACTTCCCCCATGCTCTCATCAGTGTCTTCCAGGTATTGTAGTTTCTATTGTAGCACGATGTGTTGACTGACTGATGGACGGACGGATTGATTGAATGGCTTCCTCCTCTTCTCTCAGGTTCTGACAGGAGAGGACTGGAACTCCATCATGTATAATGGTATCATGGCTTACGGTGGACCAGTCTTCCCTGGCATCCTAGTCAGCATCTACTTCATCATCCTCTTCACCTGTGGAAACTGTATCCTTCACTTCACCAGTAAAGGACCATACATTGAAATAGGTTCAGAATATTTATTGAGGAAATGGAGTGGATGTGAGGGGATTCAGGCAGAGAATGAGATGAAGCCAAGGGCTGTAGATGAATGATCCAGGGGGTGGACCCTGGAGTGTTTGAGTCTCGGGTTGACATCATCATCATCATAATCATCAGGCCGTGGTAGGTAGGCTGCTGTGGTGATGGCAGTAACCCTCAGGAGATCGGTTGTCACTAGTTACCACAGCCACAAAGTCAAAATTGGCTATATCATAAAAATGTATGAAAACAAAATATAACTTTCGTCTTAATGTAAGGTTAGCAGTGTGGTTAAGGTTAGGTTCAAAATCAGATTTTAAGAAAATAAATTGTAGAACTAGGCAGGGGTTAGCCATAATTATGACTTTGTGTCTGTGGTAACTAGTGACGAGCCAGGAGATCCTTGGAAGAACCTAAGAGAAGGGATGTAAAACTTGATAAGGCTAGAAACGCACAGTGTCATGCAATGTGACATGAACTACGGAACAAAGAGGAGGAATGTTCGTTTGGTCAGGTTTAAGTAGTGGTGTACAGGTGTGGAGGCTGATTGGCAAAGAGTAGCAGCTGGTGCTAGTTGAGTTGGAGCTGCACTCAAGGCAGCTAGTTTAAAGAGTTGTATTCAAGTCAGTTCCACTCTCCTGAATTTCATTTCATTATTAACTCCATCAAATAGAACAGAGTACAGGGGTAGTCATAATGTCATCAGTGTCCTGTGCAAAATAAGTTACTTACGTATACATAAAGCAAGGTGCTGTTCAGGGCTATTCTCAGAACCCAGAACCAAATCTCCTGTGCACGCTGGCCAACTTGATTAATATTTTTGTTACCGTCTGTCAGGATAGACTAGTTTGTGACCTGTTTGGTTACATAAAAGGGCTTGTTTTATAGGATGTAAATAATTGTATAATTACAAGGCTAGACTGTGGCATAGCTAAGAGCAGACCAAAGTACAAGGCTGTTGTTTCCTGAGCGCTGTGTGAACAGACATCCTCCTCAACGTGTTCCTGGCCATCGCTGTTGACAACCTGGCAGAGGCAGAGAGCCTGACGGCCGCGCAGAAAGACAAAGCAGAGGAGAGGAAGAGGAGGAAACTGCTCAGGTAAACAAAACAACCCTCTTTCGACTCAACACATTGGCACCTTAGCAGAAAGAGCTAAATACATTTGAGATGTTAGCAGTGCTTGACTTGGACTGAAATAGGTGCCAGTACTCATTTTGGGTGCCAGTTTATATTTAGGTACGGGAGCTCCACAATACTTTTGAGCTAATATTCTATAGGGGGTGCAGGAACTCAAGCAGAAGAAAATCTGTGGTGCTGGTACACAGTTGCGGTGAACTCCTGCCCATGTCAAGTACTGGATTTTAGCTGCTGTTTGCTCAACTTTCTCTATCCTCCTTTAGCTTTATCTTCCCTCCTTTCCTTTCTTAATCTGCTGCTGTTAGCTATACACCCTTTATTACAACTAAATGTTCCCCTATTCTCCATCTCTCCACCTGTTCCTACCAGGGCCAACATGCCAGACAAGGCTGATGAGGAGAAGGTTCTGCTGGCTAAGAAACTGGCTGAACAGAGGGCTAAGATAGAGGGGATTCCCACCACTGCTAAGGTTAGTTACTACTGACTCAAGAGTCATCTATCTGTACCGGGCAGGTTAATGTATGAGGTTAGTTAACTAACCCTAACATTAACAAGTTGGCTGAACAGAGAACTAAGATAGAGGGGATTCCCAACACTGCTAAGGTCAGTCAGCAAAGAGGGCTACTGAGCCAACAGGATCTAACACCACATGTCTTGGTGCAGGGTTACATTTCACTATTTCAGTCCTGAACCAGGTGTTGAGATGGCACTGATAGCCTACTGTATACTGTACCATTAAGCTGTCAATATGCTAATGCTGGGTCAATGTGTGGTATTTAGGTAGCTGTGTCTCTTGTATTCTGAATCTCTATGTTTTAGCTGTTTATAAACCTATCTCATTATGTATCCATTGTTTTCAATTCCAGCTGAAAGTAGATGAGTTTGAATCCAGCGTGAATGAAGTGAAGGATCCCTTCCCTCCTGCAGACTTCCCAGGTAGGTGGTAGGTCAGGCAAGGCTTCAGGAATTATCCCAACATACACTACTATACTATCATCTGAATCTCACTTCTGCTAATCGAACCGTTACAAAAATAAGCAATTGAATCTAAAAGTCAATAGCTAATTGCAGTAGGAAAGCTACTGCTTGATGTTGACATCATTACATTGGATTGAATGACTATCAGTGCTGCTATCCTGGCCGCGGTACAGTCAGTATAAGAATAGCCCCACCTAATAATAATTATTAGTTGCTCATCCCAAAGATCATCATCTTTTAAGTCCAGTCTATTTTCACACACTGTCCACTGCCTTATAAAGGCTGTACTCCCACACGTTTTTGTTGTTATCTAGCCATTTTCCTGGCATTGGAAATATGAGTAGTCTGAGGTTGTTGTACTCATCTTCGACAGAGCAGTGAGCACATCCTCTCTTTTCTCCCTGCTACAGTAGCCTGATCCCAGATCTGTTTGTGCTGTCTTGCCAACTTCATTGTAATGCCACTAACCATAGGAGTTGGCAAGACAGCACAAACAGACTTGGAATCAGACTATTGCTACAGTATGTCTTATGTTTATGAACCTAAAAGTGATATGGTTGTGTTTTTGTTTGAAGAGGAGCCCTTATTTAAAAAAATTATCTGGTTATAAATTGAATTACTTTAATAAAATAAAATGGATAGCACACCATAAAAAAAAACAGTAAATGATGAATTTACTGTATAATAATTTAATGACTGCCAACTACCAACTGTCCTATCCACGACACCCTCTGTTCTAGGTGATGACGAGGAGGAGGAGCCTGCTATCCCTGAGAGCCCACGGCCTCGACCAATGGCTGACCTCCAGCTGAAAGAGGAAGAGGTTCCAATGCCTGAGACCTACTCCTTCTTTATCTTCGGACCGGAGAACAAGTGAGTCCCACAGATCAACACAGTCCCTATTCAATTAAATTCAGGCCAACAACAAACCATGGGTTGTATCTGACATAAAGTGTTATTAGACAGCTATTGAAATCATGTTTCAATAATAAGTTGGGCTTGTATTCCCGTCGGATGTTACAATAACTATGTAAGTTGAGGTTGTTGTCTTTTCTTTGTGTGTGTGTGTGTGTTCTCTCCTTGGTCAGGTTTCGTAAGCTGTGTCATAGGATCGTCAATGCCACCCCCTTCACCAACTTCATCCTGCTCTTCATCCTCCTCAGTAGTATATCACTGGCCGCTGAGGACCCCATTGACCCCAAGTCATTCAGGAATAAGGTGCTCAGGCTATGTTCCACTAAGAAATCTAAGTGTAGGGTGTCCACCTACTGCCCAGAGTGGGTGAAAACATGCTTTGGTGATGAAATTTCACTTCCTTCTTTTATAAAATACATTTTACCAAGACAAATATGATTCTTCATGTTCTGAATTGTTCAGTGGGGTCTTTCTCTAACATATCATTAACATTATATCCAAAAAGTCCGATTTTGTAACCTAACACAGTTGATAATAAGCACCGAGCACTGTTGACAGAGCGGCAACACTTTCTCGCAGCGACTTTTGAGGATTTGACATGTTGTGGTTGTCTGCAAAGTTGTTTCTGCAGGTCGCAAAAAGCAAAATGAACATGACACGAGCTGAAAGAAATGTATAGGCTTTGGAAATAAAAAGCTTACAGTACGCTAAGTGCTACGTTGACATTTCACAGAGATACGCTTGTTTTTGTGAGAAATCTTCTAAAAATAACAATAATTTCACATTAATATGAAAAGTGAATACTAATATATAATATATATTTTTGACCACTTTTTTTCTCTGGCCTCCATTTAATTATTCACCCTAATTTTGCCTACAAAGGTAAAAACTCCAATAACTTTCGAAAGGATTATAATCGAGACATGAAGTTTAGACAATTGGTTTTCTTAGAGGAGTATCTATACCATTAACATATTATTTTACCCATAGGTCAAAAGATGCGTTTTGATTGGACATCCTACTAAGTGGTGTCTTCTAATGTGTTTCAGTCAGACACATCAAATAAAATACAATTTTAAATAAAGGGCCCTTCAAAACAACACATCAATAAAATGTTCATAAAAGGACAATCAAATCAGATTTTAAATAAAGTGTATGTAAAACACAAAAAAACTTTACATAAAAGGACAAACAGTGTAAAGCAGGGGTTCTCAATCTTGTTGGGGCCGGGGACCCCTTTTGTGATAGCAAATTCATCAGGTTTCCTCATAATCAGAACACAACTCGAGTTAGATACAAATATCAGACAAGGAGTTTTACTATGACCATGGCAGTGCATGGCCGGACAAGTCTTTTAAAGGCCAATGTCTTAGCATCGGAGAGAAAATGTTCAAGCTAATTTCCTGCAATTCTACACATTTTGTCATGGGGCAGAGAGAAATATTTCCTGTTTTAAAGCTTAAATTATAGTAATTCATGTAAAAAAATATATAATATTGAGTTGAAAAAATTATAATTGGTGGAATACTGTGGATACCAATATCCCTGTGAGCCTCCCAGGCACATGTTTCCCAGGGTTAAGAACATAAATTGTAGATGAGTAATATTACATTGTATTTAAACATATTCCATGGATCCCTCAGCCAAAAGTTGTTTAATCTGTTAGTAATATTCATAAAAATATATATTGAGATCTGGCTGCAGACCCCCTGCAGTACCTCGGACTCCCCTTTGAGAACCCCTGGTGTAATGTACGCTTTATGAATGACTTCACTATGCAAAGATAACTCAATCAACCCTCTCTTTTCTGCAGGTTTTGGCTTATGCTGATATCATCTTCACCACTGTGTTCACCATTGAGATTGTGCTGAAGGTAAAGTGGTCTAAATTCTTATTGGATGAAATTGTATAATATTTACGACATTACCCTGGTGACAGTTAGTGTACCCAAGTGTTTCCCCCTTCCAGATGACGGTGTACGGAGCCTTCCTACATCCAGGCTCTTTCTGCCGTAACTCCTTCAACATGCTGGACCTGCTGGTGGTGGCCGTGTCTCTGTTGTCCATGGGAATGGAGTGAGTGGAGCAATGTTGCTATCCTGATGGATGATAGTGAATATATAGTGTTACTGTATTATTCTTGTGGATATACACAGAGTTGACAAAACATTAGAAACACCTGCTCTTTGCATGACATAGACTGACCAGGTGAATCCAGGTGAAAGCTATGATCCCTTATTGATGTCATCTGTTAAATCCACTTCAATCACTGTGGGAAGTATTGCCGTCAACATGGGCCAGCATCCCTGTGGAACGCTTTTGACACCTTGTAGAGTACATGCCCCGACGAATTGAGTCTGTTCTGAAAAAAGGGGGTGCAACTCAATATTAGCAAGGTGTTCATAATGTTTTGTACACTCAGTGTAGTTCTTTGTCTGAGTGGTGCTGTAGAGATACAATAGAGTGCTGTAGAGATACAATAGAGCTCTGTAGAGATACAATAGAGCGCTGTAGAGATACAATAGAGTGCTGTAGAGATACAATAGAGCGCAATAGAGATAAAATAGAGCGCAATAGAGATACAATAGAGCACTGTAGAGGTACAATAGAGCGCTGTAGAGATACAATAGAGTGCTGTAGAGATACAATAGAGTGCTGTAGAGATACAATAGAGCGCAGTAGAGATACAATAGAGCGCTGTAGAGATATAATAGAGCGCAATAGAGATACAATAGAGTACAATAGAGATGCAATAGAGTGCAATAAAGATACAATAGAGCGCTGTGGAGATACAATAGAGTGCTGTAGAGATACAATAGTGCGCAATAGAGATAAAATAGAGCGCAATCGAGATAAAATAGAGCGCTGTAGAGATACAATAGAGCGCAATAGAGAGACAATAGAGCGCTGTAGAGATACAATAGAGCGCTGCAGAGATACAATAGAGCGCAATAGAGAGACAATAGAGCGCTGTAGAGATACAATAGAGCGCAGTAGAGATACAAGTGTACATACATTACATCATTTCAACCAGCTTTTCCTGCTGGGATGAGCATATTGTTAAGGCTGTTGTGTGTCTGTCGTGGGTCTGTAGGTCCAGTGCCATCTCAGTGGTGAAGATTCTCAGGGTGTTGAGGGTGCTGAGGCCTCTAAGGGCAATCAACCGAGCCAAGGGCCTGAAGGTACTGTACACCACATACACACACACACGTATTTCTATACAAATGCATTGTCACACAGCTGGTGATCTGACCTGTATGTGTATTATTTTTTTACAGCATGTGGTCCAGTGTGTGTTTGTAGCCATCAAAACCATCGGCAACATCGTCCTGGTCACCATGCTGCTAGACTTCATGTTCTCCTGCATAGGGGTCCAGCTCTTCAAGGTACGGTTCAAACTGTATGTTGTAGCTATATGCAATAGCTCACATATGACACTGAGAACAGCATGGTCATAGACAGCTCAGTGGCTTTATTATGATTTATAATATGCTAGACTGCTAAGGGGTCCAGCTCCTCAATGTGAGATTGAATAATGTATGTACAGTAGTAGCTCTATTACATAACACTTGAGGTCAAAGCCAGCTCAGTGGTTAGGGTTGTGGTTGGGGCTAGGGTTGAACGGGGATGTGGACATGAAGCTAGGGTTAGGGTTGAACGGGGATGTGGACATGAAGCTAGGGTTAGGGTTGTGGTTAAGTCTAGGGTTAGGGTTGTGGTTGGGGCTAGGGTTAGGGTTAAGGGTAAGGGTTGTTAGTAATCATATTTCAAATTACTCTAAATATGTAGTGGGAACTGTAAAGGTTGTGTATTACTTTATGTAACTTAGCTCATGATTCTGTTGTGTTCTCCTCCAGGGTAAATTCTACACTTGCTCAGACCCCTCCAAAATGACGGAGGTCACGTGCCAGTAAGACACTTTTATTATCAGTCTCTTTAACTGTCCCTTATTCATTCCATTGGGCATTATCTGAAAAAAATATGAATTCCTCACTTTTCTCCAACCCCATTCTCTCCTCCCATCCTCCTCTCCCTCTTTCTCGTTTCCTTCCCTTCCCTCTCCGCCCTCCCTTTCTCTCTCAATTCAATCCAACTTCATTGACATAGCACTTATATTGTCAAAGTAAACATATAACACTGATGGTCTAATACCGCATCTCTCCCCCCAGGGGTATGTTCCTGAAGCACCAGGAGAATAGTCTTCAGGAGATGGTGTTGGCCCCCAGGGAGTGGATCAACAGTGACTTTAACTTTGACAACGTCCTCAACGGCATGCTGGCTCTGTTCACCGTGTCCACGTTCGAAGGGTGGCCACAGTGAGTTACCCAGCCTGGAAGCCGAACTGGCTGAATCAGGGTTGGGGCTCAATTCCATTTCAACTCAATTCAATTCAGGAACTGAAATGGAAATTGAAATTCTCCATGATGGTTTTCTATGAAGAACGTTTAGAAATTGGAATTACAGTTCACTTCCTGAATTGACAGAGTTGAAATGGAATTGACCACAACTCTCGTATGAGTGTCACTGTTTCACTGTTGTTTCACTGTGCTGATTCAGCCTGGAACTGGACATGTCTTCATTGTATTGAATGGTTCCAGGCTAGATCAGTGAAGTGAAACAGTAGTGAGACGGAGCGATATTCAGTTTGGATTCTAGGCTAGGTACAGCAAGACATATAGCCATAATTAAATGTATCCCTCTTTCAAGTTCCTCTAACAAGGGAAGTATTTTTTTACTCTCTTTCTCTTTCCTTTTATAATTCTCCTTTTATCTCTTGCTCTTTTTTTTTCTCTCTCTCTCTCTCTCTCTCTCTGGATCCTTTGTTCCCTCCCTCCCTCCCTCCCCTCTCCCAGGCTGTTGTATAAGGCCATAGACTCAGACAGGGAGGATATGGGCCCAGTCTACAACAACCGTGTGGATATCTCCATCTTCTTCATCGTCTACCTCATCCTCATCGCCTTCTTCATGATGAACATCTTCGTCGGCTTCGTCATCGTCACCTTCCAGGAGCAGGGAGAGTCTGAGTATAAGAACTGTGAGCTCGACAAGAACCAGGTAAGCTGACTAAGCATATTGATGTCTTCTAAAGTCTTAACTCTTTATGATCGACAGCCTGTAGGAAACACAAGGCTTTACATCGCAGAGTATTCTTATCTGCAAGTATTCTCTTTGAGATCTGTGTGTTTGACAGAAATGTCCATGTAAATATTCCATGCACTGCTCAATGCATGATTTGTGTGAAAATCCAAGTTACGTCTCCACATCTCAAGTTAGCATTTGTCCTATTACTATTTAACAGATACTGGGCTTTACTTCCAATATCTTCTCTCTCCTCAGCGTCAGTGTGTGCAGTATGCTCTGAAGGCCAAGCCTCTGCGGTGCTACATCCCTAAGAACCACTATCAGTACAATGTGTGGTACATAGTCACCTCCTGCTACTTTGAGTATGCCATGTTCTTCCTCATCATGCTCAATACACTGTGTCTCGGCATGCAGGTAAATCTAGAACACATCCATTCTATTCTATTCGTTCTCAACACACTGACTGCCCAATTCTGATCTTTTTTCCACTAATTGGTCTTTTGTCTCTTTGTTTCTAATGGCAGATATTTTGGATGTATTGTATAGTCAAACTGCTGTTATGCTATTTCCTCAATGGGTTTGTTGTGAATTTCCACCATGCAGCACTGTAACCAGTCAGACCATGTGACCAAGCTGTCTGACACTTTGAACATGATCTTCACTGTCCTCTTCACCGTGGAGATGATCCTCAAACTCATGGCCTTCAAAGCTAAGGTAGGGTTAGGGGCAGGCCAGGCTCTGGGCTGGCAGGAATGTTTACTTTAGAATGTTTAGTGGGCCTTTCTAAGTATGCTGGAGGTTCTTCCTTTTCTAGAAAAGTTTTTCTCCATGCCCCTGTGTATTCTGTGCATCCCAGGGCTACTTTGGAGACCCATGGAACGTGTTTGACTTCCTCATCGTCATCGGCAGTGTTGTCGATGTCATCCTGAGTGAGGTGGATGTGAGTACACAGAATAACGGCAGCCATGTTTGTACACTTATGCATGTTGTACAGTAATAGTAGATACTGGCCATGTTCAGTAGGGAACATTGTAGCAAAACGTCTTGCAACAGTAAATGTTTCATAATGTTTTCTCCCCACTGAACATGAACCTTATGTGATCTTTATAAGACATTCCCATGCAATGTGATATGATTTCAAAGTGATGGATTGTGTTTATTCAATTTATTTACAACTGTGACCCAGAAACACAAACTCCTGGCTCCACAGCAGCAGGCTGTGGGAAGCAGCACTAGTTCACAGCAGGACCTGGTCAGTACCACTGTCAGACACACCCCCTCCACGCCCCACATAATCGCCAGCCCCTGCCATTGGAATGTGATGTAATGTTGCACCAAGGACTAATATTCCATCATCGGTATCATCTCGTCGGGTTGAGTTCAGTGAAGTGAAGCTATGTTAGGAAATACTACAGTATTTTGAACATCACCTTGTTCACGTCTCTTTTCTCTCCTCTCCTTTCACTTGGTTGAAGCACCATGTTTAGTTTTTTCTCTCTTCATCCAACACACTCCTGTGTTTTCTCCACTCTGAACCTCACCCATCAACATCTCCAGTTCCCTCACCTCCATCCACCTGTCTAACACCATTTCCCTCCTCCTCCTCCTCCTCCTCTCCCTCTCTCTCTCCCCTCTCTCCAGACTGCCTTGGCCTCTAGTGGAGGACTGTACTGTCTCCATGGTTGTGCTGTAAATATCACTTTAAACTGCATCGGTATCTGCATGGGCCTTGCTGTGTGCTGAGCACTGAGCACTGTGAGCACTACTCTAGTTGTCTGTTGCTGTCCTGTGAGGCCCTAGCTAGATGTGTCCTTACAGAGAGATTGTGGACCCAGCCCATGGGGCATCTTGTTGTACTAGGAGCTAATTAGACATTGGGTTAGACATTGCTTACCATATAATTGTATCTAAGATTTGCTCAGTATTCTATTGACTTGGTTTGTAACTGTATGGCTCTTCTCTGAACATGTATATTGCTAACTAACTGATTAATGTCATCAACACAGAAAGTACTGATGTTTGTGTCTACATTTACAATAAGCCTTGAAGACTGGATGTTTATTTTTGTATTTTGCATGGGTTACCAAGTTCTGAATGTATCTATTAATAACTGTGTATCATAACTTCCCCCACCTATAGTTTTGTAGAAATGAATGACAATTTATGCTAAATCTATTTTTTTTTGTTACAGTAATGTGTCTGTTTACTATCGCATAGAAATATCCACTAACGCAACATTAATGTCTGCGGTTAATATGATCTATCTCTGATTATATTTCAGGAGACAAACCCTATGCAGGCCATTGCAGTAAGACAGTATTTTTTTTGTATTGTTTTCAATTATTAGTCTGACAAAGTTACTCTGTAATTGTACCATTGATATGAAAATGAACATGTGTTTTTATTCACCTAAAGCATTCTGAGAATGCCAGAGTGTCCATCACGTTCTTCCGTCTGTTCCGTGTGATGCGTCTGGTCAAACTACTAAACAGGTCAGAGGGCATCCGCAACCTACTGTGGACCTTCATCAAGTCCTTCCAGGTCAGTACCAGTCAGTGTTTCCCTAGCCTCAATTTACAGGCTTCCTCACATTTGTTCATAACAGCAGAGTGATGAACAAAACTTGGGGTATGGCAACACTAGACCCAAATGGAAGGTCTAGTCCAACTTGTTGGTTTTGGAGAAAATTCCTACTGGGTTGCAGCAACCATGTATGGAACTGATGGTAGTTTAAGTAAATGTAACTGGATATCACTGGTTGGGATGACTCAATGTGTGTTTGTTCTGCAGGCTCTGCCTTACGTGGCTCTCCTGATCATCATGCTCTTCTTCATCTACGCAGTCATCGGGATGCAGGTCAACTTCTAGGAGTGAACTGAACTATTATGAATCTATATTATATAAGTACATACACACTATGGGTCCACTTACCCTTGGGTCTTCCCTTTCAGGTGTTTGGGAAGATAGCCTTAGTGGACGGCACACAGATCAACCGCAACAACAACTTCCAGACATTCCCCCAAGCTGTCCTGCTGCTTTTCCGGTGAGTCTGTCAGTCAGAGCGAGAGAGTGGATGAGTCAGGATGAGTCAGTCAGCCAGAGGTAAGGTCAGAGTTCACACATACTGTATATCCACCACTGAGGTGTCTGTGTGTCTATGGGAGGGTGCAACAGAACTTTCAGATATAAATATACTGTGTAAAAACACCATTCTATCTGTGATGTAATGATTTGGCCTATTGAATACACTAGTTGTGCTACAGGAGAGGCGTGGCTGGAAGAGATGCTGGCTAGTATATACGGGAAGCTGTGTGTTGTCCTATGGTCAGGTGTAACTGAATCGTATGCCCTGTGTATTCTCCCAACAGTTGTGCAACAGGAGAGGCGTGGCAGGAAGTGATGGTGGCCAGTATGTATGGCAAGAAGTGTGACCCCAAGTCTGACTTCCTACCTGGGGAGGAGTACACCTGTGGGGCCAGCTTCGCTGTCTTCTACTTTATGTCCTTCTATATGCTGTGTGCCTTCCTGGTGAGTAGTCCTTCCTCCTCTCCTCTCCTCTCTTCTCCTCCAGAAAGTAATTTATGTTGTTGTCTTAAGTTATCTTTCTCTCCCATCTCAGATTATCAACTTATTTGTGGCTGTGATCATGGACAACTTTGACTACCTGACACGTGATTGGTCCATCCTGGGTCCTCATCATCTGGATGAGTTCAAGAAGATCTGGGCCGAGTATGACCCGAATGCCACGTGAGTCATCTCTGAACCCAGATCCAAACTTTGCGCGCGCTGGTCAGCTATTTATGTCACGAGAGACTGGTCCTCTGTCAAGAATGCAGGGACAATGTCCCATGGCATTCCCTTTCAATCCAAAATAAGTTAATGTTGGTATGAGTTTCACATGGCATCTATATGTAGTTGATGTTCTAAGTTTTGGTACCCAAAGCTAATATATAGCTCCTCTCTGTAAATCAATGTGTCTAAGTGCATTTTGTCCTCCTGTCCTGCAGGGGGCGTATAAAACATCTGGACGTGGTAACACTATTACGAAGGATCCAGCCTCCGCTAGGCTTTGGGAAATTCTGTCCGCATCGCTCAGCCTGCAAGGTAAGTCATGTTATTTGGATGAAATTGATTGCCATTTAAATGGGTGCCATTGCCATGTACCAAGTATAAGGTAAGGTAAAGAACACAACTACAACACAAGAACACAACCACCTGTGCTGACGGATGTGGTTCTGTGCCTGATAGAGTGTGTACAGTACATCTTCTCACTGATGTCCATTCTCTCTCATTCCCCTCTTCTCCCTGACAACAGCGTTTAATATCCATGAACATGCCCCTGAACAGCGATGGCACAGTCACCTTCAATGCCACCCTGTTTGCCCTGGTCAGGACTGCCCTCAAGATCAAGACTGAAGGTGTCGAAGGTGTCTTGTCTCTAGCACTGCGCCCATCTCACACCATAAATAATATACCATGTTTATGTTTATGTGCTTTTATGTAATACTTGATGTAATACTTTGCTTTTCCTGGCTTATGTTGACTAGGTAACTTTGAGCAGGCTAATGAAGAGTTGAGAGCCATTATAAAGAAAATCTGGAAACGCACCAGTATGAAACTGCTGGACCAGGTCATCCCACCAATCGGAGGTGAGCATTTCACTGTGACCCCTACATGAACCCTACCTAACTGAAAGTCCATGTATAAAAGCCTCTAGAATGGACCAGCATGCTGAGAACCCTGGTCAGAAAAGTTGATCTTATCTGTTGACTCTTTCAAATATCTTTCCTAGGTGACTTTTCATCTAGCTACCTGTGCCTATTTTCATGGCCCTTCGAGCCAGATTGTGTTTACCAGGGGTGCTTTGACAGATTTACATCCACCACGACATAGGCAGTTGCCTCCGGTAAGCTCTGTTTGGGTTTTGACACTTTGTTTTATTGGGATCTGTCCTAGATGACGAGGTGACGGTGGGAAAATTCTACGCCACCTTCCTGATCCAGGATCATTTCCGTAAGTTTATGAAGCGTCAAGAGGAGTACTATGGCTACCGGCCCACCAAGAAGAGTGCTAATGGGAGTGCTCCAGAGATGCAGGTGAGGCCCTTCGCAGTGTTGTACAGCAGGTTTGGGGTCAATTCGAATTGAAGACAGTCAATTCAGGAAGTAAACTGAATTTCCAATTCAACAATTGAAAAAAGGGCATCTATTTTCAACTACTTCTCAATAAACTGAAAAGGAGAAGCTATTTATTTAAAGCATTTGTCTATTTACAATGTAAAATTGAGTGACTTCAATTCCAATTGACCCCAACCAACACTGTAAAGCAGTGATTCTCAACTGGGGGGTCGCGATTTTAAGGGGTCACGGGACTTGTGCAAGAATATATACAGTTGAAGTCTGAAGTTTACATACACCTTAGCCAAATACATTTAAACTCAGTTTTTCACAATTCCTGACATTTAATCCTAGTAAAAATTCCCTGTCTTAGGTCAGTTAGGATCACCACTTTATTTTAAGAATGTGAAATGTCTGAATAATAGTAGAGAGAATGATTTATTTCAGCTTTTATTTCTTTAATCACATTCCCAGTGGGTCAGAAGTTTACATAGACTCAATTAGTATTTGGTAGCATTGCCTTTATATTGTTTAACTTTGGTCAAACGTTTCGGGTAGCCTTCCACAAGCTTCCCAAAATAAGTTGGGTGAATTTTGGCCCATTCCTCCTGACAGAGCTGGTGTAACTGAATCAGGTTTGTAGGCCTCCTTGCTCGCACACGCCTTTTCAGTTCTGCCCACAAATGTTCTATAGGATTGAGGTCAGGGCTTTGTGATGGCCACTCCAATACATTGACTTTGTTGTCTTTAAGCCATTTTGCCACAACTTTGGAAGTATGCTTGGGGTCATTGTCATTTTGGAAGACCCATTTGCCACCAAGCTTTAACTTCCTGACTGATGTCTTGAGATGTTGCTTCAATATATCCACATAATTTTCCTTCCTCATGATGCCATCTATTTTGTGAAGTGCACCAGTCCCTCCTGCAGCAAAGCACCCCGACAGCATGATGCTGCCACCCCCGTGCTTCACGGTTGGGATGGTGTTCTTCGGCTTGCAAGGTACCCCCTTTTTCCTCCAAACATAACGATGGTCATTATGGCCAAACAGTAATATTTTTGTTTAATCAGACCAGAGGACATTTCTCCAAAAAGTATGATCTTTGTCCCCATGTGCAGTTGCAAACCATAGTCTGGCTTTTTTATGGCGGTTTTGGAGCAGTGGCTTGCTGAGCGGCCTTTCAGGTTATGTCGATATAGGACTCGTTTTACTGTAGATATAGATACTTGTGTACCTATTTCCTCCAGCATCTTCACAAGGTCCTTTGCTGTTGTTCTGTGACTGATTTGCACTTTTCGCACAAAAGTACGTTCATCTCTAGGAGACAGAACGCGTCTCCTTCCTGAGCGGTATGACGGCTGCGTGGTCCCATGGTGTTTATACTTGCGTACTATTGTTTGTACAGATGAACGTGGTACCTTCAGGCATTCGGAAATTGCTCCCAAGGATGAACCAGACTTGTGGAGGTCTAAGAATTTTTTTCTGAGGTCTTGGCTGATTTCTTTTGATTTTCCCATGATGTCAAGCAAAGAGGCACTGAGTTTGACCTCCGAGTTTACCTGTCAACCATCACCCCAGAATTCAATAAACGTATCAAACTGAAGAAACACCCCCAGCTTTCTCACTGATAGGCGCCACACACACACACACACACACACACACACACACACACACACACACACACACACACACACACACACACACACACACACACACACACACACACACACACACACACACACTATGTTGATCATTATTGTTATTAAATTCTGACATTCATATTACATTTTATTGAAACTATTCACATGGTAATTGATTATGAAGATTTCCTAATGATTGTTTTGTTTTCTGTTTTAAACACTGGTATGTGTTACTGTTCATTAACATTATTGGACTGGTTTTGATGTCATGTTCTGAGTCTGATAATGTATTACACCCCACTCCTGAACTGGTCGCCTAATTAAATGGCTTATTCTCTTGAATTGTCTTGAATAATAAATGTTTTCTCAGTTAATATGGCTGTGTAATTACTTTCTTTAATACCATAATAGTAGCCCATTGAGACAGAGTCTATTTTGCAAGTGAACCCTGCCCAAGAAGGCAGCTGCAATACAACATTACAAAATGTAATCATCAACAGTCCATAATACTGGGTCGAGACTCAATTATCATTGTCAAATTTGGGTCCCCAGGCAAAACCAGTTGTAAAGGATCATTTCTGCACACCATCTTTAGGCCTCGATTGTTTACAGTACTTTCCCAAAAATCATCCTCAAATCATCCTCTGCTTGTCTCGAACATCTCGACCACTACTTTAATCTTTCTTTCTCTCATCCTCTCTTGCTTTTCTTGCATCTTCTCTCCCTTTCTTTCTCTCCTCACCTTGGTCTTCCTTGTTGTTCTCACCCTCTCTTTTCTCTACCTCCCTCTCTGTTTACCCCCCATTTCCTCCCTCCCCTCCCCAGGCTGGTCTGAGGAGTATAGAGGAGGAGGCAGCTCCAGAGCTCCACAGGGCCATCTCAGGAGACCTGCTGAATGAGGAGGAGATGGAAAGAGCCATGGAGGACTCTCTGGAGGAAGGCATCTACAGGGTGAGACACCAACGGAGCACTTTACTTTAGTTTAGCCAACTTTATTATCCCATATGGTTAATATAGTTCCAATGTACCATATACAAAAAGGACATTCAAAACAATAACAACATACCATACTGTATATGTACACATATTTCATGTAGCCTGCCGCAGTCTTTATCTTTCATCAGAGCAGGGTAGATAAACATATAGATGTGCCCAGGGTATGTTAACCCCAGTGTTTGTGTTTGGTTGTCCAGCGCCAGGGCGGTCTGTTCGGGGACCATTCAGACCCGTTCTCCACAGAAATCAGCAGTGTCCTGCCCTCCCACATGGCTAGCCAACGTCCCCTACATTTATCAGAGAGCCGCCCCGAGGAGGCTGAGTCGCCCATCAGTCGCTCAGACTCAGTCTTCCTCCCCAATACAGAGTTCTTTCCCATGACCCCCACCAAACACAACAGCAACAACAACGCGTGAGTACCCTCGTCCCCAGGCTAATTGAGTACTGTTACTGACCCCAAACAAACACAACGCGTGAGTAACAATACTGACCCCCACCAAACACAATTAGGGTGATAGGGTACACTTTGCTTGCTGGTATGTATAAGGTACATGGCTTACCTGATTATATATATACACTGCTCAAAAAAATAAAGGGAACACTTAAACAACACATCCTAGATCTGAATGAATGAAATAATCTTATTAAATACTTTTTTCTTTACATAGTTGAATGTGCTGACAACAAAATCACACAAAAATGATCAATGGAAATCAAATTTATCAACCCATGGAGGTCTGGATATGGAGTCACCCTCAAAATTAAAGTGGAAAATCACACTACAGGCTGATCCAACTTTGATGTAATGTCCTTAAAACAAGTCAAAATGAGGCTCAGTAGTGTGTGTGGCCTCCACGTGCCTGTATGACCTCCCTACAACGCCTGGGCATGCTCCTGATGAGGTGGCGGATGGTCTCCTGAGGGATCTCCTCCCAGACCTGGGCGAGACATGATGTCCCAGATGTGCTCAATTGGATTCATGTCTGGGGAACGGGCGGGCCAGTCCATAGCATCAATGCCTTCCTCTTGCAGGAACTGCTGACACACTCCAGCCACATGAGGTCTAGCATTGTCTTGCATTAGGAGGAACCCAGGGCCAACCGCACCAGCATATGGTCTCACAAGGGGTCTGAGAATCTCATCTCGGTACCTAATGGCAGTCAGGCTACCTCTGGCGAGCACATGGAGGGCTGTGCGGCCCCCCAAAGAAATGCCACCCCACACCATGACTGACCCACCGCCAAACCGGTCATGCTGGAGAATGTTGCAGTCAGCAGAACGTTCTACACGGCGTCTCCAGACTCTGTCACGTCTGTCACATGTGCTCAGTGTGAACCTGCTTTCATCTGTGAAGAGCACAGGGCGCCAGTGGCGAATTTGCCAATCTTGGTGTTCTCTGGCAAATGCCAAACGTCCTGCACGGTGTTGGGCTGTAAGCACAACCCCCACCTGTGGACGTCGGTCCCTCATACCACCCTCATGGAGTCTGTTTCTGACCGTTTGAGCAGACACATGCACATTTGTGGCCTGCTGGAGGTCATTTTGCAGGGCTTTGGCAGTGCTCCTCCTGCTCCCCCTTGCACAAAGGCGGAGGTAGCGGTCCTGCTGCTGGGTTGTTGCCCTCTTACGGCCTCCTCTACGTCTCCTGATGTACTGGCCTGTCTCCTGGTAGCGCCTCCATGCTCTGGACACTACGCTGATAGACACAGCAAACCTTCTTGCCACAGCTCGCATTGATGTGCCATCCTGGATGAGCTGCACTACCTGAGCCACTTGTGTGGGTTGTAGACTCCGTCTCATGCTACCACTAGAGTGAAAGCACCGCCAGCATTCAAAAGTGACCAAAACATCAGCCAGGAAGCATAGGAACTGAGAAGTGGTCTGTGGTCACCACCTGTAGAACCACTTCTTTATTGGGGGTGTCTTGCTAATTGCCTATAATTTCCACCTGTTGTCTATTCCATTTGCACAACAGCATGTTACATTTATTGTCAATCAGTGTTGCTTCCTAAGTGGACAGTTTGATTTCACAGAAGTGTGATTGACTTGGAGTTACATTGTGTTGTTTAAGTGTTCCCTTTATTTTTTTGAGCAGTGTATTTTTAATTTGTATAGGTTTTCTTATGAGAGAGAGGAGAGTCCAAAAGTGAGCAGCCACCATTCCAGAGTGAACACAGAGCGCAGCTCTCCAGGTCAGTTCAACATCAGCCTAGGCCGGGATTTAATCCGTGTACAAGCCGTGTTATAGCGTGCTTGACAGTCAAAGGTCATTTCCAATTGAGCTGACATGCGTAGCATTTACTGTGAATGCGATCTCCGCGAAAAATGCTTTAAAAGCCACATTGTCAGCTGTCTAGTGCGCTATGAATTGAATCCCTGCCCTAGTCACCTAATCGATCCTATTATCTACTGATCATCATCACTTGCATGATATTTTACATACTGTTGGATACTCTTTAGTAATTCTTGTGTCCTACAATAACTATGTTCTTCTTTGTCTGTCCCCTGTAGATAACAGACACTTACCTGAGATCAGTGAGAAACCAATCAGAACAGACATCACTCAGGTAACATAATACACATCAGATTGAAGACCCCATACAACCCATTTAAACACTGAATGCCATAGACCAGGGATGGGCAACTCCAGTCCTCGGGGGCCTGAGTGGTGACACACGTTTTCCCCATCCCTAGCAAACACAGCTGATTTTAAACTAATTGCATTCTAAACTGAAGATCATGATTAGTTAAATATTGGAGTCAGGCGTGTTAGCTGGGGGCAAAAGTGTGACACCAATCAGGACCCCGAGGACTGGAGTTTCCCATCTCGGCCATAGACAAAATGGATTGAATTTAGCTGAGCCATGATTCTATGGTTCCATGAATGTCCCTACTCCTAACTGTAAGTGTTGTCTTTGTTGTTGTAGTTCCCCTATGACCCCAACTACGGTGAGAGCCAGTCTCTCCCCAGCTGTTCCCAAGCTAAAGGGGAAGCTACAGAGGAAGGTGTAGGAGCCACAGGAGGCTCTGTTTCTGCACCTGCCGCTGACCAGCTGATCAAAGAGGTACGTTGATACTGATTAACAGATCGTTGTACAAACAAGAGTATACAATTATTTAAACTACATGTGTAAATCCATGTTTTTCCTCTGTGCCAGGTTCCTCCCTCAGACCCTATGTTTGTAACAGTAAACAACATATCATTGTACGTCTCATGTTCTTCCTCAGGTCTTAGTGGTTGGTGGTCTTGGCGACCTGGCCAATGACGATTCATTTGTGGTGGTGACTCGTAATGAAATGGCTGAGGCGTTGCGCATGCCCATGTCCCACTTTGAAGACGTGGCCCTGGGCCTCCTCAACGGGCGCAGCGGCCGTGCCACCTCTGCCACAAGAAAGAAGAGCCCCATCCCTGTACCCCCCTCCATCCCCGCCCGGCCCTCTAGGGCTACAGCACTGAATCCGAAACCCCAGGAGCAGAGAAAGAAGCGCCCAATCCCCCCCTTTAAACAACACCAGATGGGGGAAGAGGCAGACACCAAAGTGTAGAGAGCCTGTCATCGGAGTGCCATGATGACAGTGGCGTTATCTTGTGACATATGACATGACACTTGACTTGACAAGGCTGTGTTGTAGTTGGTGACATCACACACTCACAGCGTTAACAAATCCTGATTAGTTGCCATGGAGATGAGATCAATCCACTAACCATAGTTTCCAATGGAGACTGGAGGAAATAGGCCCACTAACCAGGGTTGATGGCCGAGTTACTAGGCTCTAGCTGGTTGGCTGTTCAGGTTTTAACATGTTATTCCACTGTGGTTGATTCTTGTCAATTCTGTTCTTGAATCAGATTCATGATTCTTATGGAAAACTAACCGACAAAGGAAAAGCAATGTTCTGCTACAGTAATACATATTAATCTTCTCAGTTCCGACATATTTATAATAACACAAAATAAAAAAAGAACTTATCACAGAGTGCACAGGTTCATGAACCTCTTTCTTTGTTATTCTGTTTGTTGACGTAATAATCCATTCCATAGAGTGGTTGGACAGAACAACTATGTCCAGTCTGCTGTGTTTCTTCCTAAAACCCTATACACACTACAGGTTAGCATTTTTTCGTCATGAATCTTGTTGTGGAAGCAGCGCTGCAGAGTGGTCACTAGCTAGCATAAACAAGTAATACAATCTCATTTTAAACCTAACCCTAACCTTAAATTAAGACCAAAAAGCCAATTTTGACTTTGCAGCTGGCCTATCTAAGGAGAAATCACTCAATTCTTCCTCCAGGACAAGACACATGACAATAAACGTCAACATGCGTACACATGCATCTTGATTTGATTTGTACAACTGACACAAAACACATTTGAAATAACGTGTTGTGTGCTTGGTGACAGATGGTGCTTTCAAGACAAATGGGAACTCTGAAAAAAACGAGGTCACATTATGACGTCAGTGATCTTCAGGTCAGAAAGTCGAAGCTCTAGAAAGATGCCAGAGTTTCCGACTTGGAATTCCAAGTTGGATGACTGTTAAAAACAATTTTTCCCAGTCGGAGCTTGTTTTTTCCCCCAGTTGTCTTGAACGCACTGAAGTCAGAGAATTCCCAGTTGTTTTGAACACGGCAAGAGTCTGTGAGTGGAGAGAGTGGTGACGAGTGTCCCGGCAAGGGCTGAAGGGGCAGAGAGGAAGTGAGAAAGAAAGATGCCATTTTGGATCACCTGTGAGTGAGTTTCTATGTATCCGGGACAACTGCAACTGTTGTGTTTGAACGGTTCAGTTCCATCTTTTGAAAAGGGGCTCTCCTGCTCAAACATCCAGGATTCAATGAAAGGCTTAGTACACACTCTGGTTGTACACCTGATGCACAACACATTTGACACAATGGTTGTGATACATCAATAGTTTTGATGAAGCCTCACCATAGAGATAGAGGACTCAGCATTGATATCACCCATCTTAGCATGGACAGTGCCATTGAGGGCTTCCGCCATTTTAAAGTGGTTGGGAGCAATCAGCCACTGAAGAAGAAAATTAGCTATTTTAAAATGGAGATAGCCTGAATGGCGCTGCTGTCACACACTATACTGGTGCATATACAAAGGTGAGTCCTCTATCTCTATGAGCCTCACTGTTTGTGTTCTTAAAGGCAACGTCCTTCATTTATGTTGTTAAAGGAAGGACTTAGCATCTTTTTACTTTATTTACACGTATCTTATTTTATTGAATCAAGACTTGTACAATACAGTTTCCTTGGTGCTCACTCTCCTTCCACTGTGGGGTTTGGGCTCTTTTTTAAGAGGAAGTTTCTTTTTTTTAATGTGTTGGACATTTCTTTGTACTTTTAATTTATAAGTTATTATTCTATTATCAATGTTTGAATACTCACTGAAGTTAGTGTATAGGGGAGAGTGGGGTAAGTGGAGCAATTTTTTATTCAGCATCAAGGGAAATATAAATCCTTTCTAACAAAGATATCTACCTATATTTCAGGATGTTGTGTATCCCTGGAAATTCGTTTTGAAAATGTAGCTTGTCCAAAAAAATGTGGTCTCTTGGCACAACTTACCCTGGGTTAAGCCACCTACACATTTCTGTACTGAATGAAATATTATTACTACCTTTTTAAAGCCATGTCTATCTTTATTTCCCAAACACAATTCAACACTAACTTTTTGTTTTTTAAAATAATTTTAAGCATATTTTACCCCAGTCTTAACACCTAACAAACACTTTGTACTTTCTTTTTAACATATCCCAGCGATTGTATTTATTTATTTAACCAGGAAAGGCTCATTGAGATTTGAAATCTCTTTTTCAAGCGTGCCCTGGCCAAGATAGGCAGCACCAAGTCATTACACAATTACAGACAGACATGGAAAAACTACAAGTAATCTAGTAAAAACCATAGAAAACACAGAAGTATAACAAAATCATAAAACCACAAATTAAAAGCATTGACAGGTCAAGGAATCAGAGATATTTTATTAAATGAGATTAATATGTATTAATGACCGGAGGTTAAAATGAAGTTGAAAGAAAGAAGAAAATAAGGCGATTGAGGATTTTAAGTGGTGCTGAAGTTACTATAGATTTTGTTTTATGAATGCAAGAGTTGTTAGTCATATCAGCATACCTGGAGTATGGTGGATTTAGCATGAAGGCCCACATAGGAGATTAACTGGTTTTGTACAAAACGTTGCACTTTTTTTGTCTGGGAAAGAATCTCATAAGTATTTTGCTTGATTCCTTGCGAGCTCTTTTCTTGCCTTTTCCTGAAAATGTCAGTAGTAAGCAAGGAGACCATTGGAGAAAATCTGACGTTTTGAGAAGGACGCAAAGAAACAACACGGAATCAAGGAAAATACTTTTGAAATTCACCCTGGGTCTGTTTTATTTCTTTAGTTACTCTAACAGGTCTTAAAGGAAGTATTTTTCACTTCATCCGCTTGTTGGCCATTTCTGCCTAAGTAACCTGTTTTATGTCTTTAAAAAGAATGTCCGATTTATGCAGGGTTAAGTAATGGGTGGGACAGCTTCTAACCCTGCTATAACAAGTCTACACAAGTATACCCATCTTCTAATTTGTGCCTTTCAACATAATTTTTTATGTCAGTCAGATGGAGCTTATGTCAAAACAAACAAATAAAACATAAAAAATATACATCAAATTGTGTTACTTGATTTTTTTGTTATCTTCAGTGCTTGACTTGGACTGAAATAGGTTCCGGTACTCATTTTGGGTGCCGGTACTGTTTATATTTAGGTGCAGGAGATCCACAATACTTTTGAGCTAATATTCTATAAGAGGAGCAGGAGCTCAAGCAGTAGAACATTTGAGATGCTGGTACTCAGCTCCAGTGAGCTCCTTCCCAAGTCAAGCACTGGTTATCTGCAAAAATAAAAATGTACAAAGGAAGAAATACCATGAGAGTGGCTGAGACATGGCTGGCTGTTTAAAACATAACACAAGAAGCATCAGCATAACAGGTGAGTTTGCTCAAATGGTGCTGAAAAACAGGATAACATGACAAATGTAATGGTTAGTCTGTAGAGGGAGCCTCAGCGAGAGACATGTCAAGTTTGAATAATCTCTCCTTTATACTGCTGCTGCGTGAAAACAGAGGCACTACCTTGAAATGTCAAAGCATACGTACACTGACGTACACTCCGCTCCCCCTTACGGACTGGAAAGTCCTGAAGTAAAACACACACACACACTCACGGAATGAGTAAAAGTTATAAAACACAGGAGTGAAACACAAAAACGTACAAACATATGCAAATATCTGCAAAACACAGGCACCGAACAGTAAACCTAAAGTTATAAAAGGGTTAAACCTACTTAACAAAAATAGAACACAAGTTAAAATAGTATATTTTATTAACTGAAAGGAATCAATACAATGTCAATGGAATAAACAGGTCTTGTGCAGAATATACCCTTAAATGGATAATTACATTTCCCATTGGCCCTGGACAGATTTAAAACAGAGGCAGGGGGATACTTTTAAAGCAGACTCCATCCCCAAGTCAATAGGGCTAAACTTATAAAACTTTATCCCCTTTATAAATTGACCCTCACTTTAGTGATACAATTCATAAAGTTTGGATAAGAACATGCGCCTAATATTACCAACAATAAGTAATTGCTTTTCATCATTATAGTCTTAGAAAGTGATGTTCACCAGTTGTTCCCCTCTTTAGAAGAAGCAGCCAATCTAACAAGGTGATACAACTATATGGATTGCCCTAATGGAGTTTCATCATGATTTCATAGCAGTTTATATCCAATAAGATACTTAAACAGTTGTGATTTACCTTTTATTATTAGGTCATGGTTAGGGTTGAAAAAAATAAAAAAAATCTGGTACCTTCCCCCAAATTCCCAGAAATGTTGTTTGGAGGATTCCGGATTTCCTGTTGGTCCCTCCTGATTCCAGGTATCTTCCAGGGAATTTGGGGAAAGATACCAGATTTTTGCAACCTTAGCATGGTTTAGGCTCAGAGTCTGTCTGGTAAAACCAATAGGTGGCTTGGTAGTCTGGATCCAAACTGAATTGTTCCGTTTCACTTCACATATATTTTAGGGTTGCACCACTCACAGTCTTGCTCACGCATGGTAACGTTGACTTTATTTAGGCCTCAAGGTCCTATTTGTCTCTGCTCACGTCTCCCCTTCAACTATATCAAACTCCACAGTTTCTCCATCTCCAACACTGCGATGGTATTTCCTACGGGTTGTTTTTCTTTGTCATCCAGTGTCATTCCTGTTGGTGAAACCAACTATGGCTATTACTGACTTGATACTACACTTGATCTTAGCCAGAAGGCAGAGAAATAATATCCATAGCCATTGCTGACATTGAACCACATCGTGAAGAAGTGAAACAACCGGAAAATTCAGTTTGGATACAGGCTAGTTAGACGTGGGGATTTAAATGATCAGATGACATCCGACTGGGAATGAAGTGGCCACCTAATGGGACCTAAGGGTCTTCCAATCCTGACACAATTCAAAGATTAGTAAAAAGTAGCATAATAAGTGAAAAACACCCAAGCAGGCTGAACACAAAGAAGAAAAGACCAGAATTTCAGATACATCCATTACATTGACCAGTGAAATATCAGAAGGCAAGAATTTGAAAAAAGGGGAAGGAAAAAGATTAGAAAACATTTAAGACAACAAAAAAAAGAAAAGCCTAATGGTTACATGTAATACATTATCATTGTCAGCAGGTTTCTACCATCTGAGGGACAAAGCCTGATGCAAATACAAAATTGTCAACAAGACATGATTTCCAAATCATTTTACCATTTTTCTAAGCCTCATAACCTTGTCCTGAAATAAAATACTCATATGAAGATTCAATTGTATAAATGCACATTATATTCAAGTTGAAGCTTTCTAGAAATAACTACTTTGAGCTGCTGTAACTTATTGTCTCACCCCCCTCCCACTCCATTCAGAAAAAGCACAAATTCTCTAGTCCTAATATACTCCAAAAATACAGAAATGATTCAAAAACATGATAGCAAACAACATCTATGAGCTAATGGATGTTTGATACACGATAAAACCAACACATTATTAGCTACATTTGCCATCCAGACACTAGTGATTTGGGTCATACTCATTAGGCACCAAACGGAAGAAAACGAGCAGAAACAGGTAGGGATTAGCTGGACTTATCCAATAAGAAACATTAATTTCTGTTCACAGTTACAAAACGTTTTAAAACATTTTCTGTTGCCAGCACTAATGAATATGACCCTGGTTCAGTTGACCGACCAGAATGTCAAAATGCCAATGAGTTAAAAGGTATGCCTGTCGTTTTGCTCCTCTACTCTGTGTGATGTCCTACTTGTTGGGGTCCTACTCGTTGGGGTTGGGGTTGGCGTCAGGGTACACAGACAGGTCAAAGGTCAGCACTTTGCTGATGACGCAATCTCCTTGCTGTGGGGGGAAAGAGTGATGCTGTCAGTTTTGCCCTTAAGTCATAGAAAACAGTTAGCATACGTGGCTAGTCATTCTATTATCTCAAATGTGAGAGAAAATGACAAGACATTCTTCTAGTTAGTAATGTTTTTATGTAAAAGCTAAGCATTACAAGGATTTATGGATAGGTGTGTTGGATCGTGGGTATGTGTTGTGTGTGTGTGTTTTGTTACATCTGTGTTTGTGTGTGTGTTTTGTTGCGTCCGTGTGTGTGTGTGTGTGTGTGTACCTCTGGATAGACCCCGATGAGAGAGTCAGCCTTGGTGTAGAACTCTTCCTTTAGAGAGATCACTATGGCCTGAGTGTTCACTGACTGATCCTTGATGTAGTTGGCCACCTGTATAGATGGACAGTATTAGACATAACAGCATGGTAATTACATAACAAGTAGTGATGTCGTTAGTCATCTACATAATATGGATAGGCGACACAGACATCACAATAACAAGCCACCCTATCCCTACAGTATATAGTGCACTACTTTAATTAGTGCACTTACATAAATAATAGGGTGCCATTTTAGACTGATAGTGGTGATAGCGAGATTTCGTGACAATTACATAGTAATCACATATGGGTATTTCATGACAATAATAATAGTTTATGCAGCAGGGTTTTAGACACAGACCTTGCCAATGTTGGTGTTGTCCAACGCAGCATCAATCTCATCCAGGACGAAGAATGGGGCAGGCTTGTAGCTGTGTATGGCGAACAGCAGAGCCAGGGCGGCTACGGTCTTCTCCCCTCCAGAGAGGTTGTCCATGGGTCTGAACCGCTTACCAGGGGCAACACAGTTATAGTTGATCCCATCCAGGTAAGGCTCCTCTGGGTTCTCCGGCCCAAGGAAGGCCTGGGATGAAGGAACACACCATCAACATACAGAAAGTTTTGTTCAAATCGAAAGGGGTGCAGTCAAACAGACCATTGATTTCATATGGAATGAACCCTATGTCAATGCAAATGCCACATAATACAGTATGTAGCTACTTTTACTTGGTGGAATACATTTTAGCCTGTTTGTGTATGATACAGTACTACTATGCAGTATTTCTGAAGGATAATACCTGGGCAGAGCTGTTGCGTGACAGGGCTTTGTAGATCTCATCGATGTTGGTGGATACAGCCTCAAAACAGGCGTTGAAGCGGTCAAACCTCTCCTTCTTGATCTGCTCAAACGCCTGCTTGGCCTTCTTGGCTCTCTTACGGGCCGCCTCAAACTCTGGAATACAGAATAGATCATCATAAACGCATTATGCAATGTCGATACATCCTTTCCTATTTCAGTAACATTTGATTCATTCACCAAGAGATAGATGGTAAGTTAGTCCATTAAGACTCAAGTGTAAGCCTGGGTTCTACACATTTCTCAACTAATTCATCTCTCTTCCGTACCGTCGCTGGTCTCCTGGAACTTGTCCCTGACAGACTCTAGTTTCTCCATGGCCTTCATGTTGGGTGCGCTGATTCTCTGCAGTATGGACTGCTGTTCGTTGAGACGTTGCTGCAGTGTGTGCATCTCTGCCTTGATCTCATCCTCCGCCAGCGCGTCCTGAGAGAAAGCAGACACACAAAAATATGTTAGGTGACTCATGTCCTCGGGCTCACACTACATTTCAAACTCACATAAAAACAACCCCATTGCTGGGATATTGAATCATGGCTGAAACAGCCAATTTTACATGTACAAAGATACAGAGACTGAGTCTATGGGGAGATGAACTGCGTCCCAATTCTCCACACGTCTCCCAAAGTATGCACTTGCACACTCCCAGACACAGCCTTAGTATGCAGGGTTCACGCATGTGTTCATTTATTACCTTGAGGTCTTCAGACAGGATGCTGTAATCAATCTCTATGAGAGCCTCTTTAGCCAGGACAGTACTGGACGTTCTCTGACTGCTGCTAGACTCCTCCTGCTGGGAGCTCCCCTACAGAGAGAGAACAATGTCAGAGAGAACAATGTCAGAGAGAGAGAACAATGTCAGAGAGAGAGAGAGAGAACAATGTCAGAGAGAGAGAGAGAGAGAACAATGTCAGAGAGAGAGAGAGAACAATGTCAGAGAGAGAGAGAGAGAGAGAACAATGTCAGAGAGAGAGAGAGAGAGAACAATTTCAGAGAGAGAGAGAGAGAGAACAATGTCAGAGAGAGAGAGAACGTCAGAGAAAGTGAGAGAGAGAGATGATGTCAGAGAAAGCAAGAGAGCGAGATAATGTCAGAGAGCGAGCGAGAGAGAAAGAGGGACGAAGAGAGAGTGGGAGAGAAAGAGAGAATGTTAAGTACCTCTCCCTGGCCGATGTCGTCCATGGTCCCAGAGCGTAGCGGCAGTCTGATGTCCTGCATCTTACAGGCCTGCAGCAGGTTGTGGCGGTCGCTGCGTTTCTGCTCCAGCTTGGTCTCGATGGCCGTCACCTCCTTCTGCAGCTGGGTCAGCTCCCTGAGGGAATAACACACACCGGTCAAACAATACTGCCGCAAACTGCAATGCTACAAAACTAGTAGCCATCTTTCTGGGTCAGCTCCCTAAGGTAAATACAAACACAATTGTTGAACACAAACAAATGGAAATGCTACAAGCGGTTCTTTTTTCAATCAGATACAAGAACAATGTAGTAAGTAAGAAATATTTGCCTTTTAGAAATGGGCAGAAAAAGAAGATGAGGGTTTTGGTGTGTGCGTGCGCGTCTATGGTTTAAGACTCACTTGTTGGCTCCTCCCAGTTTCTTGCGTATCTCCTCCATGTTGTGGTTCTTGTCGTTGACCTCGGACTTCTTGGTGAGGTGCTGGTTCTTCAGGTCCTGCAGCTGGGCCATGGTCTCATCTATGATCTTCATGTGGCGGTGCTCCTCCTGGGAAAGACAGACAAGGAGAAAAAAAGTTATAAAACGTCCAATCTCACCAACAAAGAACGAAAGTACACATTTGATTAACGCTATCGGTCTAAGAATTTAGGCTGCATCCCGAGTCTCCTCCCTTCTCCTGAAGCGTGCACTTGCACACTCCTCGTTATGGATTTAAAAGCATTGGATTGGTGGAGGGTGGTTGGACGGCGTTTCCGCCATTGTTAAATCCATGAGTGGGAGTGTGCAACTGCATATTTCAAGTGAAAGGGACACCGACTTAGTTCGGAAGCCTTTTACGTTAATCTCTATTTACCTTCTTGAGTCTCTCTATCTCCGCCTCGTCCTTCTTGACGGTCTGCTCCCACATCATGACCTTCTCCTTGTCCTCCTTCAGCTGGTTCTTCTCATAGTCCAGCTGGATGCCCAGACGAGTCTTCTGGGTTTCAAACTCCAGCCTAAAGGTCACACAGACACAAAATGGATGCTGTTAGGTTAACACTCCACATGTGTAGTTCCCACTGTAAAGCATGGAGGAGGAGGTGTTATGGTGTGGGGGTGTTTTGCTGGTGACACTGTCAGTGATTTATTTAGAATTCAAGGCACACTTAACCAGCATAGCTACCACAGCATTCTGCAGCGATACGTCATCCCATCTGGCTTGGGCTTAGTAGGACTATCATTTGTTTTTCAACAGGACAATGATCCAACACACCTCCAGGCTGTGTAAGGGCTTTTTAACCAAGAAGGAGAGTGATGGAGTGCTCCATTAGATAACCTGGCCTCCACAATCCCCAGACCTCAACCCAGTTGAGATGGTTTGGGATGAGTCGGACGGCAGAGTGAAGGAAAAGCAGCCAACAAGTGCTAAGCATATGTGGGAACTCCTTCAAGACTGTTGGAAAAGCATTCCAGGTGAAGCTGGTAGAGAGAATGCCAAGAGTGTGCAAAGCTGTCATCAAGGCAAAGGGTGGCTATTTGAAGAATCTCAAATATTTTTTGGTTAGTACATGATTCCATATGTGTTATTTCATAGTTTATGTCTTCACTATTATTCTACAATGTAGAAAATAGTAAAAATAAAGAAAAACCCTTGAATGAGTGGGTGTGTCCAAACTTTTGACTGGTACTGTACATATTACCTCAACTAACCTGTACCCCCGCACATTGACTCGGTACCAGTACCCCCTGAATATACCCTCGTTTTTTTTTTTTTTACTTTAGTTTATTTAGTCAATATTTTCTTAGCTCTTATTTTTCTTAAAACTGCATTGTTGGTTAAGGGCTTTTAAGTAAGCATTTCACGGTAAGGTCTACACCTGTTGTATTCGGCGCATGTGACAAATACAATTTGATTTGACATTGACACAATGGAGGAGAGTGACTCACCGTTTCTTGGCGATCTCGTTCTGCCTCTTGACCTTCTCCTCCTCGAACTCTCTGATGTTCCTGACCCCAATCTCCTTACAGAACTCGATAAACACCTCATCTTCCACAACGTTCATCCGGTCTCTCAAATTATTGACCTCCTTTTCACGGGATTGGATGATCCTCTTGATGTCGTTGATGCGAGGTCCAAAGTTAGCCAGCTCACTCTCCAGCTTGGACTTCTCCTACAGAGGGTGGGAAAAGGACTTGTTAGTCTAATGAATCACAACAGTGTGTGTCTAGGGGTTCTAGAAACCCTACTGACACACAGTGTAGTAAAAACCTATATTAATGACTTTGAATGACTAATTATAGATCACCACATCACTTAAAAAGCCACATGCAGCTCCAGAGCCACAAGTTGCAGACCCTTGGTTTAGGGCTAATACAAAACGAACTGACACCGTGTTGCTACACCTCCATACCTGCATGTTGAGGGAGAGGTGTCGTGTCTTGGTCTGCTCCAGGTCGCTCTGGGAGTATTTGAGTCTCATCTGGAGGCCGTGGGCCTGAGACTGGACCTGGCGCAGCTCTGCCTCCTTCCTCTTAGCCTTCATTTGCTCCTACACCCACAGAGAGAGATGCATCATGATTATTGTAGTGTTTTTCCTTTCACAGCGATGCCCCATTGTTATCGTAGTCCTGTTCCTTTCAGAGATGCATCATTGTCCTTGTAATGCTTGTGTCCTTGACAGCATTCTAATAAATACATTAGGTTGCTTATCCAACTGCAGCTTGATAAAGGCTCAGTAAAATATGTTTGACAGTCCTTCAGTTTCATATTAACATGTTATATATGTTATAAGCAATGTTCCCTCTAAGCTCTCCCAGGACTGCCACGCAGAAGAAATATCAGCCCGCGCAGAGAAGCACGAGATTGAACTTCACTCAACTTTCTGGAGTTTTCCCCGTTATTTAACACTATCAACATTTCCCTTTAATATGTGGGAATTGTGATCGAATCAACGTAAATATTATCCACTTTCAATGCAACATAGCAAGAAAGAAATACAAAGTATGAAGACTTAATATGCAAAACTATCCAAGAGATTGTATTAGACAGAATGCATCGGAGTAGGATTCTATTGCATTGACAGGCACGACTCAGACCCGTACTCTACACGGTGCGCCATAACCAATCAGAGCTGCAGTAGGCCTATATGCAAATAGACCATTGCCATATATGGATCTGTGCCATTCACTTTGAACTGGGCTGTGTTTACAGCATGAGCGGTCGTGAGTAGATGCGCTAGTTTTTTTAAAGATCAAAGCGAGCGCTACATGTAGCCACGTGTGCACATTTGTTCATATCCGTTGGTAGTTAGTGAGTTATTAGCCCAGTTATAGATCATAGTCAGCAAGTGGGGAGTGATTGCTTCCTACAAGAGCACAATGTGTGAATTTCTAGCAATCTTTGACAAGTGAGTCGGGTAAAGAGCTGTATTGTATTTTGAGATGGGCTTGAATAAGCTAAGTAGCCAATAGGCAGAGAGTAGCATAATTTGTCTGATTCTCTGTAATAATGGTATGGGAATAATGACACATTTTATTTTGTTTCTTACAACAAAAACAAAAAATTTCATTCACCTCCTTGTCTGAAGGACAAGTGGATAAACAGGTTAATGTCAAGCCCTGCATGTTTTTTTCTCTCACATCGGCTACTACTGTACGCTGAACGATAGAAAAGCTATTTCCATGTTAAACTGTTATGGGATGAATTTCTCCATTGTTTTTGATGGTAGGCCACTCTGGTAGGCCTACATTATTATAAAATAGCCACAGTAGTCTACTTGACCAGTGTTAAAACTAACTTAAAGCAGGTACAGTCTCAGTGTTAACAGTAAACGAACCGGAAGTTTAGCCAAATGTTCAATGTTCAGGTTTGTTCTCAGCAGACCTGAAATTTGCTCAGTGCCGGAAAGAAATAGAGTGAACATTGGTTATGAGGTATGATGCTCCAAATCACAGTAGGATGTGTGACTGGTTTACCTTGAGTGCCATAACATGTTATGATGGTGATATGATGCTCAAGATCCCAGTGGCCAGAGTGACTGTTTACCTTGAGTTCCTCAGTGAGTTTCTCCTTCTTGTCCTTGAGTTTGTCCACAGCCTTCTCATCCCAGCGCCTGGCCTTAGCCTTCAGATCACTAGCACCACCAGAGATCACACCAGACTTCTGGAACAGAGTACCGTCCAGGGCCACTGTCTGGAGTGGGAGGTAGACAGAAAGAGAGGAGTGCAGGGATGAAGAGGGAGAAAGAGAATGAATGAAATTAATTGAAAGAGTTAATTTGCACATCTTTCACTCAAGGTGTGTGTGTGTACCTTGTGTCTGAATGCAGTTTTCTACTAGCGCCTACTTTTTCCACTTCAATTAACTAGGCTACTTTTCAATTCGCTAGTGAGAAAAAAGTCTGCCGAGCCCTCTCCCGCTAGAATGAACCATATGCATCTTCTAGCAATCTATTGATAGGACAGGCGCCTGTCAGTCACAAAGTGAGCGATGACAGAGTCTAAATCCACTTAGCCTATTGTTTTCTGGCACATTCATTTACTTTCTTTAGCGTGCAGGGTCCGACATTAACGATGGCCCAGGGTCAGTAAAAACATGTGCCGGGCCAGTGGATATCGTCTGTCACTGCCCCGACAAGGATTCAGTTCAACATTTACCTGCTCTGCTACAGTCTCCCATTGAAAACTACACGCGTAAATGTCATGTATTTGAGCAATATGATTGGCTGTTCATTCAAGCACCACCAGGCTCCCGTGAGTCAGAACTTCTCGAGCAGTACATGGATGCCTGTGCCTATACCTCAGTGGCCTTCACACAGCACACGCGAGCTGTCAGAGCAAAAATTATCTCCCATCAATCTACTCGCTGAGCTTATTTATTATAGGGATAGTGATTTATGAAAGTAAACCTTCAATACTGAAGATACTAGCAATATGCTGGCTACTGTTGATAGTGTGCAAATAGAAAGCTACAAAAAGAGCATTCGTCTTGGCTAGCCTACTGTAGCCATGTCGATCTCTCTTTTGGAATTTGTGTCTTAAAAAGGGACAGCATCCTATTTTCAAATCTTCTCAAAATTACATACTTTAGAAACAAAAATGAATTCAATTTATACAATGCAATTCTAAAGAAGAGTAATGACTTGCTTTGCTCAATTATATTACATAGCTTTTTAATCCATATCATAATAACCAAATGTAGCTGAATATAGAGGGAAAGCATGACCCCAATGCATTTAAGACCTACACCATATGTCCGGCCCAGTAGACATTCTGTTGGGACTAGTGGAGAGAATGAAGTAGTAAACTGCTGCATTCTGTGTAGCAAAGCCCATGTTTAACACCTGGTTCATTCTTCAAATCATACCTGTATTGCAGATAGCTACAAACTCCTGTTTGCGAAACGTGCTTTTATAAGCCCAATCATTGCACAACAATTCTAAATGAAATTGCATGTTCAAAACAGTTTTGATAGCCACGATTAAAAATACCTACACACTTTTTTTCCAACTCTAATTGAAGTGCACTTCCCATTCGGCCTTCAAGTGCATACAATGGTAGGCAGGCTTCAGCACGCCACACACCAATTTGCAATGAGCTGGAGGCAGTATGCATTTTTAAAACATATACTTAATTGTTTGAAACCTGAATGTTTTACTACATGAGGCATGTTTACCTTGCTTTAAAGTAACCTAGCCAAAATAAAACCAAACGCGGAGACAATTATTTTATAAAGACTTCCATATGCCATTGAAACCAGTAGCCTCTCACTTATGTTCTATTCTTTTTCAAATCAACTTTCTTTCATTGTCCAGTAGCCAAAAGGCACAATCCTAGTCAGTATCTCTACTTGCACATCTAGCATTCCAGTGTTAATACTAATTGTAATTATTTTGCACTATAGCCTATTTATTGCCTTACCTCCATAACTTGCTACATTTGCACACACTGTATATATATTTTCTGTTATGTTTTTTTAGGGATGTAGCTCAGTTTGTAGAGCATGGCGTTTGCAACGCCAGGGTTGTGGGTTCGATTCCCATGGGGGGCCAGTATAAAAAAATGATGTATGCACTCACTAACTGTAAGTTGCTCTGTATAAGAGCGTCTGCTAAATGACGTAAATGTTTACCCCATATGTAACTCTGTGTTGTTGTTTTTAATTGCACTTTGCTTTATCTTGGCCAGGTCGCAGTTGTAAATGAGAACTTGTTCTCAACTGGCTTACCTGGTTAAATAAAGGTTAAATAAAAAATAAAAATAAATATATTAGCAAACCATGCTAGTTGTTGCATCTTTAGATCTCCCCTCTTCCTAAATGGATATTTTCATCTCTGTCTCATGAAACCGCTAGCATGCGCGGGTTGCGCTTTTGACAACGGTGTTTTCCCGCTAATTGCATTATGGAACAAACATCTGCGCGTAGCCTACTGTCTTGTACGCATTGCTGAGCTTATAATGTGAAGAAATAATAGTTTATGAACATTTTAAGCTAAGCGTTCTGATCCATTGCATCAGCCTCATTGCTTTTTCATTATTATTTTTATGTAGCCTAGGCCTACTGGTTGTGTGAATTTGGATCTATCATCTACCCCCAGAGTTTGCTTGGAATAGGCCATTTTTTTCTTGCATAAAACGACAAAGCTGACCAATAGAATAGGTAAACTTTTCTACTATGGGGATAGTAGATTGACCGACTAGTGATTTTGCTGTTCATTACCCATATTGTTGGCTGAGGAAAAGTAAATGTGGACAGTTATTCTAACGTCTTCAAATGCGCATCTGAATTCGGAAAGGACACACGCCGTTGCATCCTCAAGTTGCATGTTCTGTCAAGATGAATTACCATAATCTAAATGTAATTCATGTGATTCTGAGCACCGTGGGTGGACACCCTAATCAGGTTACGCACCCCACGCATATGGATCTGGTAAACGGAAACCCTGTATTGTACAACAGCTGATGAAACTAACACTGTAAAAGTGCGGAAAAATTTGATCAGTGTTATTTCCTGATAGTTGCAGGTAGAAAATACAATCTAGCATTAGAATGTACCAGAGGCCACCAACATAGAGAATTTCATTTCCAGGGGAGCCTGGCTGGCTACTTTTTCTATTTGGCTGGCTTCTCCATGTGCTTGTAGAAAACACTGTATGGTGTGTGTGAATGCATCAGTGTGCCTCCTACCTTGTGTCTGTAGGGTCCTCCGAAGGCGATGCGTCTAGCGTCCTCTACGTTCTCACAGACCAGTGCGTTACCACAGGCGTACTGCAGGGCCTTCTTAATGTGAGGCGGCTCGTAGCGGATCACATCTATCACCAGCTTGGCTCCACGCAGCTCACGCAGCTTCTCATCTGTAGGCTTCACCTGGAACACAGAGACACAGACAGTTAGACTAATAAAAAAAGTGATCAGATGATGCAGATGCTAAGCTACAGGACTGTTTTGCTAGCATAGACTGGAATATGTTCCGGGATTCTTCAGATAGACATCACATCAGTCACTGGCTTCATCAATAAGTGCATCGATGACGTCATCCCCACAGTGACCGTACGTACATACCCCAACCAGAAGCCATGGATTATAGGCAACATCCGCACTGCGCTAAAGGGTAGAGCTGCCGCTTTCAAGGAGCGGGACTCTAACCCGTACGCTTATAAGAAATCCCGCTATGCCCTCCGACGAACCATCAAACAGGCAAAGAGTCAATACCATACTAAGATTGAATCGTACTAAACCGGCTCTGACACTCGGATGTGGCAGGGGTTGAAAACTATTACAGACTACAAAAGGAAGCACAACCGCGAGCTGCCCAGTGACAAGCCTACCAGACGAGCTAAATCACTTCTATGCTCGCTTCGAGGCAAGCAACACTGAAGCATGCATGAGAGCACCAGCTGTTCCGGATGACTATGTGATCACGCTCTCCGTAGCCGATGTGAGTAAGACTTTTAAGCAGGTCAACATTCACAAGGCCGCAGGGCCAGATGGATTACCAGGACGTGTACTTCGAGCATGTGCTGACCAACTGGCAAGTGTCTTCACTGACATTTTCAACATGTCCCTGACTGAGTCTGTAATACCAACATGTTTCAAGCAGACCACCATAGTCCCTGTGCCCAATAACACTAAGATAACCTGCCTAAATGACTACCGACCCGTAGCACTCATGTCTGTAGCCATGAAGTGCTTTGAAAGGCTGGTCATGGCTCACAACACCATTATCCCAGAAACCCTAGACCCACTCCAATTTGCATACCGCCCCAACAGATCCACAGATGATGTAATCTCTATTGCACTCCACACTGCCCTTTCCCACCTGGACAAGAGGAACACCTACGTGAGAATGCTGTTCATTGACTACAGCTCAGCGTTCAACACCATAGTGCCCTCAAAGCTCATCACTAAGCTAAGGATCCTGGGACTAAACACCTCCCTCTGCAACTGGATCCTGGACTTCCTGACGGGCTGCCCCCAGGTGGTAAGGGTGGAGGTGCAAGACCTGGCCGAGTGGTGCCAGGATAACAACCTCTCCCTCAACGTGATCAAGACAAAGGAGATGATTGTGGACTACAGAAAAAAAAAAAAAAAAAAGAGGACTGAACACGCCCCCATTCTCATCGACAGGGCTGTAGTGGAGAGCTTCAAGTTCCTTGGTGTCCACATCACCAATGAACTATCAAGGTCCAAACACAACAAGACAGTCATGAAGAGGGCACGACAAAGCCTATTCCCCCTCAGGAGACTGAAAAGATTTGGCATGGGTCCTCAGATCCTCAATAAATTCTACAGCTGCACCATCGAGAGCATCCTGACTGGTTGCATCACCGCCTGGTATAGCAACTGCTCGGCCTCCGACCGCAAGGCACTACAGAGGGTAGTGCGTACGGCCCAGTACATCACTGGGGCCAAGCTTCCTGCCATCCAGGACCTCTATACCAGGCAGTGTCAGAGGAAGGCCCTCAAAATTGTGAAAGATTCCAGCCACCCTAGTCATAGACTGTTCTCTCTGCTACCGCACAGCAAGCGGTACCGGAGCGCCAAGTCTAGGCCCAAAAGGCTTCTCAACAGCTTCTACCCCCAAGCCATAAGACTCCTGAACAGCTAATCATTGCTACCAGGACTATTTGCACTACCCCCCCCCACCCCCCTCTTTTACGCTGCTGCTACTCTGTCTATTATTTATGCATAGTCACTTTAACTCTACCCACATGTACATATTACCTCAATTACCTCGACTAGCCGGTGCCCCCGCACATTGACTCTGCACCGGTACCCCCCTGTATATAGCCTCCCTACTGTTATTTTACTGCTGCTCTTTAGTTGTTTGCTTTTATTTATTTTTACTTAACACTTCTTTAAAAATTGCATTGTTGGTTAAGGGCTTGTAAGTAAGCATTTCACTGTAATGTCTACACCTGTTGTATTCAGCGCTTGTGGAAAATTAAATTTGATTTAATACAAGCACAGAGACACAGAAAAATTGACTGGACTGATACAAATTCTAACTTAATAGTTGAGGTAAGTGTGTGCATCTAAAGATAGGATTCCACCCTATGTAAGTGACCAGTCCCATTAAACGTAGTCTTCCCCAGTGTGTACCTCCAGATAGTCGAGGGGCAGGAAGGTCTCCGGCTCTCCTCTCTGCTCCTTGATGTACTGGATGCAGTCTCTGCCAGTCTTCTCTGAGTCCACGATGATGGCGTCCATGTTCTTGCCCAGCACCTTGGTCACAGCGATCTGAAACTTCTTCTGAGTGGGCTGACACAGGTCGATCAGACGGCCGTACTGCAGGGAGAGAAAGAGAGCGTTGGAATATGTCAAAACCATTTCACTATCACTTCAATATTTCTGATCAATATTCTGAGAGAAGAAACATGTCTAGAACACAATAATAATAATAAAATAATATGCCATTTAGCAGACGCTTTTATCCAAAGCGACTTACAGTCATGTGTGCATACATTTTTACGTATGGGTGGTCCCAGGGATCGAACCCACTACCCTGGCGTTACAAGCGCCATGCTCTACCAATTGAGCTACAGAGGACCACTGAGAACAGTGAGAACAGTGAGCAGTTGTGTGGAGAGTAAAACAGAGACAGAAGAGAGCATCCTAGTGACAAGCACAAATAGCCAACTGTGGTTGTCCTATTGCTAACTCTGCCTTCAGTCCCCAGTACTGCCACAGATTCGGGATAGAGTTTGATGCTCTCCATGATCTCGCCTTTGTCTGGTAGCCTCTAGCCTTTACAGCTAAATGTGTGGTAACTCTATGCTAGCTGCAGCTTCCAGAAATGTTTGCACAGATCCAGCGTAGTTTCTTAATACTCTGTGGTTGCCCTATGCCACCTGACAGCCCCCAGCCCAAACTCTGTAGCTGTTGGTGCCCGCAGACTTACCACAGATCCGGGATACAGTCTCTTGATGCTCTCCATAATCTCTGCTTTGCGTGCCTGCCTGCTGTTCTCCTGTCTGTCAATCCTGGCGTCGCCCAGCTGCTCCATCACCTAGGGAAGAGACAAGATGTCAGTCAAAAGTCCTCAGGCAATGTTGACTGATATGACATGGTCCTGGGACTTGTAATTTGCTAGCAATCTACATAGCAGCAAACCCCACAGGAGACAAGCAAAACTAAAAATGTATAGATTGTTTTTCTTCTTCCAGATTAGCAATTCTTATACAGTTATCATGTAATGTCAACATAAAATGTTTTGACTTTCCCAGTGTATTTCAGTATCAACCAATAGTTTGATTGACAGATAGTGTTCAAGTACCTGGTTGAGTTCCAGATTGATTTCATCAATCCTCTTCTTGGCCCCCTCTACCTCCTCAGTCAGCTCCTCCTCCATTCTCTTCTGTTCATCCAGAGACTGCTTGCTGGTGGTAATGTAGTCCTCCAACTTCTCAATACGCTTCTGGTTCTCCTCTATCTCACGGATCTTCTGCTTGATCTTGGCCTGCAGATGGAACATATTAATAAGGTTAATCTCTTTGGCCAGTCACCTTTTCCGTTGCACAACCTTGTTACATTGCGTGCCCCAATGATCACAACCCTGTATTCCGTATCATCATCATCATCATCATCCTCCCCATCCTTTACCTCAGTCTCCACTTTCTTTCTCTCCTCAAGGTCGAGCCGGTCCTGGTCGGCCTTCTGGTCTCTGTTGAACTTCTCCAGCTCCTGGGCCAGAGTGGCCGCCCGCTTACTGGCCTCCTCCTTCAGGCGGTGGTAGGCCTTTACCTGGAGAGAGGAGGAGGGAGGTGGTGAGTATTAAATATTCACCTACATATTTATTAGAGAGATTTGGGATCTGAACCAGAGACCTTCCCATACATCCCTCACTGAGGCCACAGTGCTGCCTGATAATCTGCTGTAACCCTTCATAGGATCCCAGTCTATCTCCCTGTGACCATTCATATTTAACTTATAACACCCTCATGACCGTTCATAGACTAACCTGGTCCTGGCCCTGGCCCTGTGCTGCCTCCTCCATGCGGTCATCAAACTCCTGTCTGGCCATCTGGCCCTACATAAGTTACTATACCCCCTATAACTCCCTTATTACACTTCATAGACACTACATAGGCTCTAACCTGGTTTTCCTCTAGATTAAGATCCCGTCCCTTGCTCTAGGCCTCCTCCTCCATGCTTCTCTCTCCTATGACTCTTCATAGATCATTATGAAGCTACATAGACCCTTATTACCCTTCATAGGCTCCCAGTCTCTAACCTGGTTTTCCTCCAGTGTGAGGTCCTGTCCCTGGCTCTGGGCCTCCTCCTCCATGCGGTCGTCAAACTCCTGCCGGGCCATCTCCACAGCGCCCTGTTCTTTCTCTAACTCATCCATGTCCCCCTTCCTCTTCTTGTACAGCTTCTGGGCATTCTGGAGGGACTTCTTGGCTGCCTCCAGTTTTTTTATCTTGTGGGAGGTGTTCTCTTTGGCCTTGATGTACTGCGGACGCTTTTGGTTCAGTTCAGCATCCTTCTCCCTGTAGGAGGAAGAGGAAGAGGGGGAGTGGAAAAGGATAAGATATTAGGCTTGTTAGGCTCCTTCTTCACGGTCTATTCCTCTTTCCCCTTCCTCCCTCACTACTCACTTGACCTCCTCTACAGGCTGCTGGTCTCATCATCCTCCCAAGCCCTTTCTCCCTCCCGCCCCACTCACTTGATCTCTTTCTCCACAGTCTGTTGGTCTCTCATCATTCGTCCCAGCTCTTTCTTCTTCTCCTTCAGTTCCTCCTCCACGTGGTCCATCTTCTTGCGGTCCTTGTCGATCTCCTTGTTGCGGTGCGATAGCTCGCGGTTCAGCTTCTCGATCTCGGCGTCGTTGTGGTACAGCTTGAACAGCTGCATCTGGACATGAGCCTTCACCACCTCGTCCTTCAGACGCTGGTAACGCTCAGCCTGGAGAGGATTAGGGAGAAAGTGTGTGAATGATACATGAAAACTACATACAAGGTTCGCAAATTGGGCCAATTGTATAAATCACACCAAAACAAAAACTAGAAGGGTTTATGTGTTGTAGGGCAGAATGGAAGAAAAGAATGGAGTCTATCAATCCATCTCAATATTACCTTCTACCTACAGATGGGAAGTGAGAGTTAGTGAGCTCTCGTGAGAAGAGAAGAATGCTATCAGACCGGCTGTCATCCATACCTCCTCTTTCTCCTGCTTGGCTTCTTTGCGTTCAGCGGCGATGTTCTTCTTGCGGTGGTAGTTAAACTGTGTGTCCTCCTCAGCCTTCACCATCTCTTTCTTCCTACGGTCGTACTCCTGAGCCAGCTCCCCAGACCGGGAGATCTCCTCAAACAGAGCCGTACGCTCCTTAGGGTTCTTCATGGCTATGGACTCCACTGCACCCTGATTGGGGAATACATAGAGGTCAGCGGTTACGAACAGTCTTACACAGGGTAAGCGAGGTCCATGGACGAACAGTCTCTAGGGTTCTTATTCACTTTTAAGAAAGCACTACACACATTCTGCTGAAATATGCTAATTGTTTGCATGTGTGTAATATAGTGTACATTTTGTATGAAGAAAGATCGAGAAAACCCAGCTACTCATGCAAATTAAATTGTTATATATTTTTGCATGTGACTATTACTGTGATAACTGTATGTTACTGTTTGAATCAGTTCTCACCTGGAAGACCAGGAAGTTCCTGGCCTTGATGAGGATTCCTAGTTTCTCCAGCTCCTCGCTGTACTCTGCCAGATTCACCACCTTACTGTTGATACGGTACTCTGACGACGAGCCTGACACACAGAGAAGATTGGTGATAGTTATGGCTATCCGTCAAAGATCAGAACACAAAGGGTGTGTCAAAAATGGCACCCTATTCCCTATATAGCGCACTACTTTTGACCAGGACACGTCGTCAAAAGTAATGCACTATGTAGGGATTTGAGTGCCATTTCAGACTCAGACCAACACTACACATTGAACTAGCAGACACAGCCACACAGTTGAGCACTTCTGGATGTGGAGACAGCAGTGGCATACCAATGATGATTCTGGTGAAGGTGCGCTCTTCTCCACTGTCCTCGTGGTACACCATGCTCACAAAGGCTCTGTTGGCTGCTGGCTTCCCCACGGGAGCTCCATGGATCAGGTCCTTCAGGGTCTTCACACGCAGGTTGCTGGTCTTCTCAGCCAACACAAAGCTGATGGCGTCCATGAGGTTAGACTTGCCTGGGAGGGAGAGAATATGAATGGGACTCAATGGCGTCAGTGAGTGAACTATTCAAGTCTTGCAAATATTGTTTCTTTGGAAAAGGACGTAAACTAACTTACTAGCTTAGGACTGGGAAAAGGTGATACCTAATCAGTTGCACAACTGAACGCATTCAACCAAAATGTGTCTTCCGATTGCACTCAATACCTCTGAATCAGAGAGGTGCGGGGGCTGCCTTAATCGACGTTCACGTGATCGGCGCCCGGGACTACATAAAAGTATTGATCTAGCTAATGTTTATTAGATCAACTACTTGCGAGGTCTCATTCATTTGTTCTCATTGACTGGGTGACTGTCAGTGAAGGAAATGTGGACCATAGCCAAATGTTTTGCACCCGTGGCTAGCTAGCTACAGTTATTTAAAAAATGTAGCTAATATTAAATAGAATACAAGTGTTCATATGCTGTCGTTATCGACAAAGTAACAAGTATAGCCGCCATGCATTTGCATCAATGTTGCAAATAATCAACCCGGCTAAACTAGCATTAGCTAGCAATCTAGCTAGGCCTAGCAGTACAGTGACATTAGCTAACTAGGCTACTTGCAATGTTAATTGGCCATCACTTACCGGATCCATTGGGTCCAATAATCGCGGTGAACTTGTGAAAGGGACCAATGATTTGCCTGCCCTTGTAAGATTTGAAGTTTTCGATCTCTATTAGTTTCAAATAACCCATTTTGATCAGATCTCTTGTGCGCAAACAGAAGAAGGAATATGTGTTGTGCTAGCAGCTAATGTCGCTAATGCTAGCTAGCTTTTTAACTCAAACGAGAAACATGCAAGCAAATTGTAAACACTTAAAAATGCAAATAAGCAAAAGTTGCATAATCGGTTGGTGTGCCCGGCTAACTAATTCGATTAGCTTGCAAGCTAGCTTTCAAAATGTACGACTGCAACAACAATGCGCCATTTTACAGTCTTCCTGCACGATTGGAGACCTCTGAGCGCGCGCTAAGTGAATTAGTTCTCGCGAGATGTTGCTTCTACAATGTATCCAAAGCGCCACAATGTTACTGTTTATTTCTCACATTTATCAAAATAGCATTGTAATCGAAAGTATTCACACTCACTGATGGCATTATTATTACAGTGAAACTGATATTATCAATCTTGTTAGCTAGATACTTTTTTGTTGCACATTTAGTTCACTGGTGTTACCATGGTGATTTTGTATCATCTAAACAAAAGGGGAGTGAAGAAGGTGACCTCTCTGAATGATGACAATTGCACCTGTTTTTTGGTACTTTTCGGCAAAGTTTTCATAGTATTATGAATGTTTAATCGCCAAAGCAACAAAATCATTATATCTTGTTAAACTTCTCTGCCTACTACAGATCCACCAAACCTAGAAGAGTCATGTATAAAGTGGATTTGCCGGTGGACAACTCCGCGGATGTGGCAGTGGAACGCCGACGGGCCGCAGAGGCTGCGCGCCAGGCGAACATTTTCAACACCAGACACCGAGTGATGGGTCTGGATCTCAAAGCACTGGAGCAACAGGTGGTGGAGAACAAAGAAAGGGAGCAGATGGAGAGTCAGCGAGAGAGGGCCTTCGGTAAGCACAAGGCAAGGGGACAAGTTGAAGTTTTAGAGGAGGAACTGAGGAAGAACCAAATTTGAAAGCATTTTACCATAAATTGCCTGTGTTTTTTTTCTTCAGATGTGTTGAGAGTGACTCAAGATGAAGTGTTGATGCAACAGCAGCAGGAGGAGGAGGAGAGGAGAGCAGAGTTAAACAGAGACCTCATCCAGTACCGGGCCATCCGACAGCGGGCAGAAGACACCCGGGATGCTGATCTCAATGTTCTCCGGCAGGGGGCGCTCGGGTTGTACATTCCCATCCCAGAGTCTGAGCTGGGACCTGCCAGTATGCAAGTGTTCCAGGTATCACAGATGACACTGTTATAAGCAACAAGATATCAAAGTGTTAAGGGAAATTGGGAAATATGTTGGAATGAATGAATAATGCATTTCTTACACAGTCATTCTGTAGAAGATGCCATGGAAGAAATGCATATCTCCTGACCTGGATTTTAGCTAATTTTCTTTTAAAGCATTTTACTTATTTTCTAATTGTGTGTTTTCATGGCCATACTGTACTGTATATATGTGTGTGTGTGTGTGTGTGTGTGTGTGTATGTGTGTGTGTGTCTTCTTCTTCTGCTTCTCTGTTGTATGCTGTACTCAGGGAGAAGGCATTGGGGACAATGACAAGAGGAGAGCTCAGATGGAGCAGACAGAGAGAGCACTACGAGCACAGAGAGAACAGAATGAGAAACTGCAGAAGAAGAATAAACACAAAGGTGAAACAGACACACAGCTATCATACACACTATGCACACCTACACTACACATCACCCACACAAATAACACAACACGCTCTCATACACATAACTGCACTCTAAACAGTAGCATCATCCATCAACACCCCCTGAGAATACGCACTGTGACCGTGGGAGTATATGAGTGGTGTTTGTGCAGCATGACAAGAGGCATTTGGATGATTTAAGGACACTATCTGAACTAAATAGGTGTGTGTGTGTGTGTGTGTTGCAGAGCTACTGAAAGGCACGGAGCTGGTACTGCAGGACCTGAGGGCTCTTCATTTAGACGCTCTGGAAGAGGAGTGTAAGAGGGCTGGCCGTATCGCTCTCAACAACTACAACCATGCTCGGGTAGACACACACTCTCACACATGCCACCAGCCAAGGATGCACAGATGAGACTGTGAGCTGTGACATGGTTTTTTATTTTAATTACAAAACTAATTGAAGACATTAAGCGATGCGTACACACTCACTCAGGGGAGATGATGAGCACATTAGAGGCACTAAGCAAGTAAACTGATTTGCGCTCACACACGACGACACAAACTGCTTTGATGTATGCGTGGGCAGATGGTCTCCTTTCTAAAAAGCTTTTTCCCTCATCTCATTTGCCTGTCTGACTTGATATGAATAGATTCTCCCCAGTGGGAGGCATCATTATAAATGCTTCTGGTCACGCTGGTTTTCATGTCAATGTGGTTTCTGTTAGATTTTTTTTCAATTGCTTTGGTACTATTTTCAGAAGTATGTGATACATTTTCACAACTCTTGGCACAAAACTCCAAACTGGTCACACTTGTAACGGAGCCAGTCTTTCATTCAAAACCTGTCATTGTGCATTCATTTGGATTGTAAACATCTCTCACCTCACAATCATTGATTCAAAATATACGTTTATTGTGAAATTTAATGAGAGCATTGGTTTAATCACCAAAACACAACATAATGAAATCTTTTCAATTTAGTCGTTTTAACTGCGAGTTAATCCAATAGCAAACAATGCAAGATATGCGTTTCAAATCATCCATAGAAGTGCTGAAAGTAATATGCTACAGTACTGTAAATTACAGTTTTCACATTAGACAATATACTTGTATTACCCAACAAAATTGACAGAAAATCTAGAATTTCCATGATATCTATCCAATGTGTAATCAAAGGTGTGATCAATGAAGACATCCTCTACAATCATTCATGCAAAGAAAATATATATTTTTCAGATATAATTGCAACATAGATATACTGTCTGTAATCAAATGTAATAAATGAAATTAACCTAATTAAAGGAATGAAAATAAAACAACGTTTAGCACACATTAATTTGTATCACGCCTCTCTTAAGCATTTGGCCATAAATTCTCATTCACATCACAGTGAATGTCCTCATTGTTCATGCACCGCGGGAAAAAAAAAAACTTTTGGCATGGAGAATCCAAGCTTGACATTGGTCTGCATTGATGTCGTCGCATGCCTCATCCATGGCCAGGAGGGTGGCACGCTCATGGGGATGGCGATCGTACACCTTCCACCTCCATACTGAAAAAAATCTATAGGGATGAGGAAAGGAGAGTATGGGGGCAGGTATAGGGTCACGAATCGGGGATGGGCCCGAAACCATGCCTGAACCACCTCTGCATGGTGGAACCTGACATTGTCCCACACAATGACATAGGTGACCCCTTCACCTTGACAGGCCTGCTCAATTTCATTTAGTGAGCAGCGTTGTAGGATCCAAGCAATGGCCTACATCCTACCACACCATCTTCAGAGATAGCTGCGCACATGGAGATGTTTCCCCCATGTTGTCCAGGAATTTGGACGATCGGTCAGCACACGGCCACGGCCACCACCATGGGGTCTCCTGTCAATTCTGAGGGTAGAGTATACTGTCAATAGATCATACTGTAACATGTTTTGTGAATTTACATGCATTACAATGTAATTTACTGTAAATGTAATGGTAAAGCATAATGCATATCCTGCAGACTTACCGGTTTTCTTGGCGAAATGTTCTCCCGATCGAATTGACAGTTGATCTTTTCATATTGGGGTGAACTAATCTGTCAGCCTCTGCCATGGTAAGGCCTCTGTTTACCACATGGTCATCGACAGACACAACAGTTCCCTGCCGTCTGCTTCCCTCTCTCTGATGTCCACCTCTTTGACGGGGCCATGCCCACCTCTTTGACCTCTTTGATGGGGCCATGCCCACCTCTTTGGCCTCTTTGATGGGGCCCATGCCCACCTCTTTGGCCTCTTTGACGGGGCCCATGCCCACCTCTTTGGCCTCTTTGATGGGGCCCATGCCCACCTCTTTGGTCTCTTTGATGGGGCCCATGCCCACCTCTTTGGCCTCTTTGATGGGGCCCATGCCCACCTCTTTGACCTCTTTGATGGGGCCCATGCCCACCTCTTTGACCTCTCTGACGGGCCCCTTGTCCACGAGCTCTTTGATTTCTTCCTCTCCCTTGCTGTCTATCCTGCTCCATGTTGAAAGAAATTGCAAGTGTTTTTATATGGTGACCAATTGTGGTTACCACTATGTGAAATCAATTAGTCATAACGAGTATTCATTATGTATGGTTATCATGTATCATACATGTAATTTAGATGTTTATACTTTACAAACACACATTTTATTTCTGTAGTTCTCAAAATCCATATATAGTAGACAAACCAGTTTAAAATCTCTAGATTTACCAAACGGTTAAGTGATTAACCATTAAGCGCAGTTGGATTAAGTGATGGTCAAATGTATTTAAACAAATGAGAAGAGAATCATATGAAAGTATTGTGAGCATTGCATTGTGACAGGCAATTATTTTATATGAAAGGTATTTTTAGATGAAACACTGTTTAAGTTTGGTGAAAAAGTTACTGTGTGATTTTGTGTGTTGTACTTAGTCAAATGAAAAGGTGCTTAACGTTGAGAAAAAAACAGCCTTTTTGATGATCTGTTTAGATTTTTGTACAAAGAGTTGTGACATTTTACCACATACTTGTGAAAATAGTACCAAAGCGATAAAGAAAAACTGTAATAACCCCTTATGCACAGTAGCTAAGCTACACTACAGACTGACAGAGTGGTTCAGACAGACATAGTCCTTTTAGCAGGTAGCCTCTTAGGAAGTAATTGACTGGCTCCAGATAGACGTTAATGCCCTTGCTCTCTCTAGGACCAGATTAACCCTAACCATAACAATTAGGTTGAAGAGTAAAGGTTTGATTCAATCTGTATCGTGGAAGTTCAGCACTATAGTGTGATCGAGCCGACATATGCAGCGTTTACCGTGAATGCAGTCTCCATAAATGCAGGAAGATTGCCTTTAAATTTAAATCGCGCTATAGTGATGAACTTCCGCTATACAGATTGAATCAAGCCCTAAATATACACTGAGTGTACAAAACATTAAGAACACCTTCCTAATATTGAGTTGCACCCCCTTTTGCCCTCAGAACAGTCTCAATTCGTCAGGGCATGAACTCTACAAGGTGTCGAAAGCGTTCCACAGGGATGCTGGCCAATGTTGACTCCAATGCTCCCACAGTTGTGTCAAGCTGGCTGGTTGTCCTCAGTGTAGTGTACCATCCTTGATATGAATGGGAAACTGTTGAGTGTGAAAAACCCAGTAGCGTTTCAGTTCTTGAAACACTCAAAGCGGTGCGTACTACCATACCCCGTTCAAAGGCACATAAATATTTTGTCTTTCCCAGTCACCCTCTGAATGGCACACAATCTATGTCTCAATTGTCTCAAGGCTTAAAAATCCTTCTTTAACCTGTCTCCTCCCCTTCATCTACACTGATTGAAGTGGATTTAACAAGTGATGGAAAGAGAGGGTGTTCCTAATGTTTTGTACACTCAGTGTATGACCGTGTATCAGTGCAACTTCTACCTACTCCCCAGATCTTGTGACAGTGACCCTTAACTCTCTCTTCTCTTAGGAGGTCATGGAACTTTTGGTCTAACTTCTGACCCTTGAACTCTAACCCTCTCTTTGACCCCCACCCACAGGCTGTGGAGCGTGTAGAGAAAGAGAGGAAGGAGCGCATGAGGAAGGAGGGAGAGGAGATGGCAGAGGTGTGGCACATGGTGACATCAGACATCCTGACAGAATGTCCCAAGGCTGCAGAGAGAGAAGTAGGTGGAGGCCCAGTGGGCGGGCCCAGGGTGCTGACGGACAGGTGGAGGGGGATGAGCCCAGTTCAGCTGAGCGCCATCCGCAGGCAGAGAGATGAACAGCGCCTAGAGGGAGAGGTACTGATAACCTCGGCTACTTGTGAACGACTTTAATTTTAGTGCAAATCTTCCATTGACACTAATGCATATTTTAAAGTCAAATCAGTTCAAAATCTGCATTCAGCTCAAAGAGAACACATTCATAGAGTCTCTATTGATTGTTGTGATCATATAAATAACATTGTTTTATCTCTATGGTTGTGATAGGCAATCATCATTGTTGATTCATCTCCTGAAGAAGCAATCTCATCATGAACCTCTCCTTCGATCTTCACCCTCAGGCTTATTATCATATTTCTCATATTTCCCCTATTTTCTCAAATCATTTTAGAGGCTGAGGGAGTTTGAGAAGCAGAGAGACGCTGCCTGGGACATCCAGCGCATGGTGCAGACCCGAGAGGATGAAGAGGAGGAGCGGAAAGTGATGGAGCTGAAGAAGGAGAAGAGGATTGAGATGGACCGATACAACGAACAGCTGGCCAGAGAGCAGCGAGAACAGTAAGCACACAACCACACTCACACACATCCATCTTTACATTCTTTCTTTACACATACCGAGTGAGCAACATCATGGCACATAACCATATTCAATAGAGACACACACACAAACACTGTACTGTCAAAGTATAAAGAGATACTATTCCGTACATGGTGAAAGAATTCAAAGTCCCAGTTTTCACATTAAAAAAAAGACATTTTTGTTGTAAAACAGATTTCACAGTGTATTTTCTCCATCTTGTCTCACCAGTCAGCAGTACCTGTCCAAGACGCTGTATACCAACAGACCTACGGCCCAGTACTTTAATCAGTTCAACAGCAGCTCACGCTGAGGAGATGACCAACGCAAACTCACCGCACAATACTGGATCTCAGATTTAGATGATATGCACAACACAACAAGCAAATGAAACGTTTATGATACAGTCATACTTCACATGTTTTCTTGTTTTTTGATCCCTAAGATTTAGTCACTAGGTCAAATGTTGCAGTCTTCTGCAGCTTTTCAGGAGCTGTATTTTAGGTATAGAATGGACACCGTGACAATCTAGCTGTTCTGTATAGTAGTGATCAATATCTCATTTCTCTGATCTGTTGAGGATAAACATGCATGTCACCATCTTTAGACATTGATGCTATGAGTGATGCTAATGATGACACAAACCAATGACGCCGCTTTTGGTTCCGATTAGTCCAAGGTTCTTTATTTAATTAATTATCACATATTTAGTTACAAGTGGCTGATTCATAATGCAGATCGTTACAATGTCATTGGACACATAACATACAGTACAACACCACTCCACACAGTGCCCCCCCCCCCCCCCCCCCAAACTCTCTCCACTTCAGTCTCAACCAATTAGCACGAACACAATAGCCTGGTCACAGATCTGGTTGTGCTGTCTTGCCAAACTCCTATGACTTTAGCATGATAACGACCATAGGAGTTGGCTATACAGCACAAACAGATCTGGGAGCAGGCTACCAATACACTACTGTACCCACCAGTCCCCCAGTCCCCCAGTTCCATTGTGCTAATGGCACCCCAAACACACCACACAGAGGGACTCGGTCTCCCCTCAGGCAGTGAAATACACAGTATCCGTCCCCTCATTCCTTCCATCCCTCCACCATGACTGTAAATCCATATACGTTTCGTACCTTAAAGAAGCTGATGCTGTTATTCTCTTCTATATGCAATTATTATTCACTTTTTTATTTGATGTTGTAGGTATAAAAAACTGGAAATGAAGTAAGAGAGGGGAAAGTAGCAAACGCTAGCACTAAACCTGGCTTAGACGATCCCCTCACTGACCACATGAAAAGCAAAGCAGAAGTAGCTAGAAAGGCAGGCAGTAGAGTGCGTATCTGTGTGTTCAGTAGTTCACTTATTCCCCAACTCATTCAAAGCTAACATTTGCCCTGACACTACTGAAATCACACCATGACAAACACAGATGGTTAGCAGCTAGATAGGCTGCGTCTCAAATGGCACTCTATAGTGCTTTACTTTTGACCAGGGCCCATAGGGATTTTCCTGAACACAGGGCCCTATATGGCTCTGGTCAAAAGTAGTGCAGTGTAAGGGAATAAGATGCCATTTGAGACACAAACCATAGTCGTGATAGAATAATATTATCATTCTGTATGAAAATAGATTTCTAAAAAGAATTTGTTTTGTCCTGAGTGTGTCTAACAGCAAACTACAGGGAGCTGAGCTCACTCAAACCTCTCATTTAGTTAGACTCACTGGCTGCGTCTGAATTGGCACCCTATTCCCTATATAGTGTACACATTTTGTCAAAATTAGTGCGCTGTATAAGTGGGTGCCAATGCGGATGCACCCACTACCTTTCTGCCAAGCCAGAGACAATCCAAACAGTAACAGTGGATGATAGCTTGGCTTGCAGTCAGACCTGGGTTCAAATAAGATTTGTTTTTTCTCAGCTACTTAAGCTGTGCTTCTGGCACAATGGACCCAATAGAGTGTTCCCAAAAGTGCAAACCTTTGTCTCCGCCCATCTTGCAATCCAGGCAGGCTCAATCAAACTCTCCTTTGAAAGAAAACAAAACCTATTTGAACCCGGATCTGTCTCGGGGTAGACTGTAGGCTAGTTTGAGTGGGGTGAGCAGTGAGGGCAGAGCCAGCACATTGCATATACTCCCTGTTGTGCTCCATCACAAGCTAGCTCACTGCATCCCTCCCTCCCATCCTCATCATCACATGATGAGTGTCCGAAATGGCACCCTATTCCCTATATAGTACATTATTTTGACCAGGGAATAGGGTGCCATTTGGTACACAAACAGACTCTCAACACAGATACTCACTGTACTGCAATGCTTAAAGGGACACTTTTTTTAAATGATGGCGAAGTGCCCCTTACAAGTCAGGAAACATTTATGGACATGATGAACATTAACATAATTTTAACCTCAGTTTTCAATGGGTTGGCATTGATTCTACTGTATATTCTAAAACAACAAAAGCTACTGATGTAATCTCAGCACACAGAACCAAATCTCACTTGCGCACTTCTACTATTATTGATGTAAAATGTTTCTTTTTTTTGTTAGTTTTTTTTTATCTTGTTTTGCAACATTTAAGGAATGGTGGGAGGATTTTTTTTTGCCTTTTAGTTTACATTTTTCTTATCTATTAACTATTTTTCTAAAACAGCCAAATCACTGTCATTAGTTGTCAATACAGGAAAATATGAATTAATAGGTTAATTACAAAAAAATACAATAAAACTACTTGCAACGTTTGAAGTAAACTTAAGACAGAGTTTTAAAACCCACACACTTGTATCAAACAAACGCATTGATAAATAAAACAATCGTTTGGGTTGTATTTACATTCAAAGTGACATTTAAAAAGCTTTTTCTTTCTTCTCTTTTATCCATACCAATACCTCTGTTCTCCTTTTCTCTAAATGCTTATGTCATAATTCCTGCCATTGTCTAATTCAAAAAGAAGGGTTTTTGGCATGTAAATATTATTTATACCCAGGCCTACAAAGAATACATTCTATACGTTAGATGCAAAAAGCAACCAATCTACATGTTTGCCTTTCATCCCAATCTGCCGATCAGGTAATCCTGTTTTGGATTGACAGCGTGCATTGTTCAGGGCATGAAAGGAATATTGAATGTGTGTGTGTGTGTGTGTGTATTTCACTCCCTGCGAACTGTAAATATATAGAAATACTGCTCCCCACCACACCATTACAGTGTGCAATAGTGTTATGTTATACTATGACATGAAGAGGTATGGGAAAGATAACGTTTAACAGCGGACATAGTTTAATACACCGTAGAAAGAGACACAGACAGAATAAATACAGAAAGCTAGTACACAAAGAGGTCTACACATAAATTACAATATCATACCAATAATGACGTCACACTTGTGGTGAAAAGGCGAGAGTAAAGTAGAATAGACTAGAGTAAGCATGTAATCTGGTGCTCTGTATAGAGGGCCAGTAGGCACTGGAACTCATAATGAACATGTACGTACATACTGTATCTATAATACTGTATATGGATAGATAGATAGATATAATGCACAAAAATACACAGATTTGCTTAATGCTATACAGCATTTTCACCCAATTTATTTACTATGAAAACCTGGCTAGGGTAAAATTATGATTATCTTGATTCATGTAGAAATATGTAGAAAATAATCTAAATATGAATCACCTCATATATGCCAATGATCTATAAAACAATATATAAAAATGAGAAAATACAAAGCAAAACTTGATCGCCAACTAAAAACAAAGTTGACTTTTTGTATTCAAAAAGTTAGTAGAAAAATAAATGAATCATAAAAGATGATGTTGCCAACTGTCGAAGACATTGAAATCATGGCAAATAATATAAAAATGTGATAGTAATAAACATCTATAAGACTTGCCATTTGTAACCCACATTAGCTTGGCTGTCTGTATCCTCTGTCTGTCAATCATTCCCTCCCCATGTATCCACATCTTCCCTGCATGTCTGTGTACCATCGTACCTGAAATTACATTGGCTTCTCTTCCTAGCATCATTTTATAATCCTGTCTCTCCCAGTCCAATATGTCACAATGATTTGATAGACGGTGAGAGAGAAAGAGGGGGGGAGTCAGGAGATGTGAAGGTCTGTCACTCAGGTATGTTGTAAAATACATAGAGAAAGACGGGTCACAGGACATGTTTAGGCTGGTGTGGGTCTGTCTGTCTGTCACTCACGTCAGTCGGCCTGTCTGATCAAGAAGGATACTCCTTTGGTCAAATAGTCCGGTCTCAAATGGAGAGATAACATTAGGGGTGAGTGGGGTAATTTGAGCCAAAAGGTAAGTTGAGCCACCTTTGTTTCTAGGAAACCACACACAAAATCTATCACTTGACCAAATAAATAGGAAGAGGTCACAATTTCATGGAGTCTATGAAGGATGAAAGCACATGGAAAAAGTGGTAAGCAAGTTAGGTCCAAAAAACAGATTTTCACCAAGTCAAATGAATTTATTGTGTTAGAGGTTTCATGATGCTTTTATCTAAACCAAAGTAGATCATTTTAAGATGGTTCTTTACATCATTTGGGGTCTCTATAAGATTCAATATTAGGTCCTAAACCTAGCATGAAAGTGCATGCTTGTTGCTATGTGGGCTAATATATTCAAACTGTTTGCCTTGGGGTAAGTTGAGCCAATGGCCATAGAGTAAGATGAGCCATGGTTGAACCAATGGCAAGTTGAGCAAATTGAAGTGTTTTCTTCCCAGGCGTAATGTAAGGCCTATGTCAAAAGTGTCAAAAATAGTACAAAGTGTTTGTTAGGTGTTAAAAGATGCTTAAGTGGGCTAAATCAGGGTCACACAGTGTCTCTTGTGAGCAGCAACCCACATTGAAACAAAAGTTTACACCTCACACACATGGTTCTGAGCTTACAAAAAAGAAGACGTACCATGTCAGATATAGAGTTGAAATGTATTCCATTTTGAGTTTTCATCCCAATATTACACTTTATATACATCACAGAAGACTGAAATATAACAAAACCATTTGAAATAGAAACACTGGATTTTCGGCGGTAAAAAATAAATAATGTTTATTAATTATAAAATGATGAAAAAGATTAATAACATTCCACCCATGAGGCCACTGGGTCATTTGACTGCAGGAAAGGGCTACAGCTGTAATAGGTAATTTGTTGGGAAACCCGGCAAAATTCAAATAGAAATTTGAGTTCTGTCATTTTCATTGAAAGCAAGTGTAAGAAGCGGTAGATCTGTTCTATGTGCACTATTTCTATGCTTCTCGTGCTTAAGTTTAGTTTTTTCGTCTTTTACTTTTGGTTTTGTACACCAGCTTCAAACAGCTGAAAATACAATATTTTTGGTTATGGAAAATATATATTCACAGTGGTTTAGATATTACAACTATTCTCCACACGATACTTGCTTGTTTTGTCCCATAAACTGAAATTATGCGAACTATTAGAATTTTAGCAACCAGGAAATGGCGGAGCGATTTCTGCATAGGGCATCTTTTAAAAGACTAAAAGACAAAAAAACTATTGTGATTGTGTTGAATTGGGTTTGGGAAAGGAAGTTAAAAAGGTAGTGGTCATTTTGTTATTCAGTACAGGAATTTGTAGGTGCCTTAAATTTACCGTGTCCCGTGGCTCAACATATCCAATATCCTGGGTAAGCTGTGACAAGAGACCACTTTTTTGGACACGCTGTTTTCAAAACTGTCATGTTAATTAATTAATTTGGATTATTTCCAGAGATACACTACATCCTGAAATATATGTAGATATCTTTGTTAGAAAGAAGACTATAGTTCCCTTGACGGAGTGATTCTGAATGTAAAAAATGGCTCAATTTACCCCACTCTCCCCTATTGAATAACAGATGTATCCAAATGGTCAGTAGTATATTGATCATAGTCAGTGAGCATATCGATGGAAAAGTCAGTCGAGTAGATAAGCCCATGTATTATAGATAGCTAGAAGTGTGTGGGCTGTGGGTATGTTTGTATCGTTGACATGTTATAGTTGACACGTTGTTGACAGAGATGTTTTGGTCTGACAGACAGTCCTGTAACCTTAGTAACCTTAAATCTAAAATGGCGGCCTCTTACTTTAGTCTAATCTAAATGGCCGCCGAGTTGGGCAGGTCGTTGGTGGTGGGTGTTGGGGTGGTGGTGGTGGGGTTGAGGGGGGAGCTGTCCTGCAGTGTACCCGGGTCCGGGGTGGCTTCGCTGGGCCGGCTGTACTGGCTGACCAGGGAGTCCTCCATGTTCACCTCGGTGACAGCACTGCTGCCGTTGTTGTAACCATCCAGGTTGTCCTCACTGGTACACAGCCTACTCTCATCACACAGAGACGGCTGGCTGGCTGTTCGCTTCTCCTCGTTATCGCTGTAGGATGGAGGGATGGAAAGAGAGATGGAGAGAGGGAGGGGGAGAGAGAGGAAGAGAAAGAGGGGGTAGGGAGGGAGAGGCAGAAAGAGAGCGAGCGAAAGAGAGAGAGAGAGAGAGAGAGAGAGAGATGGGTAAAGAAAATACAGAGATAGAGAGGGAGGAGGTGGGAGGTAGGTAGTGGGAGAGATTGTCACTATCTGTGGGTGGTTGACATACCAAGGTCTTGTATTGCATCATGTTGCCACAGGAAGGGTATTGGGTAAGGGATATTGGGCAAATGAGAGGAGAAATAGGAGAGCCTCTACAAAAAACATTCACTATTTCAAATAAGTAGCAGAGGCTGCATGCACAGTAGAGCACTTTACATCATACCTTTCTAGAGATCTGGAAAAGCAGGGGCAAGCATTAGGGGAAAGAGTATAATGATAAAAACCTACTTTTAATTTTTCAATCAGGGAATCAAAGCGATCATGTTGATTTTGGCATGACATTTAAAACATGCTAAATTGGAGGATATTGACTTGCATTGGGTTTAAGGTAAGCATTTGGTGACAGCAACCAGGTAAACAAAGCCAAAACATGGATTGCTGTCTTACCTTTTCCAAAGACTGCTTACAGGGTAAGGAAACCAAAATGTCATTTTGTAACTTGGATGAACTATCCTTTTAACTCTGTGCTAATATTCAATGATGATATGATCAGCAGGCTTGAGTTAGTAAATATATATTAATAGATGATCAATGCGTAACAATCAATATATAATCTGATTAGATAGACCAACCTGTACTCTCCGAATGTTTCATCCTTCATAGGGCGCGCCTCAGAGTCTACCTGACCCTCCTCCTTATCTTTGACTGAGAGCGAGAGAGAGAGGTTATTGAATTTCAGTATCTGTTCATTAATCAGTAAAAGCTCCTCTCTAAGCTAGTAGCTGGCTGGGGGTTTGGTAATGACCGACACTGGCCAGGAATTGAAATAGCAGCAGAGCACATGTGTTGTGGTTTCGTAGAGCTACCTGGTCTGCTACGTATCGTTTGTTTGACTGATATATGTGAACTTCTAAGCCTATTCACAATGATATTGGGCTGGATGCTGAAAGAGGGGAAACTTGCTGAAAGATCAGATAAATTATGGTCAAAGCTTTTCTTTTAGGCTATTTACAATGACGGCCTACACCGGCCAAACCCGGACGACGCTGTGCCAATTGTGCGCCGCCCTATGGGACTCGCAATTACGGCCGGTTGTGAAACAGCCTGGAATCGAACCAGGGGGTCTGTAGTGACGCCTCAAGCACTGAGATGCAGTGCCTTAGACCACTGCGCCACTCCGGAGCCCAAGACAACAAGAAATCCAAAGGGGGCCGATAAATTGGATCCTGGTTTGGTTAAGTGTGCAGCGCCCATCATTGTTGGCTCAATAACCCATAAATGTTTTTTTTTTACATTGTTATCAGGAAATAACTGCCACTCCATTAGGGCGGGGATAGTAGTGATCTTAATAATTGTCGCCCCATTTCAAGGCTTCCTTTTCTAGCTAAGATTCTCGAATCCTTGGTAAATGTACAACTTTGCTCTCTTTTATCTGATAAATGTATTTTGAATGTAAATCAATCCGGGTTTAGGCCTGGGCATAGCACTATTACATCAACCACTTTAATTGTTAATGAGCTTGTCAATGCTTTAGACACTAAAATGAAATGTGCTGCTTTGTTTTGGACCTGTCAAAAGCTTTTGAGAGTGTTGTTCATGCTATTTTATTGAATAAGTTGTCCTCGATACGCCTGAGCTCTGACGCCTGTTCTTGGTTTCATGATTATCTTGGTGACAGAACTCAGGCTATCGTGAATGATAGGGTTAAGTACATAAAAAACACTGTTTATATAAACACCATTGGTCAATCAGTAACATTTTGTTTAACTTAATCTATATGCGGATGATACTATTATGTATGCTATTGCCCCGACTGTTGATCTGGCTGTGTCAAAACTACAGTCAGATGTTATAGCTATGCAGGAATCGCTTGCTGATTTAAAACTCATGCTTAATAAGTGCAAAACGAAATACATGTCGTTTTTAAACTCTCGTAAGAATGTTTCAGATGAACTACATGTTCACTCATTAGATGGTTCTCCAATCGAACGTGTTCCCGCATATAAATACTTAGGCATTTGGATTGATATGGATTTGACGTTTAAAAAACACATAGATGAGCTGTTTAAGAAGCTAAGATTTAAAGTTGGCATTCTCTACAGAAACAGAGTGTGCCTTTCTCTAAGCAGTGGGAAGCAGATTATTCAGTCAACCTTTTTATCTGTTCTTGATTATGATGATATTATTCATCAAAGTGCAGCTGCTACTACTCTTAAACCTACTCTTAAACCTTTGGATGCCATCCACCATAGCGCCCTTCGTTTTACATTACATTACATTTATGTCATTTAGCAGACGCTCTTATCCAGAGCGACTTACAGGAGCAATTAGGGTTAAGTGCCTTGCTCAAGGGCACATCGACAGATTTTTCACCTAGTCGGCTCGGGGATTAGAACCAGCGACCTTTCGGTTACTGGCACAACGCTCTTAACCACTAAGCTACCTGCCGCTCTATTTTGTTACAGGCGACAGTTTAGATATTCATCACTGTATCCTGTATTCGCTAAAGACCCGTAGATCTCTACATTACTCCCATTTTGTTTACAAGGCCCTACTTCATAAACTTCCGTCTTATCTAACTTTTCTGTTGAAGTATAGACACCTGAGTTGCCTAGGTCTCAATATGTCGTCCCTGTCAAAATAAAGGTTAAATAAAAAAATAAAAAAATAACATTTGTTACAAACTGCCTGACATGTATGGTTTCTCAGAAACTATCTGGTATATGTAGTTTCTTAGAACTTCCTACTTGTTAGAAACTACATTCTACAGTATATGTGGTTTGTTAGACCTGACCTGGTTTGTCAGGTATTTGTCTGGTGCATGTTGCTATATTTAGACCTACCTGAATACTTTCCCCCCTTGCTCCTCTTGATGAAGCAGAGGATGAGCAGTACCAGCAGCAACAGCACGATGGCGCTCACGAGCCCAATGAACCAGCCCTGAGTAGCGAAACCTGACTGCACATCCACCACTGCTACAGAGAGAGAGAGAGAGAGAGAGAGAGAGAGAGAGAGTGAGGGAGGGATCGGAGAGGGAGGGATGGGGATGAAAGAAAAGATGAAAGGAAGAGAAGAGATTAAGAAGAGAGAGAGTGGATCTGGAGCGCACACACAGGGGCTCAGTCCACACACACACTAACAGACAGACGGACGGACGGACGGACGGACGGACGGACGTAACCTAACATACATTACACTAGAGATGTAGGGAATACAGTCCAATGCCCAAAACAAATACCACTAACTGAACTTTTCATATAGCGGCTGAACGCTTTGCCATTTAGTCTATGTCATCTAGGACATAAAAAAAAAAAGAAGCAATTCACACTGATAGAGCTGCAGCAGAGTGTTGCTGTCAGACGCAAGCAGTGGGCCCAGAGGAGTGTGTGTGTATGTATGTGTGTGTGTGTGTGTGTGTGTGTGTGAGTCAGGGGAGGCTGGTGGGAGGAGCTATAGGAGGATGGGCTCATAGTAATGGCTGGAATACATGGAACGGTATCAAACACATCAAACATATGGAAACCACGTTTGACTCTGTTCCATGAATTCCATTCCAGCCAATACAATGAGCCCGTCCTCCTATAGCTCCTCCCACCAGCCTCCTCTGGTGTTCCTGCCTGCCTGCGTCATTGTGTGTGTGTGTGTTGTCTCACTACCTGCTCCCTCGGTTCTGTTCTCAGAAGGTGTTATTGTTAAAAGTGAATCATGTGTGCGGTGTGTATCTAGGTGTGTGTGTGCGGTGTGTATCTAGGTGTGTGTGTGTGTGCGGTGTGTATCTAGGTGTGTGTGTGTGTGCTAGGTCTACCTGCTCCCTCGGTCCTGATCTCTGTCTCCCAGAAGGTGTTGTTGCTGAAGGTGAATCTGAGCCGGTACTGTGATCCTGGGGTTAGACCCTTCAGCTGGTAGAACGACTGGGACGAGTTCAGCTTCTCAGACTGCTTCCACTTTCCACCGCCTGGAGACAAAATAATGTATTTGTTTATTCTGTTCATTCTATGTATTTATTCAGTAAAAATGAGAGGGTGGTTCACACATGGAAATAGGCAAAATATTCATTTTTTTTCTTGCTTACAGACAGGGGAGTGAAAAAAAGGTGTTTGGTTTTCCCACAGGCATACTGTTGGTCAGCTGGTAGCTTACTGTTCTTGTTGAGGTACTGGACCTGGAAGCCCACACTCCTGTGTCTCTGGCCTGGCACCCAGCTCAGGTTAACAGACTTCTCTCCTACAGACAAGCTGATGTTGGACGGAGGAGCTGGAAACGGTTGAGAAGGGGTAATTATAAGCTCTCTCACCCTCCCTTCACAATTTCAAACGATCAGTTTTGCATCAACAAATGGAGCAGCATCCTGTTAGTGTTAACCAGCTGTAATAATATTTCTTAACCCCTAATACTCCACAATATAACTACATTGTGATAAACACACCAGTAAACATAATGTTTAATGTCTGTTTTTATGTGTGTGAAGCGGATTACAAAATTCCACATTGCATGGACAATAAATAAGAAAAATACATCTAATTCTAATCCTCCTGCAGTACTACCTCCGTCCAGCGTAGTGGCGCCCTCCCTTGTGATGGGCTCTCCGTCCCCGGCCGAAGTGCGCCCCCTCAGGTAGAAGCGGTAACGGCTCTTGGGGTCCAACTGCTTCAGGGTCAATTTCGTCAGCGTGTGGTCGTCTATGGTCTCCACCTGCACCGGGCTGTCATCACTCTCCACGACTACAAAAAGAGATAAAGGAACAGCCAACCAATCACGGGCAATCAATTATGTTATAGGTTTGTCTCTGATTTAGCGTCACATGCAGTCTTAGAGCGGGAACATGTCTGTCGGGGGAGAGTCTACATTGGACTTAATCTATAACATTTTAAGTTGGTCTGAATTAGCCTTAGGGATATTGATTTAGTATTGATGATCTGAATCTGAAGTATGGACGGCTAATTATTGATTGATTGATTGATTGATTGATATTGATTGTACTACCACTAGCCATCTCCAGTAGTGACTGGTGATACATCAACAATATGTCAATGTCACTGATGTTCAGTGAGAAGATGGCTATTGACTCGTCAAGAAGCATTATTGTCTTTTACAAGACAGAGAAGTATATATAATTAAGGTCTAGATGAAGGTATGGGTACCATAGACGACAAAGATAGAAAGATATACAGAAAGAGTGAGAGATGAAGAAAGAAAGATACCCACTCTGTTGGTACTGCAGCAGGTATCCTTTGAGAACCCCATTGGGCTGAGCAGGGGGGGTCCAGTGGAGGGTCATCTCCGTCTCTGCAGGGCTGTCCAGGTGGAGAGACATGGGGGGGCCAGGAGCTGACAGGGACACAGACAGGCTTGATTAGATATGCTTCCACTGCAGTGCACACTCTCTCTGTCTGTCTCTGTTACACACGCATCAAAGCCCATTCTTGTCTTTAGTTTAAGTATCTGTTTTTGTGTTCTTTCCATCCCCCCAAATGTAATGGCGCTTTGCTTTATTTGACCCTTTTTTTCTATTTCATCTATCCATTCTTTCCCATCTCCCTCCCTCATCTCTCCTTCTGCTCCATTTACCTATCTCTCAAAATACCACCCTCCCCTCCTCTCCCTCCCACCACCCCCCTTCCACCTCTCCTCTCCCTCTCCTTTCCTTCACCCCACCCACTCATTTTCTCCCACTCCCTTCTTTCTCTCACCTCCCTCGTCGGTATTGAAGGACAGGGGGGGGTCGGAGGGGGGCCCCTCTCCCTTGCTGTTGAACACAGTGACAGTGAGGGTGTAGTGGGAGTAGGGTCTAAGGCCCCCCAGGACCCTCTTCTCCTCGTTGGCCCCTGTCTCCACCACCATGCTGCTCTCTGGCTCTCTGGCCCTCCGGCCCCGGTGGTGGCCCCTGGAGCCGAACCTTGTCAGGTGGATCTGATGGATAGAAGGGGTTATAAGTGTTAATAATGCTCTATGTAGCTTTATGTAGCTATAATGTCATGTTCATGATGTGTAATGTATGCTGCCCCGGTTAGTGGCCCCTAGAGCTAAACCTCATCAGGAAGATCCAGGACGGAAGAGGTTATAATGGGTTATAAGGCTCTATGTAGCCATAATGTAATGTTTATGATGTTGATCTGACACACAGAGTAGGGAAGAGGTTACAGGGGTCACAGGTGGAAATGAGAAAAACATGTAACCACTGAGTGCCAGAGCTGGAGACAAACAATGGATGAGCTGCAAGTACCTTATATCCCAGTAGGTGTCCTCTGACAGTATCTCTGTCCACTGCTGCCCATGTTACCTTGATGGCTGTACTGTTGAGTAGCACCACACCCACATCCATAGGAGCCTCCAGGGGGACTGGAGGGAGGGAGGAGAGCGGGAGAGAGAGAGAGAGAAGGAGGGAGGGAGGGATGGAGGGAGGTAGGGGGGAGGGAGGGAGGGGGATGCAGAGAGAGAGAGAGGGAGGGAGGGAGGGAGGGAGGGGGGATACAGAGAGAAGAGAAAAGAGAGATACAGTCATTACCTTGCTCAGCATCATAATCACTTGAGTGCTTATTATTGTACTGTTTTCCAGTAGGCCTAAACACAATAGACTAATTGATAGTCATTAGAGTGAGATAAAGAGGAGAGAGAGAACAAGAGAGAGATGAGAACAGGAACGTGAGAGAGAGAGAGAGAGAGAGAGAGAGAGAGAGAGAGAGAGAGAGAGAGAGAGACAGAGGGGGAGAGAGACAGAGAGAGAGGGAGAGACAGAAAGAGAGAAGAGAAAGAGAGATATATAGAGAGTCTGTGAGAGAGATAAAGAAATAAAATATAGAGAGGGGAGGGAGAGAGATAAAGAAAGAGAGATCATTACAGAAAGACAGAATTCTAAAACAACATCTCACCATTCTCTCCGGAGTAGCCAATGACAGGGTCTGGCTCAGGTCCCGCCCCTTTCTGATTGACAGCCTGTACTTTGATCTCGAAGGCTGAGAAGTTGCCCACTTCAGTAACGATGTACGGTGGCTCAGTGGTGACATTAGAGTGCCAGGTGGGGCCGTCACCTAGTACCCTCCTCCAGAACACCTTGTAGTGGAACTCTGGTCCGTTGAACTCACGCCTGTCCATTTCCTGTGACAGACAGGGACACGAGCCAATCAGAATGGGAGTACACACAAGCCCACAAGTTTAGCCTACCATTTTCTGCCATTTCAACGTTTTTTGGGATGAGCTTCAGGTATACAAGTTTAGCCTACCATTTTCTGCCTTTTCAACGTTTTTCTCCCATTATTTTTTTATTAACACATTTTCCAGTTTCGGTGGAACATTCATGTAAAAGGTGCCAGAACAGTCTAACATAAGAAAGAGTCTTACCTCCCATGTGATGACCAGGGTGTCTGGGTCTGTAGACTCACTCCTCACATCCTCAGGGTTGTTGTCTGGAGCTGTGGAGAGGGGAAGGGGGTGGAATCCCAAATCAGATAGGCAGGGTTGGGTAGGTTACTTTCTAAATGTAATCCGTTACAGTTACTAGTTAACTGTCCAAAATTGTAATCAGTAATGTAACTTTTTGATTACCCAAAATTGATTACTTTCAGTTACTTTTGGATTGCTTTCCCCTTAAGAGGCTTTAGAAGAAGACGAAAAATTATCCATCAAAAGCATTTGGTGTGTCATCATAGTGGTCTCTGCCTCTGTCTTGTGGTCAGACTCACTCAGGTGGAACAAACTTAAACGTGCATATTTTTTTCAATGCTGAGTTGAATGTCATTGTGAAACAGAAAGCTGCCATAATGTATTTTTTTGCAAACATCCTTTCTGAATTTAAAAGTAATAATCTAGTGTTATTGTAATCAGATTACATGGAATCAGTTACTCCCTGACCCTGCAGATATGGAACGTTTTGATGTTCAATCTATTTTAGGAAGTACTGTAGGTCTACATGCAGATAATAATACAGTATATTCACTACTAGTCCAGATGATAAGCTAAAAAAAGAGACCATATTGTTCACTTTGGTAGAGAAGCATTAAAATTGGCATACTTGTAAGCCTAAGGTCGGTCTCTAGCGCCCCTATAGGTCAATGGTGAAAATGCATTTATCTGCATTTCGTTTTGGTTCTTGGCTTCCCCGGAGTTGGATCTATGTGGCCCCAAAATAGCTTAAAATATATGTATTCGTTTGGGGAACTAATTTAATCAGCAATCATATGGCCTTTGTTTTTTCCTTCATGATCGCAACAATGATGAGAAACCATAAGAAATCGCAGTCAAATTTTGATTATGTATTAAATACAAAGTTACCTTTTACTTTCAAATTTGTTTTATATAAGTGCTCCCTGAAGTCTACTGATTACAAGGATACATAATATGATATTATTTACTGTGTCACCTTTAAGAAACATGACAGGAAACCATTGCACCACATTTGGCAATATCTGAGCTGTGTCCTTAAAAACATGCACCAAAGTGCAAATTTCAGACAGCGCAAATGGGGAGATTTAAGACCTTCCAGAAGCAGGTCTTAGCAGTAACGTGGTTGGTAATGGCATGGATTTTGAGAATGGAAGCGCAGCCTATCCAGCCAATGACGCACAGTGCCCATGTGCTTTTTGTGCCGGTGAACTTCATATTTAGAAATATAAAAAATGAATGCTTTTTGTTTCATTTGATTAAAAACCAAGCATAGCTGCCCAATGTATTCACCAAGTAGCTAAGCCTATCAATAAAGGATTTTGCTCGTGAGACCTCCTTGAAATACATCTGAATCACCGAAGCTTTATTAAAAGATCATGTTTGGGAGCAGTAAAACAGTGAGCAGACATTGTCATGTGAGTCATTCCATGTAAATTCAGCAAGCCATGACACCCACTAAGATTGTTCTGAAATCATTTCTGTAGTTAGAAACCGATAAGCTAATTGATTGCACCCAAAATTGCAATTTTAATGAATAGGATTTAGATAATATTCAATAAATATAGTACCCAACATCCGATTTGGACTAAAATTCTTCCTAACAATGAGGAAGACATGACGAATCCAAAACAAATGGTCAAAATCTACCAACGGACCCCCCACACCCCATGCCAATCCCAGCGAAGCTGCAAGAAACCCTATTGTACTTGTTGGTTCCACAGCAGTGAGCTCCCTTCTCCTACTCAAGGAGCTTTAGAGAGTTGTAGGGCTTCCCAGCCTCAGTGCATCTCTGCAGGGTGAGGAGACAGTCTGTGCATGTTGTCAGGAGGACCTCAGTAACAGAGACAGGTATCACTGAGGTGTTATTGTCATGCAGAGTCAAGTTAAAGATGATCCTGAAGCATGTTCCTCTTAAGTCATGGAACTGGGTGACGTCAAGGGAGTTGTTCTGGGTACTAACAGGCACAGAGACACCTATCCATGCACTATGTGATAACATCAGCATGAACTCCCAGGAAGGACGGTCTGAACTCTCAGCAATAGACACCCACTTATCCAGAGTCTGATTGAGGCTGCGCTGCTCCGATGATCTCAGGAGTTCCTCAGAGGTAAAAGGGAGAAGACCCAGGATAACAGTGACACACACCGCCAGCATCATATCTCAATATGTCCGCCTTTGTCTCTGTACAGAAAGTCTTTCTCACTGCCTGTTGATGTTTCAATGGTGCCAAGTATAGGTCCAGTCGTTTATACACTCTGATGTTTGTTCTCCTGGGACTCTCTATGACACAATAGGTCAAGAACATGTGCTGTTTGTGCTGTCTGGGTCTTACCACTGTTGCTACATCTAAACAAGGCAAAGGTCGGGAATCAATCTGAGCTGTGTTATATCCCTATAACAGACTTTTAAAGTGCTGTTATTGAGCCCACATGCGTAGTGTTTACTGTGAATGTGATCTCTGCAAATGTCGGGGAACATTACTTTAAAAGGCTCATTGTCGGCTGTCTAGTGCGCTGCGAGAATGATGCCAACATGAAAAAGACTAAAAGAGATGACCCGGGGACAGTGTGTCATACTCAAATTCAGGAATGGAATACTGAGATGCAGGATTAGAGACTTCTCCTTGTGTCTCTCTCTTCAGTGTCTCTTCTGCTCAGAAGAGTGTGTGTAAAAAACACAAAAGGAAGTAACCACTGAACATTATTCAAACAGAAAATGAAAGTATTTTTCTAGATGTAAGCAGGAACGGGAATACCAAAATTGGGAATGTATTTAGTAGGAAGATGTAGTCCATATATGACCGTGTGAGCAAATAAACTCTGGTTCCACTGACTGCATGCTTCTGACTGCAAAAACACTGAAACTCCATTGAACAGCTTTGATTCAGAGTTAGTTGGGAGCTAGTTTCACTATATACTGTATAGTGGGGTCTGAAATTATTGACACCCTTGATAAAGATGAGCAAAAATGACTGTATAAAATAAATAATTCCAATCCGATGTAGCTCAGTTGGTAGAGCATGGCATTTTCAACGCCAGGGTTGTGGGTTCGATTCCAGTATAAAAATGTATGCACTAACTGTAAGTCGCTCTGGATAAGAGCGTCTGCTAAATGACTAAAATGTAAATGTAAATATTGTATGCTAAAAAAATTGGAAAATTCAATTGTTTTATACTAATACAATTGCTCAGAGAAAGAGATTTTGTTTCACAAGTAATACTTTTTCCCCCTCAAAATGGTAGGGGTCAAAATTATTGACACCCCTATTTTCAATTCCTTTCAATACCTCACTTTGCAAGGATATCCTTTGTCTGCACTGGACTGCCCTCTTCAATTCAAACCACAAGTTTTCATTATTCTGTATGGAGGTATGGTCTAAGATCCCTCAAAATGTGTTCTCCAACTCATAAAACATTTTAGAAAAAGGCTCAGTGCCATTATTCTCGCAAGGTGAGGTATTGAAAGTTATTGAAAACAGGGGTGTCAATCATTTTGATCCCTACCTTTAAAAAAAAAAAAAACATTGTTAAACAAAATCTCTTTCTCTGAGCAATTGTATTAGTTTAAAGATATAAATGTTTTTGCATACAATATAGCTCAGTATTTGAATTATTTATTTTATACAGTCATTTTTACTCATCTTTATAAAGGTGTTAATCATTTCAGACCGCACTGTATATGGGAGATTAGGGCCATGAAAAACACACTTCTTTTGGAGAGGACACAATTCTCATCAAGGGACAGAACTTACCATTGGAACACATCTCCATTGATAGATTTTGGCAGCAAAATTGCAAGTAATTCTTCTTTCTTTCTTATTATTCTTCTGCCTTTGTCGCAATATCTCAATGCCCGATTAGTAAAATGTTTTCTACATTGGTAATATCAAAGTATATCAACACTGCTACTCAGATACCAACAGCACCTATTGGCCCATAGGTGGTGCTATAATAACCATTCAAAGTCTAAGGCTCAGCCCCATCGCCCCGTTTGATGTATAACCACGAACCTTGGTATATCAGTGTTTCTCATCATAAGGAACAAATTTGCTTCAAAAACCCATGAGGTCCGACATATTTTTGGGGCCATGTTGACCCATCACAGGAGAAGCCATGACCCAAAACTAAAATTGCATTTTCACCACCACTACATGCCGACCTGAGGCTTTGATGAAATGGCACTATATCAGGTTTTGTTCATGTGTGCCAATTTTAATGCTTCTATACCAAAGTTAATTTAAAAACAAAATGTATCTACTGGACTATACAGCAGGTGTATATATTCTAGGTACTAGCGGGTGTATATATTCTAGGTACTAACGGGTGTATATATTCTAGGTACTAGCGGGTGTATATATTCTAGGTACTAGCGGGTGTATATATTCTAGGTACTAACGGGTGTATATATTCTAGGTACTAGCGGGTGTATATATTCTAGGTACTAGCGGATGTATATATTCTAGGTACTAGCGGGTGTATATATTCTAGGTACTAGCGGGTGTATATATTCTAGGTACTAGCGGGTGTATATATTCTAGGTACTAACGGGTGTATATATTCTAGGTACTAGCGGGTGTATATATTCTAGGTACTAGCGGGTGTATATATTCTAGGTACTAGCGGGTGTATATATTCTAGGTACTAGCGGGTGTATATATTCTAGGTACTAGCGGGTGTATATATTCTAGGTACTAGCGGGTGTATATATTCTAGGTACTAGCGGGTGTATATATTCTAGGTACTAGCGGGTGTATATATTCTAGGTACTAGCGGGTGTAAAGATTCCATGAGTTGAAACCACTAGGCATTTCCTTTTTTTACGCACACAAACACACTTGATAGGTGTATCTAACCTTGAGGTGGCGTGCTGTGAAGGTCAGAAGGCGTGCTGGGGTCACTCTTCCCAATGTCGTTGATGGCGATGACCCGGAAGCGGTAGGACATGTAGGGCTGCAGGGCAAGGGTCACGCTCTCTTTGGTCCCACTAACACTTTTCAGCTCCTCCCAACTCCGCTCCTTAGAAACATGATCCTCAAACACCACCAGAAACTCTGGAGGGAAGGATGGGGGAGGGGGGGGGAGAGAGAGCATCAGCCATCAGTGACAATGCCACTAAGCAGAAGATATTAAGTAATATGTGACAATGGAGAAATCACAGTCCATGTAATGAGATAACACGTTTTCATGTTCTCAGGAGAGATACAATAATATAATATGATACGATATGGGGTTGGTAATTCAAAGTGCAAAGCCTCAAAGTGATCTGGTTATCAAAGGCAGGCAGCAGTGTCCATTCTGTCCCCAGCCCTGGACAGCTGTGAAAATAATATTGGAAACATGACCTCACTCTCCCATGGGGAAATACATGATACGATAGCTATGGGTTTATAGTTCAAAGCATTACAGTGATCTAGTATCAATCGGACCTGGGTTAAACATTTTTTTCTTTTTTTCGGCTAATTCTTTTGAGCATTTGATTGAGCTTGCCTGGAATGACAGATAGGCGGGGTTTGCAATTTGCAATGTTGGGGCTATTACATTGGTTCCATTGTGCCAAGCAAGCGCAATCAAGCGTTTGGAAGAAAACAAATCCTACTTGAACCCAGGTCTAGTATTAGTGTCAGTTGTGTATTGTTGGCTGTTGTGTTCATTCAGTATCATGTCTGTACCTATGACAGGGCTGTTGTGGTCATCTCCAGCGGTCCAGCTGAGAGTCACGCTGAGGTCTTTAGGGTCAGAGATCTGGAGCTGGGTGGGGGGATCCGGACGGTCTGGAGTGGGGGGGGTGGGGGAGAAATCAATTTAGGGTTAACAGTTCAGCACCAGTTGAGGCATGCAGCACAGTATCAATTTAACACTACATATTGAAAGAAAGAAATACAAAACGCTGTAGAAACATTATGCCACATGGTGTTAACATTATCATATGTTTGTATTTCCATACCAACTGTAGTGGAAAATGTTTCTGAATTTACTACAGCATACAGTAAGTTATACCTAGAGTACACTGTCTACTGTACACAGCATCAACGTATTACTGCATAATATAACACAACAGAGGTTTACCACAATACCAAACATTTTGACATTCACATGGGACATTTCCATACCAACTATGGAAAATGTATTAAAAACACAGCATTAATGCATCACTGCATAGTAGTACAGTATAGAAGCACTGGCAACATCATACTACAAATGAAATATGACATTGAAATGGGACATTTCCATACCGACTAGCGTGATGGATCCGCTGGCCTCAGCCATATCCAGGTTTGTGATGACCTCACAGACGTAAACCCCCTCGTCCTCTGTCTGCACGTTGGCCACGATCAGGTCTGGGCCCTCAAACGTGTACCTGGATATAGGGACACATCTTTGTCAGTATTGTCATTACCCTCGTCATTATTATAGTCTCGTCGTCATACATATACCTTTACCGTACATATGAATATCGTAATACCGTAAAGAGCCGTACAGGTGCTGACACACACACACAGCTGTGTTTTCATGAATTTTCAGGACTTTCTGGAGTGTACATTTGTTTTACCATTACCCCTAACCCTTAACCTAACCCTAACCCCAAAAACCCTAACCCTTAACCTAAACCTAAGCCATTAAGGTGAAATGTTAGGACATTGGTGTCCTGATAAGGCAGGAAAACAAGTGCACACACACATACACAGAGAGACAGACACACACACACAGCCTTCTCAGCAACAGACTAAACATGTCCTTACTTGTCCTCCGCGTATGATTGGAAGAGTTTGTGTCCACTCCTCCTCCACTGGATGTGTGGGGGGGTCAGTTTGGCATCCACCTGACCCAGGCAGGTAAATATGGCCGTCTTCCCAGGCTGAACACGCAGAGACCCGGGAGGAGACAGGATCACTGTCCTGTCTTTGAGAGAGAGAGGGTTAGAAAGAGAATGGGTTAGATAGAGACAGGATTAGATAGAGGGTTAGAGAGAGAGAGAGAGAGAGAGAGAGAGAGAGAGAGAGAGAGAGAATTAGTGTGCATAATGTGTGTGCTGTGCATGTGATTGAATGTGTCAGCATGAGTCTGTACGGTATGTGGGCATTTATGTATACGTGTGTGTGTGTATGCGTCCCTGTGTGTGGTTCATGGCCTACTCACTCAGCACCTCCAGCTTGGCGTTGATTGACATGTTGGTGTTGCTGATGGAGCAGGTGTACATGCCCTCTTCGCCGTGGGAGACGTTGGTGATCTGGAGGTTTCCATTGGTCAGAAGGTTAACCCTGGGGTCAGCCAGTAGAGAAGCGTCAATGTCCACCTCCCTGGAAAGGAAATACACAGAGATACATAGAGATGACTATACAGAAAACACAGCCAGAGAAGGTGTAAAACCGAGAGCCAGAACTGTAATGTTCGTTAAACAGACCAAGGTAGGATTTTGTCTGACTGGTTGTCAATGAGGAGAGTGACACATTTGTTCTTTGTTGGAAGATTTTCTCAATCTAATTAAATAAGCTGGTTTCATAGAATAGAATAGAAACTCATACAGGCGTGGGTCTCACCATGTAACTTTAGGTCTGGGAGACCCAAAGGTCTGACAGTGTAGAACAGCCTTCTGTCCCTCTATGACGGTGTACGTCTGTCCGTCCGCACTCAGGATCTGAGGCGGCAGCTCTGGAACAGGATACCGGGGAACAGGTTTATCAATGCGACCTACTTGTTGTTAGCAAATACATGAACACACACATACACACACACACACACACATTCTCTCCCCCCCCCCCCCCCCCCCCCCCCCCCCCACACACACATAGAGCACCTCCTCACCGATGACAAATATGTAGGTATTGACTAGGATGGTTCCGTGTTTGTTGTGGGCCTGACACTGGTAGACTGCTGTATCAGTGAAGACCACATCTCTCAGAATCAGAACTCCATCTCTCACAGTACGCCTGGGGTCCAGGTCTATACCTGGACACACACACAGCAAGTCAGCAAGACATTCTACCAAAGCACAATACTGACTGCCATATTAAATATGAAAACTCGATTTCAAATAAATTATTTAGAGTTGGCAATAGCAAAAAGACAGGAAATTCAAATGAGCAACCCAACCCTAAATTTGACTTATGTAGAGCAGCAGTAGGTGTAATACGCTGAGTTTGCAGTAAAACCTTGTTAGTGCATACTATAGGTCAAATGTGTGTGTGTGTGTGTGTGATTCCTGACCTGTGATGGGATTTCCATTCATGCTCCAGGCGACAGAAGGAAAGGGAATGCCATCGGCCTGACAGTCCAGTCTCACTGTCTCTCCTGGGGCATAAAGCTGGCTCACTGGCTCCTTGGTCCAGTACGGAGCAGCTATGACAAAACACACAATACAATAACAGTATTATACACACCAATGTATTAGAAACAATAGCACACCACACTACATAAAACACAACAGTATACAGAATGCAATGATAAAGCATATGATAATATTACACAGATTAAAACAGCATTAACACCCAATAGTATTACAAAAAAACCACACCATAACAACAAGATCATACGTAACAATCAACGTACATAGAACACATAGAATACACAGAACACACCAAACACACAGAACACACAGAACACAGTTCTGTGACTATGCATAGTCACTTTAACTCTACCCACATGTACATATTACCTCAATTACCTCGACTAACCTGTGCCCCCACACATTGACTCTGTACCAGTACCCCCTGTATTTAGCCTCCCAACTGTTATTTTATTTTACTGCTGCTCTTTAATTATTTGTTATTTACTTATCTATTTCTTTACTGAACACTTATTTTTCTTAAAACTGCATTGTTCGTTAAGGGCTTGTAAGTAAGCATTTCACTGTAAGGTCTACACCTGTTGTATTCAGCGCATGTGGCAAATAACATTTGATTTGATTTGATTTGATCTCACAGAACACACAGAACAGCAACAACCTCTGCTGTTTAGATAGTATATATTCCGTACCTTCGACGCTGACGGTGTAGGTGTGTGTGACCTTGCCCTGTGAGTTGTCGGCTGAACACTGGTACTCTCCCCCGTCGCTCTCTGAGATGTTACTGAAGCGCAGCAGGCGGTCAGACAGTTCTCTGGACGTACGAGACTCGGACAGCTGACCGTCCTTCCTCACCCACTGGACCGTAGGAGTAGGGCTGGAGGGGGCGGGATGGGGAGAGAGGGGGAGGGGGGGTGGAGAGAGAGAGAGAGAGAGAGAGGGGGGTGAGGAAGAGGCAAGATGGGTCAAGAAGAGGAACGTCAAACAGGCTCACATTGATTGATGGATGTAAGATAATATATGCGTGTACACGCACACACACAAACACAGAAATAAAGAGAGAGAGGGTTAGATTTACAGGCCCTGGACGATGCACTCTAGATCCAGGCTCTGGCCCCGGAGGGTGTGGTAAGTGCTGTGGGCCCCTGAGGGCCTCATCATCTGGGGCCTTCGGTTCCGCACCACTGAGTTAGCTGGAGATCGAGGGAGGGAGGGAGGACGGGAGGGAGAGGGGGTAGAGGAAGGGAGAGAGGGAGGGAGAGAGAGGGAGGGAGAAACAGAGAGAGGTTCATACATATGTATAAGTAATTGCAAGGTTGCCCAGAGCTGTACAAAGGTGCTGATACAGCAGTCACAACACACACACACACACACACACAGACAGACACTCACACTGAACTGTACCACTGGCGGGTTCAGGTGGCGATCAGAGCCCTTAACAACATATTTCCCCTCACAAGCACCCACCCACACACACACACACCCCTCCCTCTCACACAAATACACACACACACACACACACAGAGAGAGCAGAGGCATGTTCCCATAATAAGCCTTTCCCCTCTTTGACCTCTCTCACACAGCCACAGATGCTAGCAGCTCTGCCCTAGCCTGTTAATAACAGTGTGTGTATGACAGTTGTAACCCAGCATGTGTAGAGCAACTCATTACCAGTGTGTTATGCAGATCACAGAGCCCCCCGCTGGCTGACCATGTACGGTCAGTAGCCACACTACTGTAGGCAACACTACAGACATCTGACATGCTCCTATACCCCAGGTGGTTTTGGCTGGGGGCTACGGTACCATCAGTGTCTCATTTGATCAATGTCAGAGTGGCTTTGTAACTAACAAAGAGTGGGGTTGAGACAACCCATACTGTACCATGGTGACTGACGTTATCGGTAGTAATTGACGGTGATTGACTAGTACTACTATCTGAGGTGTTACTACGGTGGCCAAGGTATGTCTACAGTGTGTTACCATGGATACTGACGTCCGCCTACTTCTTACAGGTTGTAACAGTCAGAGTGATAGGCTCCTTGGAGAAGATGGTGCGGGTGCTCAGGTACTGTGCGTTACAGGTGTTATCATGGTGACTGAGGCACGGTGTACTTACAGGTGGTTACGGTGAGGCTGATGGGCTCCTTGGAGAGAATGGTGCGAGCACTGAGGTACTGGGCGTTACAGGTGTAGTCGTTACGGTTGTCGTCAGCTGTAACGTGAGAGAAGTAGAGGTTCCCGTCCCGGCCCTGGGTCACACGATCATTCAGCTCAATGTGACGGAGTCCTGGAGGGGGAGGGAGTGAGAGTGGGAGAGAGAGCGGAGGGGGAAGAGAGGAGGAAGAGAGAGAGAGAATATTGTTTATTCGTGTTATACTCAGCAAAAAGAACACACCATCACATATCAGATGGTTAAAGAGATGGAGAGAGACAGACTGACAGACAGATGCATGTCTTGGGGTAAAACAGATAAAAGTCAGATGGAGAGACAGACAGATAAAGACAGATAAGGATCAGAAAAACAGATGGAGAGAGAGAGAGAGGGAGAGCAGGAGAGAGAGACAGAGACAGAGAGAAAGAAAGAGAGAGAGAGAGAGAGAGAGAGAGAGAGAGAGAGAGAGAGAGAGAGAGAGAGAGAGAGAGAGCGAGAGAGCGAGAGAAAGAGACTCACTCTTGTCCATCCAGTGGATGACAGGAGGAACAGTGCTGAAGGGAGTGTTACATTTCAGTATCACACTCTCTCCTTCTTCCACCTTCTTTTTCACCTTCTTCTCTTTCTGGAGGGCCGGGGTGTCTAAAAGGGAGACATAGAGCAATTTATAAGGCATTAGTACTTGTTATAAGCATGTGTGAGCCCGTATACTGTTTTCTTGTCAACTCATAACACTGTATGTGCCAATTATTATTCAGACTCAAAATGGCTAACAACAAGATCATTATGAGTTGATATTAAGACATAAGAGTTGGTCCTCTGTAGCTCAGTTGGAAGAGCATGGCGATTGCAACACCAGGATAGCAGGTTAGATTCCCGGGATCACCCATACGTAAAAAATGTATGCACTCGACTTGAAGTCGCTTTTGGATACAAGCGTCTGCTAAATGGCATATTACATAACAGTGTTATACATGCTCATAACAAGTTTTAAAATGCTAAATACCGGTTGCCTTAGGCAAGCAGCAGACAAATTGTTTACAGGCAAACTGACGCAATGCACAAGAATAACTTGAGAAGTTAGACATTATTTATAGATCATCAAATTCAGGAAGTTTAAGAATTTTATGAGAAATCTTCAAAGAGCTATCAAGTTGCAGTGTTGTGCTCCAGAAGTAGGATGCTGGATTATTTGTGAGTCATCACACAGTGTGTGTGTGTTTTCTCTTCCTCTGTTCTCATTGTTAATACTCCCAGCAGACCTAGCAGAGTAGAGATGTTGTCGTTCTGTTACTGCATGACATTAACTAGACCTTGTTTCTGGGGAAACCGTTGTCAGGGAAACTGAGAAGGAGATCGCAGGAGACAGAGAGCCGGAGATACAGGTAGATTGTAGATAGGATGTGTTCTTTACTTTAGTTATGGTTGTTGTGTGAGAAAGAGAGAGAGAGAGAGAGAGAGAGAGAGAGAGAGAGAGAGAGAGAGAGTGTGTGTGTGTGTGTGTGTGTGTGTGTGTGTGCTTGAGTGAGTGCGTTTCAGGCGAAGGTAAGAAGTACACTGCTCAAAAAAATAAAGGGAACACTTAAACAACACAATGTAACTCCAAGTCAATCACACTTCTGTGAAATCAAACTGTCCACTTAGGAAGCAACACTGATTGACAATACATTTCACATGCTGTTTTGCAAATGGAATAGACAACAGATGGAAATTATAGGCAATTAGCAAGACACCCCCAATAAAGGACTGGTTTTGCAGGTGGTGACCACAGACCACTTCTCAGTTCCTATGCTTCCTGGCTGATGTTTTGGTCACTTTTGAATGCTGGCGGTGCTTTCACTCTAGTGGTAGCATGAGACGGAGTCTACAACCCACACAAGTGGCTCAGGTAGTGCAGATCATCCAGGATGGCACATCAATGCGTGCTGTGGCAAGAAGGTTTGCTGTGTCTGTCAGCGTGGTGTCCAGAGCATGGAGGCGCTACCAGAAGACAGGCCAGTACATCAGGAGACGTGGAGGAGGCCGTAGGAGGGCAACAGCAGGACTGCTACCTCCGCCTTTGTGCAAGGAGGAGCAGGAGGAGCACTGCCAGAGCCCTGCAAAATGACCTCCAGCAGGCCACAAATGTGCATGTGTCTGCTCAAATGGTCAGAAACAGACTCCATGAGGGTGGTATGAGGGCCCGACGTCCACAGGTGGGGGTTGTGCTTACAGCCCAACACTGTGCAGGACGTTTGGCATTTGCCAGAGAACACCAAGATTGGCAAATTCGCCACTGGCGCCCTGTGCTCTTCACAGATGAAAGCAGGTTCACACTGAGCACATGTGACAGATGTGACAGAGTCTGGAGACGCCGTGGAGAACGTTCTGCTGCCTGCAACATCCTCCAGCATGACCGGTTTGGCGGTGGGTCAGTCATGGTGTGGGGTGGCATTTCTTTGGGGGGCCGCACAGCCCTCCATGTGCTCGCCAGAGGTAGCCTGACTGCCATTAGGTCCCGAGATGAGATCCTCAGACCCCTTGTGAGACCATATGCTGGTGCGGTTGGCCCTGGGTTCCTCCTAATGCAAAACAATGCTAGACCTCATGTGGCTGGAGTGTGTCAGCAGTTCCTGCAAGAGGAAGGCATTGATGCTATGGACTGGCCCGCCCGTTCCCCAGACCTGAATCCCATCTGGGACATCATGTCTCGCTCCATCTACCAACGCCACGTTGCACCACAGACTGTCCAGGAGTTGCCGGATGCTTTAGTCCAGGTCTGGGAGGAGATCCCTCAGGAGACCATCCGCCACCTCATTAGGAGCATGCCCAGGCGTTGTAGGGAGGTCATACAGGCACGTGGAGGCCACACACACTACTGAGCCTCATTTTGACTTGTTTTAAGGACATTACATCAAAGTTGGATCAGCCTGTAGTGTTGTTTTTCCACTTTAATTTTGATGGTGACTCCAAATCCAGACCTCCATGGGTTGATACATTTGATTTCCATTGATCATTTTTGTGTGATTTTGTTGTCAGCACATTCAACTATGTAAAGAAAAAAGTATTTAATAAGATTATTTCATTCATTCAGATCTAGGATGTGTTATTTTAGTGTTCCCTTTATTTTTTTGAGCAGTGTATATAAGCGTTGAGCCTCAGTAGTAGGTCCCGTGTGTTACCAGCTGAGCGCTTTATAAAACACACACTCAGCTTTATTGGGGCTCTGACCATGGTACTATAAATTGTTATGTTATTGCCCATAAAGCAACCAATAGCTTTGCTCACATAATATCCATTCTAAATTAAATGTGGAGCCAGGGAGACTTTTACCAGCGCTCTGCATGAGGTCTCAACTTAAATCTCCACATTGACACTAAAAACCTCTAAAGTGAAGGAATATTTTGAAAGAAGTGATTTAAATGTTTTGGTTGGTTGGACACTCTTAACCTTGAAGTCACTCACTCTGTATTACTTTGTCTCTCTCTCTGTGAGGGAGATTTGACCATTAGTAGTTTACTGATCGTCAGCAGCAGATACAAATCATTAGGTCTACTAATGTGCAAAAAAAGGAAGAATGTTCAAGTGCCAAACTGTTCCAATATCTGCACTAGCATATAATAAAAACATGAACTGTAATTTGCTGGCATTCTAACTGGAACGTTGCTAGAACATTAGAATGCTTATTAGAATGTTGGATTGGAGTTTCTGGTTTACTCACTCTCAGTGATGAGCTGGACCTCGTTAGAGACAGCCGTGCCCAGCTCGTTATCAGCGTAGCAGCTGTATTTGCCCTGGTATTGGCTCATGGATCCTGACCCTGCCCCTGTTGTCATGAAGGTTCCGGAACCCGGAGACATCGACAGGCCCGGGTAATTGGCTGGGATAAATTCCAACCCATCCTTTTTCCAACGGAACCTAATAGAGAGACAGAGACAGAGACAGAGACAGAGACAGAGACAGAGACAGACAACACAGAAGAAAGAGTTAAAGCCACAATGTGTCATTTACACAGCCTGACCCTGCATTCCACTTTGTTTGACAAAGGAAGAGGAAAGAGTTCATGGGGGAGGGAGTTGGAGGCTACATCACAAATAGCACTGTTCCCTAAATAGTGCCTTATAGGCCCTGGTCAAAAGTACTATATAGGGAATAGAGTGTCATTTGGGATTTAGACTGAGTCTTATACAATTGTGATATTAATATTTTGTTCTGCAAATTGAACTTTTTCCACTTAGCAAAAGTAGAGACATTAAAGAAATTGAACGGGATCTTAAGCACTTACAAATTCATATCATACTGTACAAAAATGGATGGCGTTTTACACAATTGTGCACAATTTCCGGGGACCCGTTTTGGCTCATGAGCGCTACTTTCAAAACAACTAGCTGAAATTATGCATAAGGCATCTTTAAGAGACAGTCCCTTGCGGGCAAAAATCAATTTCTCCCTTGTTAGTGTGACTGTGGGGAGCTGTGCTCTCATGTAATAATAAATGTTACTCTATAGCATCTCCAGATATCTGCTATGCTGCACGAATACAGGGACATATCATCAATAACTACAATTAAGAATGATAAAAGGGGGAGGGGGGAGTGATAAAATTTTGCAGTTAAACTGCAGGCAAGTGTGGTTTAGCGTGATAGGTTATTTTTGTACGTGTTATTCTATTGTTGACATGGTAATCTCAGAACCCAGAACTAAATCATGAGACTACAGAGATAAAAACTGTAGAGACAGTGTGTGTGTGTGTGTGTGTGTGTATGCGCACACTTGTGTGTTAAAAGCAGTGTCATTGTATAGTAACTAACTCTGGAGGAGGGTTTCCTGATGCTTCGCAGGTCAGGAGGATGTCTTCAGCACCGAACACAGTGATGGACTCAGGCTGGGTGGTTATCACTGGGGGCTTCTTAACTGGATAGGAATCAATCAATCAATCAAATGTATTTATAAAGCCCTTTTTACATCAGTAGATGTCACAAAGTGCTATACAGAAATCCCGCCTAAAACCCCAAACAGCAAGCAATGCAGATGTAGAAGCATGTGTTCATACATACACACATACATACAGTACATACATACATGCATACAGTGGGGGAAAAAAGTATTTAGTCAGCCACCAATTGTGCAAGTTCTCCCACTTAAAAAGATGAGAGAGGCCTGTAATTTTCATCATAGGTACACATCAACTATGACAGACAAATTGAGAAAAAAAATTCCAGAAAATCACATTGTAGGATTTTTAATGAATTTATTTGCAAATGATGGTGGAAAATAAGTATTTGGTCACCTACAAACAAGCAAGATTTCTTAAGAGGCTCCTCTGTCCTCCACTCGTTACCTGTATTAATGGCACCTGTTTGAACTTGTTATCAGTATAAAAGACACCTGTCCACAACCTCAAACAGTCACACTCCAAACTCCACTATGGCCAAGACCAAAGAGCTGTCAAAGGACACCAGAAACAAAATTGTAGACCTGCACCAGGCTGGGAAGACTGAATCTGCAATAGGTAAGCAGCTTGGTTTGAAGAAATCAACTGTGGGAGCAATTATTAGGAAATGGAAGACATACAAGACCACTGATAATCTCCCTCGATCTGGGGCTCCACGCAAGATCTCACCCCGTGGGGTCAAAATGATCACAAGAACGGTGAGCAAAAATCCCAGAACCACACGGGGGGACCTAGTGAATGACCTGCAGAGAGCTGGGACCAAAGTAACAAAGCCTACCATCAGTAACACACTACGCCGCCAGGGACTCAAATCCTGCAGTGCCAGACGTGTCCCCCTGCTTAAGCCAGTACATGTCCAGGCCCGTCTGAAGTTTGCTAGAGTGCATTTGGATGATCCAGAAGAGGATTGGGAGAATGTCATATGGTCAGATGAAACCAAAATATAACTTTTTGGTAAAAACTCAACTCGTCGTGTTTGGAGGACAAAGAATGCTGAGTTGCATCCAAAGAACACCATACCTACTGTGAAGCATGGGGGTGGAAACATCATGCTTTGGGGCTGTTTTTCTGCAAAGGGACCAGGACGACTGATCCGTGTAAAGGAAAGAATGAATGGGGCCATGTATCGTGAGATTTTGAGTGAAAACCTCCTTCCATCAGCAAGGGCATTGAAGATGAAACGTGGCTGGGTCTTTCAGCATGACAATGATCCCAAACACACCGCCCGGGCAACGAAGGAGTGGCTTCGTAAGAAGCATTTCAAGGTCCTGGAGTGGCCTAGCCAGTCTCCAGATCTCAACCCCATAAAAAATCTTTGGAGGGAGTTGAAAGTCCGTGTTGCCCAGCGACAGCCCCAAAACATCACTGCTCTAGAGGAGATCTGCATGGAGGAATGGGCCAAAATACCAGCAACAGTGTGTGAAAACCTTGTGAAGACTTACAGAAAACGTTTGACCTGTGTCATTGCCAACAAAGGGTATATAACAAAGTATTGAGAAACTTTTGTTATTGACCAAATACTTATTTTCCACCATAATTTGCAAATAAATTCATTAAAAATCCTACATGTGATTTTCTGGAGAAAAAAAATCTCATTTTGTCTGTCATAGTTGACGTGTACCTATGATGAAAATTACAGGCCTCTCTCATCTTTTTAAGTGGGAGAACTTGCACAATTGGTGGCTGACTAAATACTTTTTTTCCCCACTGTACAGTACCAGTCAAAAAGTTTGGACATACCTACTCGTTCAAGGGTTGTTTTTTATTTTGTACTATTTTCTAAATTGTATAATAATAGTGAAGACATCAAAACTATGAAATAACACATATGGAATCATGTAGTAACCCAAAAAGTGTTAAACAAATCAAAAAATATTTTATATTTGAGATTCTTCAAATAGCCTTTGCCTTGATGACAGCTTTGCACACTCTTGGCACTGACTAGAAACCACAGCCTTGTTTAAGCTAGAGATATGTTGTTTGAATGGGCTTCGTCTCAACCCACCACTGTACTATAACCCCTGTGCTGACTTCCTCTGACATGAACAGACATCCTACTAACTAGAGCCCACAGCCCTACAGCTCAACTGTGCTACCTATATTCTCACTCTCACAGAGGTTAATAGCCCACTGACTAGAACCCACAGACTTACAGCCACTGTCTCACAGAGGGACTTAAAGATAGCAGTCATTTCATTTCCAAGTATTACTGAAACTTGATGGGGAATGTATTCATTCATATCACTTAAAAATCCCCCACGAGAATAGACGAAAATGTAGACAGAGAAAGAGAGAGAGAGCACTGCAGGGAGAGAAAATGGAATGAGATGAGAGGAAAGTGAGTGTGTATGAATGCAAAGGAGACACTAGTGTAATATATCGTGGTAGAGAAGAGAGGGCCCCTTGGGGACAAGAAGAGATACTAAAGAAGAAAAGACCATCAGAGTAGAGTTATTCCCCTTTTCTCTTACTGTCCTGTTACGTCCATAAAACACCCACTCATATCAGACTCATAAAATCCTACATACTAAGGCGTGGTATACTATTGTTAAAGCACATGGTCTTTATCCCAAATGGCATCTTATTCCCTATGTAGTGCACTACTTTTGACCAGGGCCTATAGGTCTCTGGTCAAAAGAGGTGCACTATATAGGGAATAGGGTGCCTTTTGGGACACAAACATATTCTACACATTCTATATTCCCATAGGTTTTATGTCTCCTGGCAGCTTTTTATGTTCAGGTTTTTGGTGTGTGGCCTGGACATTTGTGATATATTTTTCCGATTAGCTTTGCAGTGTGATCCTTTTCTCTACACGCTGAGTCCTATTGTATTGTATTGGAATAGAGGTCAATGGTACTTGTTGGTTGGGTTCTGATTTGACTCTGAATGAAAGAGACAGGTCTAGTTTCACAGATATATTTACATGATGTAACTTAGGTAGGTAAATGGGCAAAGGAGGGCAGGGAATGAATGGAGGGAGAAATGGAGGGAAGGATAGAGAGGGGAGACGGAAAAGGAGACAGAGGGAGAAACAGGTAGCGATGGAGGGAGCAAATGATTAAAGGTCAAGGACAGGGAGGGAGACAAAGAGAGGGATGAGAGAGAGAGTGACAGAGAGAGAGAGAGAGAGAGAGAGAGAGAGAGAGAGAGAGAGAGAGAGAGAGAGAGAGAGAGAAAATATTCTAAAATTATAGATTCCCTAGTGACAGAGGTAATAAGACAGTTTTTCAGCTGATCAGATTTATGTCGAAGCTGCTGCAGGCACTGCAGTGCTCCATTATTGGAAGAAGAACAGTTAGGTTACACTTGTTTTTAGTGGTTACACTCCACTATTATTCCCCTCTCCCTTATAGACTTGTTTGTATTTCCTCCTCTCTTTTATACTGTCTATTAAAGCCCCACTCTTTGATCTGACAACACTAGTCCCATTTTAGAGACAGGTGTTCCTCTCTTCCTCGATTCCCTCTTAATTCCAAATGGTATTACCTCCTCCAAGAAGGAACAAGACTACGCACGTATAGACTCATTGAGGTGAAGAAGACACGCTAATGCTAGATTTATTAAGGTGCAGTGCGATGCTGAGGGTTTGTACCGTGTGCTGTGTTTGTAGGAATCGTGATAATCTTTCTCATAATGAAAGTGTTTACTATAGGGTTTTGGCAACAGCTGCACTTGCAGCTCTTGCTGCACTTATACAAACAGAAATACATACGAATAGACACACATGAATAAGGTTAAAAGCAAAAGGAAGTAGAGCACTTACATTCACTTATTTGGTCTGTTAGTCCAGAGCGGCAGAGCAGCAAGAGAGCGAGGGTGAAAAAATGAGAAAGTCTGTTAGATAGTCAACACAGTCTGGCAGGAAATACAGACAGAGTGCCTGGACTTAGCTTCCACACAGTACATATCAACATCAGCACGTTTCCTCACTTGCCCTGCAAATTCCCCATTTCAAAATGGGATAATTGATGATTAAACAACAGTTACCACCCATGGGCTACAAAGCTCGTCAAGTGCAAAGCTAGTGGATTGCAATGGTCCGACAATGTTATTTTCGTTGTTGATGAATTCAGATGTGGGTGGTGTATTGATTGTGGTGACTGTGTCAGTGACATTAGAGAGACTCATTAATTCAACAGGAGACACCTTGACCTTTACAATCCCCATAATCTGGTCCTCCCCCTCCTCTTCCTCCTTCTCTTCATCATCATAACCCTCCTCTCTTACTGACATCTTCATCCTCAGGGGGAGCTTTACTGCTTTTCATCACTGTCAGACTGTGTGTGTGTGTGTGTGTGTGTGTGTGTGTGTGTGTGTGTGTGTGTGTGTGTGTGTGTGTGTGTGTGTGTGTGTGTGTGTGTGTGTGTGTGAGTGTGTGTGTGTGTGTGTATAGGAGTGATACGTGTGTTAGAGTGGGTGAAGGTCTGAGTTAGTCATTGATCCATGACTTAAATGAATAACAGAACAACAATAGCAGCCACAGCAACAAACACAATTATTTGTCTAACTCCCGCTGTCTCAAATGGCAGTCTATTCACTATGTAGTGCACTACTTTTGACCGGGGCCCATAGGACTCTAGACAAAAGAAGTGCGCTATAAAGGGAATAGGGTGCCATTTAGGACGCACACACAATTCTTCCTCAAACTCTGTTATTAAAGCAAAGCTGTAGGACACTCAGCAACCTCAGAGTTGAATAATCAATTTCCCTGCAGTCCCACAAACTCAGCTGTTTTTCAATACTTAGATATTGCGTTGAGGGGGAGGGGAGGAAACAACTCTGACCCATCGCCTGCCTTCTGTGTGTGTGTGTGTGCGTGTGTGCTTTTTATGTTGTATAAATCAATTCCCTGTTGAATTACCCTGGCCCTCCAATCCAAATCTGATTTGCACTAAGGAAACCGGATGAATAGAATGACTAATCAATGAGTTGAGGTAATCAATTACAAAGTAAATAGACACAGTGTGCATACAGTGCCTTCGGAAAGTATTCAGACCCCTTGACTTTTTCCACAATTTGTTAACGTACAGCCTTATTCTAAAATAGATTTAAAAAATAAAATATAATAAAAACTCAGCAATGTACACACAATACCCCACAATGAGAAAGCGAAAACAGGTTTTTAGAAAAACTGAAACATTACATTTACATAAGTATTCAGACCCTTTGCTATGAGACACGAAATTGAGCTCAGGTGCATCATGTTTCCGTTGATCATCCTTGAGGTGTTTCTACAACTTGATTGGAGTCCACCTGTGGTAAATTCAATTGATTGGACATGATTAGGAAAGGTACACACGTGTCTATATAAAGGGTCTCACAGTTGACAGTGCATGTCAGAGCAAGAATCAAGCCACGAGGTCGAAGGAATGGTCCGTAGAACTCCGAGACAGGATTGTGTCGAGGCACAGATCTGGGGAAGGGTACCAACAAAATTCTGCAGCATTGAAGGTCCCCAAGAACACAGTGGCCTCCATCATTCTTAAATGGAATAAGTTTGGAACCACAAAGACTCTTCCTAGACCTGGCCGCCCGGCCAAACTGAGCAATCGGGGGAGAAGGGCCATGGTCAGGGAGGTGACCAAGAATCCGATGGTCACTCTGACAGAGCTCTAGAGTTCCTCAGTGGAGATGGAAGAACCTTCCAGAAGGACAACCATCTCTGCAGAACTCCACCAATCAGGCCTTTATGGTAGAGTGGCCAGACGGAAGCCACTCCTCAGTAAAAGGCACATGACAGCCCGCTTGGAGTTTGCCAAAAGGCACCTAAAGACTCTCAGACCATGAGAAACAAGATTCTCTGGTCTGATGAAATGAAGATTGAACTCTTTGGACTGAATGCCAAGCGTCACGTCTGGAGGAAACCTGGCACCATCCCTACGGTGAAGCATGGTGGTGGCAGCATCATGCTGTGGGGATGTTTTTCAGCGGCAGGGACTGGGAGACTAGTCAGGATCGAGGAAAAGATGAACGGAGCAAAGTACAGAGAGACCCTTGATGAAAACCTGCTCCAGAGCGCTCAGGACCTCAGACTGGGGTGAAGGTTCACCTTCCAAAAGGATAACGACCCTAAGCACACAGCCAAGACAATGCAGGAGTGGCTTCGGGACAAGGCTCTGAGTGTCCTTGAGTGGCCCAGCCAGAGCCCGGACTTGAACCTGATCGAACATCTCTGGAGAGACCTGAAAATAGCTGTGGAGAGACGCTCCCCATCCAACCTGGCAGACCTTGAGAGGATCTGCAGAGAGGAATGGGAGAAACTCCCCAAATACAGGTGTGCCAAGCTTGTAGCGTCCTACCCAAGAAGACTCAAGGCTGTAATCGCTGCCAAAGGTGCTTCAACAAAGTACTGAGTAAAGGGTCTGAATACTTATGTACATTTGATTTATTCCGTTTTTTATTTTTAATAAATTTGCAAAAATGTCTAAAAATCTGTTTTTGCTTTGTCATTATGGGGAATTGTGTGTAGATTGATGAGGGGGGAAAAACAAATTGAATCAATTTTAGAATAAGGCTGTAACGTAACAACATTTGGAAAAAGGGAAATGGTCTGAATATTTTCCGAATGCACTGTATAACTACAGACTGAACGCCCAAAACCTCATAACCACAGTGTTAAAGATGCAGATAGAAATGCCATGGAAAGAACATAGAATCCAGTCTGTTCTCATTTTTTGACATTATTATGAGCAGTGACTGTATATATACATTGATGTGTGAATGAAGTTAAGAAGGTGTACTCACAGTTGGATGGTATGTGTATAGCTGCTTGGCTGAGCTGGGGAGTGTGGGATAGGAGGAGGGAGAAGAGAGGGAGGAGGAAGAGGAGAGGGGTGCGTCGCCCCCTACTGCCAACCTGCTGTCGCTGCGTGTGAGGCATTGCTCACTGTCCCATCAAAGTCCCACCTGCTCAACACACACAAAACGCACACAGAGGGCAATCTGCACACACTCCTGCCGAGCAAGCTTGTGTATCTATCTGCCTCTCTCTCTCCCTTTCTCTCTCCCTTTCTCTCTATTTCTCTGTTGTCTTCAGACGGTCTTCACTTCCTTTTCTTCTATATTTTTCCCTTGTTTCTCTCTCTTTTTTTTCTCTCTCTTTCGCTCAGGTCCACGCCCTCCTGCCGTCTTCCCTCTGAATGATAAAAGAAGGGAGGGAGGAGAGGAGAGGGAGGGGCATGGGGGCATGTGTCAGAAAGAGAGACAAATTACCCTGCACCATGTGGTGAAAGAGAGCCAGGCAGAGAGCTAACACACACACGCATGCACACACACAATAAATAGATGAGCAAGACAAAACATATTAATTTCTATAAAGAGAACTAGCAGTAAAAAAAAAAAAAAAACGCATTTAGGTAATTACATTGGTTCTTCCATAAGGGACGGTGGTCATTCAGAGAAACAGATGGAGTCAACACCACAATACTGAACTAACAGACAGTCCAAGAGACCATATGGAGCAGAGATAACAGAGGTAGATAGATGAAGTGTCACATCAGATAATAGACAGAAAACAAATAGCTAACTAAAAAGGCATTTGTAATTAGATAACGTTTTTGAGCTCTATTCAAATGTGAAGAACTCAAGTGGCTACGTCTGTGGTTGTGTGGTGATAAGTATGTGGTAAACCAGACATGACTAATTGACAAAGATTCTTTGACAAATGATCAATTAGATTGAGTGGTTGAGCTCTATTGAAAGACTCAAGACTACCTCCCTGACTGTGATGGTGATAAGTAGCTGTTAAAGATGCTATCAGTCATGTTGTGGAGGCTAGGAGGCCACACAGTCTCTCCATCTGTACCCTCAGCAGCACAGTCAGCCCACACAGAGCCACAAAGCATGGCCTGCTTTTCTTTTCACTGGCACCACATTACATTGACTGATTGTTTAGCTAGGCTCAATATGAAGTACAATAGATTGTTGGATTGTTATTTGCTACAGTACAACAGTACATTATGACAACAGAAAGGCACAGAGACAGGAAACACATAGAGGGAGAGGAAACAAAAGCTAGAGAATTATAGGGAGAATGATTTTGCCTGGCTTGGTAACAAGGCCATTGGTGATAAGAACAGCTGCCAGTATTGAAGAAGAGTTTTGGCTCTACACACAACTGTGTGTGTGTGTGTGTGTGTGTGTGTGTGTGTGTGTGTGTGTGTGTGTGTGTGTGTGGTGTGTGTGTGTGTGTGTGTGGTGTTGTGTGTGTGTGTGTGTGTGTGTGTGTGTGTGTGTGTGTGGTGTGTGTGTGGTGTGTGGTGTGTGTGTGTGTGTGGTGTGTGTGTGTTGGTGTGTGTGTGTGGTGTGTGTGTGGTGTGTGTGTGTGTGTGGGTGTGTGTGGTTGTGTGTGTGTGTGTGTGTGTGTGGTGTGGTGTGTGTGGTGTGTGTGTGTGTGTGTGTGTGTGAGTTTTGGCACTACACACCACTGTTAGATGGCAAAGCCAAACTAGAGTGATGGGCGACCTTGGGGAGAGAGGGAAGGTTGGAGGGTGGTAAAGAGAAGGGGCGAGAGGAAGTGAAGGAAGAGGGGAGACGGGGGGGAGAGAAAGAGAGAGGGCAACCCTGCATGAGGGAGAGGAGAGAGGAGAGGGGGAAGATGGTGGACAAAAGAGGGGGAAGGAAGAGAAACAAGGGATGAAGGAATAATGATTATCATTCTTTCTCTTTTATCTTCTCCAGTAATGGCTGCTGGTCAGTTAATTGGCATGGATATCTCCATGTCAGTCAGCCACACTGACGCAGACGACAGGCTCATTGTAATAGCTGCAATGGAATTAATGGAACGGTATCAATCAAACACACAGAAACCGTGTGTTTGATCCCATTCCATTAATTCCATTCCAGTCATTACAATGAGCCTGTCCTCAGATTTTTCGTCCTGTCATTCTCCACTGACACTATTCAACATTATCTGGCAATGAAAGAAAAAGACTAGATAAAACATTTCAGGGATTCCAAGCACTAAGAAAATACAATAAATCAACTGAGAAAGATTCAACAATATCTGGAAAAGGGGGTAGAAAGAGTGAAAACCATTCAGCGATTCCAAACACAGCGAATCTTAATCAACTGAGAAAGACTGAGTCTAAAAAAAGGGAAAAAAATTAGAAGTGAAACCAATAAGCCAGTTTAAACTAATAACATTAGGGGTAAATGGTCCATTAGAGAGTCACTTCACCTGTCAGTGCTACAACAGCCAGGGAATGACAGAGTGGCTTGAGAAGAGAAGGGACAGGAGGAGGGGGAGATGGGAGGAATGGAAGGGTCTGTGTGGGGAGGGGGGGGGGGGGGGGGGGGGGTGGAAGGGTCTGTGTGGGGGGGGGGGGGGGGGGGGGTGGAAGGTGTGTGTGTGTGTGTAGGAGAGTGTTGGCTCTACACACCACTGTTAACTGGCAACGTCAAACTAGACTGATGGGTGACCTTGGGGAGAGGGGGGAGGTTGGAGGGTGGTAAAGAGAAGGGGGAGGAAGAGAGGAGGGAGAGAGAGAATGAGAGAGAGAAGGTTTTAGAGTGGTAAAGAGAAGGGGGAGAGGAAGAGAGAGGAATGGATGGAGAGAGAGAGAGGAAGTGAAAGAAGAGAGTAGAGTGACAGAGAAAGAAAAAGGGCAACCCTGTTTCATGAGGGAGAGGAGAGGAGAGGGGGAAGATTATAAGGTGGTAAAAAGAGGGGGTGAAGGAAGGTGTGTGTGTTGGTGTGATGGAAGGTGACAGCTGTGACGGTAATCCCCCCTCCCGCCACAAAATCACACACCAGTTCTCCCAATCAATGTGTGATCTCTCTCTGCTGTCATCCACACTCACACGCACACACACACACACACACACACACATGCACACACACACACACACACACACGCACACACGCACACCTCTCCTCTGTCAGGCTGTGTGATATTAGTACTGGCTGATCAGAGTGCCTCTCATAGGGGGGATCGGGGGCCCAATTACCAGACGGGCTAGTCTGGGCTGGCCTTTCACAAATGTGTGTGTGTGCGCGTTTGTCTGGACTGGCCTTTAACAAATTCCATTAGCACAGGATGAATGGAACAGAGCAGAGCTGGAACTGCCATGGGTATTAGTACAGGCACACATCCTCAGAGACACACAGCTAATGTGATAAGATGTCGCTGAGAGGGTGCTGAGTGGAGCGCACAAAGATTAATGCCACCGACGAACTGCACGCGGCTGCGCCAGGACACTTCAATGCCAAGTAAACCCTAACACACACCTCTCTAAACTGAGAAAGACACACACACACACACACACACGGCTGACAACACAGATAAAGGGGCATGCCTCAGTGGGTCTCAGACAGAAGTTAGAGCCCTAACAGTAGTGAGTACATAAAGGCAGTAAAGAGGAACACTATAATGGGTTAGGTGGGGCAACTGGAGGGGGCAGAGGGGAGGGATGGGAGGATGGGAGGGAGGGAAAGAGGAGTTGCGTGTCATCTTCCCATGTAATGAGATAAACACTGAACACTCCACCCAAACATGCTGCGATTCCACACAGACTAAGACAGACGCACTCTCCTTCTCTCTCCTTCTCTTTCTCTCTCTCACTAGCGCACTTGCGCACACACACACCTTCCCCTCCCACAACACACACACCCTGTCTAGGCTGTACGGTCACTTCCCTTATCACAGGGGTGATTGACTCTGACACAACAGACAGATGGCTGATTTCACCACCTCTGTCAATCCCAGTGTCTCTCGGTCTAACTTTCTGCAGCTGCAGCTGATCCAATCTCAGCCCTGTTACCTGCCTCATTGGCTCAGGGCAGAGGTCAGCAGGCACAATAAAGACTACAGCTGGGAGGTCTGGGTAACCTTAGCTGTGAAAGGGCTGTTTGGAAATCTGTTATCAGGTCTGGTGTCATCCAACTTCATTTAATCTATAGTTGAAAGGAGGTGTCATGATAAAAGGCTTAATAGTCAGCAGGGACATTCATATTATTATTATTATTATAATAATGCCATTCAGCAGATGCTTTTATCCAAAGCGACTTACATTCATGTGTGCATACATTTTACGTAGGGGTGGTACTGGGAATCGATCCCACAACCCTGGCGGTACAAGCGTTATATCTAGCCATACAGGACCACAATAGACAATAGAGCAACCTTAGCCGGCTCACGTAAGGGCTGTTTGAAAAAATTATTAACGCCATAGGAGTCTACAGCCCCGTCCGATGGTGTCATCATCGATCCAACTTCATTCAGTATCTGAAAGGAGACATCATGCTGTGATAGTCTTTCAGAAGAGAGAGAGAGAGAGAGAGTGAGCGAGAGAGAGCGAGAGAGGGAGAGAGGAAGAGAGGGAGAGAGAGAGGAACCAGACGAGGAAGATGTACTATGTATGGGAGTGGAGCAGCAACAGTCTTCTAGAGGCAAACTGACCACAAGCTAGCTGTGGACAGCGGTGAATCAATGAGGCAACAAGCGACTTGCTAGCTTGATACATAATTGATGTGGCGCATTGAGGCATTTTGCTAGAGGGGAGGGGACAACACAAAATCAAAATGCCAAAGCAAGAGAGCATGTACAGGCTATGTGATATCTACATTTACATTCTGATCATTTAGCGGACGCTCTTATCCAGAGCAACTTACAGTCAGCACATTCAACTAAGGTAGCTAAAAACAACGACACAGTCATTCAACTAAGGTAGCTAAAAACAACGACACAGTCATTCAACTAAGGTAGGTAAAAACAACAACACAGTCATTCAACTAAGGTAGCTAAAAACAACAACACAGTCATTCAACTAAGGTAGCTAAAAACAACAACACAGTCATGCAACTAAGGTATGTAAAAACAACAACACAGTCATTCAACTAAGGTAACTAAAAACAACGACACAGTCATTCAACTAAGGTAG